GAAGTGGACGAGGACAGGGTAGACAAGAGAGTGACGTATGATCCATCGATAGAGCTACAGAGAGCTGAGGTAGCCTCTATATATGGATGACTAGGACAGGGGACTAGATAGGGGGCATAGATCCATGATGCCATAGACGATGTCGACAGATCTGGTAGTGATGTCGATAGATCTGATGATGAGGTCGATAGATCGGAATGGCGTGTAGGTGAATGAAGTCATGGATCTTGCAAGAGGAATGAATGATGTCAAGGGATCAGGGCACGCGTCGAGAGATCTTGGGGACGATGACGTCGTGTATGGTGTGGTCATGACACCAAGGTCAGTCCCCAACTTGCTGTCATGGCCCGGTCTACCGACCCATGACCTTTCGCAGAGATCCCCATATGTCTGTCACTGCACACACGGAGATCACCCGTATCTCCGCTACCTCCACTCTCTCGCTCGACCGATACTCGTCCCACCACCCTGCTCAGGAGTCGGGCTGACCTACGTCGCCCCTCGTCGGACCTACGGTCCACCTCGCTCAGTCGACCAACCGGCTTGCCGCCTCGGTCAACTCCTCGACCTTGTGGCAGCCGTCGGTTGACCTACTTGCCCGACACTCGGCCGACCCATTGGGCCCCCGTCTATAGTTACCTATATAAGACTTGTAGCCCGACCGGTCACCTGTGTCGATTCTGTTATCCTTGTGATTCCACTGTTCTTCCGAGGGCTGCCTGAACACCAGTATTGGTCAATTTCTGTGCGCTCTCCCATAACTCCACCTCCGCTTCCCATTTGGACTTCGTACCTTGCTGGTCCCGTCAACCCGTACAACGGGCCCTTACATTATCAGCCAATGTGTGAAGCTGTGGGATGTGGGCCAGCCGCAGACTTTCCTTTGGACCCAGGTACCATGGCAATACCAGCACTGGAGTGGCATAAGGACAAGTTATACTGTCTTTGACTTAATCATGCAGCTCCCCAATACCGTCCCCCACAATCCCGTCCTTCAAGATCGAATTCTGGCATTCGCTGAGCTCAAGCATGGGCAGCGATGGACCCCCCAAATGTTCAGGCACTTGCACAACATCAGTGTGGCTCAACAAGGCACCATTATGGTTTTGTTAACCCAAGACAAGAAGAAGGCGACATTCAGGGCAATCACTCCCAGTGGGGATGAATCTGAAGACGAAGTGGACAATTTTGTTGCCTTCTCGGATGCCTGGGAGGGGGAGCTCCTCGTTGATGTGGCTCAAGCCAATGCCATCCAGCTCCTTGCCAAGGTACCTGGCTACGCATGGCTAGGCCAGCTAAAGTGTGGTGCTGGCTCAAACGGGGACCTGTCATGGCCCGGTCTACCGACCCATGACCTTTCGTGGAGATCCCCGTATGTCCATTACTGCACACATGGAGATTACCCACACCTCCGCTGCCTCCACTCTCTTGCTCGACTGATACTTGTCCGACCATTCCGATCGTGGGTCGGGCCGACCTACATCGCCCCTTGTCGGACCTACGGTCCACCTCACTCGGTCGACCAACCGGCCCACTGCCCTGGTCGACCCCTCGACCTTGCGGCAGCCATCGCTCGACCTACTTGCCCGACACTCAGCCGACTGATCGGGTCCCCATCTATAGTTTCCTATATAAGACTTGTAGCCCGATCGGTCACCCGTGTCAATTCTGTTATCCTTGTGTTTTCACTGTTCCTCCGAGGGTTGCCCGAACACCAGTATCGGTCAACCCCCATGCGTTCTCCCCATGACTCCGCCTCCCCTTCCTGTTCAGACTTGGTACCTCACCAGTCCCGTCAACCCGTACGACGGGTCCTTACACGGCTTTATCAAGTTTGGACAAGTCAACCAGTTGAAGGGGCCCAACACGAATTTCCGGGATGTGGAGAATGAGGACATCTTGAGCACCATTGACGACCAGCTCAAGAGCATCACTTTGTCATTGGAGCCTCCTAGGGCCCATTCGCCGACACCTATCAAGGCTCAAGAGTCGATTCCCCTCCTCGGCTACTTAGCAGGCCAAGCCTTTCTTGCCTGCTTTGGACCGACAGCCGTTGCATCGCCATGGCCTGGCCCAATGGAGCACGTCATGCCAACTCCTGCTGCCGCACGTCTTGGGGACCCCGACCGCGACAGGAACCTTGACCATGAAGACCATCCCTCCACCCCAACACCTGCGTTCCGCCGAGTTGCACGTCGCTTCATGAGTAAGGAGAAGCTTGCGAAGTAAGGATATAGTATACCATGTTCATAATTACTTTGAGAGAGCCCCCCAATGCATCATCTCCTACTACCAACAGCATTTTTGGAACGCAGTGGACTCCGGTGCTATTTACTCGAGGTTTCTCCTTGGTTTCACAGTTTTCGGGGTGTCTGGTCCTCGGCTCCATCTGCGTGTTGCATGTTACATACATAGGACAAGGGGGTGTATGTCCGTCCAAATACGGTATCCTCATATTAGCGGAACCAATCAAGGCGCTATTCTCCCAAGACCAATGTTATTCACTGTTACTAAAACCCATACGCCTATCGCGCGATCACCAGGTCTGTTCCGTGTTCGATTCTTTCGTCGCCCGATTATCCACCCTAATCAACGCCGTTTCCTATAATGCTTGGCCTCCGCCTCCGCGCAGCGGCAGCCCCCGCCCGCGCCTCCGCCTTCAGCACCTCGGCCTCCCTTTCCAACGTCAAGGTGCCCGTGGCCCTCATCGCGCAGCTCCGCAAAGCACACCCCGTGCCGATGGCGCAGGCGCGCGAGGCCCTCGAAAAGGCCAATCTCGACATGGACGCCGCGATCGCCTACCTCTCCTCCGCGGCGGGGGCGAGCGCGCAGAAGAAAGCCGATAAAGTCTCGGGGCGCGAGGCGAGCGAAGGCGCCATCGCCGTGAGCCTCCTCGGCGGCCGCCGCGTCGGTATGGTGCACCTTGCGTGCGAGACCGACTTTGTTGCGCGCAACGACGTCTTCCGCGCCGTCGCGCGCGGCATCGCTGAGACCGCCGCGTTCCTCGACGTGCCCGGCACCGAGGAGGCCGGCGCGCCCGCGCGCGGCTCGGACCCCGTCCTCGTCTTCCCGACCGACCAGCTGCTCGCGGCGCCGCTTATCTCGCTCGCCGAGGGCGAGGCGAGCAAGGAGAGCCAGAGCATCTCGCAGCTCCTCGTCTCCTCCGTCTCTCAGACGGGCGAGAACCTCCAGCTGCGCCGCGCCGTCAGCTTCGCTGCCCCCTTCCCCGCGCAGGCGGGCCGCCGCATCGTCCCCGGCGCGTACACCCACGGCGGGGATAGCAGCACCGGCAAAATTGGCGGTATCGTCATTCTCGACGTCACGGCGACTGGCGAGACCCCTGTCAGCATTCTGCTCGGCAAGAAGCCCGAGCTGGAAGAGGAGCTCAACGCGCTCGCGCGAAACCTCGCGCGCCAGGTCGTCGGGTTCCCCACAAAGGCCCTCAGCCCTGGAGAAGGCGTCGCTGAGGAGGAAGCACTGCTCACCCAGCCGTTCATGATGGGCGGGAGCGACAAGCCCGTCGCCGAGGCCATCAAGGCCTGGGGCGACGAGCGCGGGCTCGAGGTCGAGGTCATGACGCTCCGTCGCTGGAGTACCTCGGACGAGCTCTAGTTGTATATCTTACTCTCACATTGCATGCATACACTCATCGCTCAGGCTCCGGTGCTGGCCATGTCTTCTATAGCGTTATGCTTTTTACGACGTGGAGAATGCCGTCAGCGCCGCGGGCTTGAACACGGGCAAGATGTGCGCCTGTACGTCAGCTATAACAGCTAGGCAGGTGCAAGTCGTCGCCTAGCTCACCTCGGTGTTGAACACGTGCTGGTCGAGCCGGATGTGGTCCGAGTCGTCGAAAAGCAAGTACAGGTATTCTGTGTGTCAGACGTGCTCTGCGCACATACTCACTGAGCGTCTCGGATAGCCAGAACGTCTCCATCCGGTCCTCCTGCAGTGGCGGGTCGACGCGCACATCCTTGACGATGGCGTATCCGCCGCTCTCGACGCGGCAGTGCTTGCGGAATGCCTCGAAGATCCGCCACCCCCACTCGCGGTACCGCTCGTCGCCTGTGGTGCGGTACGCGAGGAGCAGCGACTCAACCGTTTCGGGTCGCAGGATGTTGCGCGCATCGATCAAGTTGTCCCCCGGCTTGATGTACCAGTCGAGCGTGTCTGCGCGCTCCTCGTGCTCGCGCACAAACATGGCGATCTCGGGCGCCAGCCCGCTCGGCGTGTTGTATGTCTCGACGCAGCTCTGCACGATGCCGCGGCCCACGACGAAGTCTTCTTGGTCGCGCGGGTCGAGCGCGCGCCAGTCCAGGTCGCGCGTGTTGCCCTCAGTCACGCCCAGCATCAAGCTGCCGCCGAGGAAGCACACGAGGTGGTCCTGCTTCGGCACGACCTGCCACGTCCTGGCGTCAGCTATGTCGGGTGACCGCGTTCCTCACTGCTGGTTCGTTTGCGGGTGGCGCGCGGGATGCAGCTCCTGCGTGAAGATGAGGCCGCTGCGCTTCGTGCGCCCCACGAGGTGTTTCTTGATACCCGCCATCGCCTCGTCGTACATGTCGCGGTAAACGGTTTCCTCCCGGTTCGTCTGGAGATACTGCTTGAGCAGGTATTCGTAGTATGAGTCGCCGCGTGAGCCGAGGCGGATCTCGGACATGACGAACCCGCCCGTCTGCGGCGAGATGAAGATGGGCGCGATCCCGTCGTTGACCACCTGGTTCTTGATTGCGCGCATTGCATCCTCCGCCCGGCGCCAGTACACCATGTCGCCTGTCAGATGCGAGAGGTACTTGAGCTCGAGCTGGAGCGTCGTGGCTTCGGCGAGCGACGCGAAACCCTGGTTGTCACGGTCGGGCACGCCCGCGCGCGTGTGCAAGTTAATGCCAGACCATGGGATGCCGGTGGGGCTGTCGAAGGCGCCGAGCAGGCGGTCGCCGAGGTCGACCGCGCGCTCGAGGTAGAAGGGCGCGTCGGCGGCGATGGTCGGATCTTCGCTGATGCTCGTGAGGTAGTACGCGGCCTCGAGGCCGCCGAGGACGCGGATCGTCGTCTCGAACACGTTGAACGTCGCGTCCCGGTCAAAGTCGAGGTGCGCGCGGCACCAGTCCGCGGCGCGCCGGTACTCGTCTGTAAAGCCCATGACGAGGAGCGAGTCGAGGCTGTCCACGACAGTGTACCCGATGCTGCCGACGTCCGAAAGGTTCGAGCCGCCGCATGAGAGCGGGTGCAGCTCATCCATTCCAAACGCACAGCGCTCGTACGCGTCCCAGCTCCACTTGAACGCCTCGCGCACTGCCTCGCGGCGCGCCTCGTCCGCCTCGAGGTGCAGCTTGGTCGGCGAGACGCGCGGGATATCCGCCTCCGCGAGGTATCCGAAGCGGACGCCGGGGAGCTGCATGGACATCTGCGAGGGTACCTTTGGCGCAGGCCAGAGCGCGTCCCGCACAATCGGCCACGTCGAGAAGGCTGCCAGGCCCGCCGCGAGCGCGACCGCGCCGAACACCGCGCGCTTCGTGCCGTCTGGCGGCGCGGCCTGGCGTCAGCGGAGCCGACGTTAGATTCTAGTCACCTTTTGCGCGGGCGGCGCGGGCGGCGCGTTTTGCGCCTGCGCCTTGCGCTGGCGGAGTTGGCTCATGGCGAATGGAGAGTGCGATAGAGGCCTGGACGCGAGACACGTCAAGCTGGTCACCGTCATGCGGGGCCCGCCTCCACCCCACCTTTATTTGCGCCTCCCTCTTCCGTCCGGCACCGGGGATGCTCTCTTCCTCGATGAGCTCTACACCCATGCTCCTCTTGTCATCTACTCTCTCGGACCAGGTCGACCTCATCACATTATTCGAGAGTCGAGACGCGGTCGAACTCCATTCCGCGGGAAGTGAGGCGTGCTGGGAATGCTGGCGCCTCCCACGCCGCCAGCGACGTGACGAAGCGGCGTAGTGACGTTGCGACGACAGTCATGTTCATTCCTTCGACAACTAGAGCGCTCCGGCGCCTCCCGATCCCCGGCTGAAACACGTCCACCGCCACCACCACCGCCTGGCTCTCGTGTTCCGCAGGTTCTTTAGCATCGGTTCTTGAGGATCGCGACAATTATAGGACCTTATGCGCTCCTCCGGAATACCAGCGGCACTCTCCGCTCCGCGTCCCACACGGCCCACGCATCCCCACGCACCCCGCACGCGTCAACACCTTCAAGCTGCCTCCCTCCTGCCCAAGACTTGCTGCCGAGTTGCCTATCGCAGCTGAGGTTGCCCAGTATGCTGCGAGTTACGAGCTACCAGTAGCTAGCAACCAGCAGCGGCGGAAGAGAGGAGGACGATTTCGGGCAATTGAGGATGATTTGAGGGCACATATCGTCAGCAGTCGGCCAAATCCGATAGATCATTTTCAGGGATGCTGCAGCGAGGTGACTGCTGCGAGCGGCGAGAGAGGTCAGACGAGCTCAGCTCCATCTCCGTCTTGACTCTGCTTTCTCTTCCTGTGCATTGACGACCACACTCGATTCAATGGCTGCCGCTATTCCGGCGCAGCTCATCGACACCACCCCCATCTCTACCCAGTCTCCTTGCCTCATCACTCCCACATCTCATCACCTCCCATAATGACACTCCGCCCTCCTTCGCCCAGATCCACCGAGGTGGTGACTGACCACCCGTCTCCCTCCTTGAGGCCGCAGCCTGACGTCCTTAGCCCACCCCTGCGCGCATCGAGTCCCCCATTACCCGCCACCGACTCTACATCAGTTCCGAGGCAGCCGCGATGCCGCAACGGTGCTCCGCTCGCGCGCGCTCCAAGTTCGTCCTCATATGCAGGCCAGAGCCTCCGGCGCATGGCCACCCATGAGACCGGCGAGTACGTCGTCGAAGATATCGACGCCACCTCACTGCACACACATCACGAGGGCGACGAGGACAGCGATGGAAGTAGGAGGCGGGAGCTGGTATCCAACCCTAGTTCGTCGGAGGAGACCGATCCCCCACGAGATGAAGAGGAGGCGGTCCGCGGCGAGAAGACGAACAAGTACGAACTACAGGACCAGACGAATCTCCTGCCGGTGCGGCAAGTCGTTGTCATTTTCATGGGCCTCAATTGTGCGCTCTTCTGCTCACTGCTTGAGCAGACGATCGTCACAACAGCCCTGCCGACCCTCGGCAGAGTGTTCAATGAGGCCGCCATTTCGTCATGGGTCGGAACGGCGTACATGCTCACATCGACCGCGCTGCAACCAGTATATGGCCGCCTTTCTGACATTTACGGACGCAAGTCGGTCCTCCTGGGCTCCCTCGTCATCTTTATGCTCGGCTCGCTCGCTTGTGCGCTCAGCACTAGTATGACCATGTTAATCGTCTTCCGCGCCATTCAGGGCATCGGCGGCGGCGGCATCCTCACTCTTGCGCTCATCATCAGTGAGTCCCCTTCACAGGCGAATGCTGACGGCAGTCTCCGACGTCGTGTCCCTTAAAGACCGCGGCAAGTATCAAGGCATCACCGGCGGTGTCGTGGCCGCGGCCAACTCGCTAGGCCCTATTGTCGGCGGCACGTTCACCGAAAAGGTCACCTGGCGCTGGTGCTTCTACATCAATTTGCCCATCACAGGCGTCGCGATCATTGTCATCTTCTTCCTTCTCCCGCTCAAGAAAGTGCACGGGTCAGCACGCTCCAAGCTCCGCAAACTCGACTATTATGGATCGATCCTCACACTGGCATGGGCAGTGCCGTTCCTCATCGCCCTCTCATGGGGTGGCACAATGTACTCGTGGGCATCGGCGGCCGTCCTTGCACCGCTTATCATCGGCATTGTTCTGGGTTTCGTCTTCATCTTCGTCGAGATGAAGCTTGTCCCTCTCCCCCTCATTCCCATGTACATCTTCCGCAATATGACTGTTGCGGCGAGCATGGCGACGTCATTCTGCAACGGCGCAGCCTTCTACGCCACACTATACTACCTCCCGCAGTACTTTCAGGTTGTGCGTGGCGAGTCGCCCATCCAGTCGGCCGTCGACATGCTGCCCCTCACCTTCGTGCAGGTGTTCTGTTCCTTCTGGTGAGTTTAGCAAGCAGTGCGGGCGGGGCTTGACCCAGCCCTGAACGATCCCAACTCCGCCTCGCAGCCGCTAACCTCAGCTCCGGCTACCTGGTGTCCAAGACTGGCGACTACAAATGGAACCTGATGGCAGGGTTCTTCATCTGGACTATTGGGCTCGGTGCGTTCATCATCAGCGGGAGTCCTGACCACAGGCTTGATGTCATCAATCAACCCCTACACCTCCAAAGCGCACATCTACGGCTACCAAGTCCTTATTGGAGTCGGCGCGGGGCAGACCTTCCAGACTTCCCTCATCGCGATTCAAGCAAGTGTCGACCGCAAAGACATGGCCACCGCGACGGGCACGCGCAACTTCCTCCGCATGCTCGGGGGCACAGTCACGCTGGCCGTCTGCACAGCGATCGTGAACAACATTGCGCGGAGCATGCTCGACGAGGTGTTCCCCGCCGACGTGGTGACGGCCGTCCTGGCCGCGCCGACCGAGCTCGCGGTGATGGGCTTTGATGAGCAGCAGATCCGCCTCGTGCGCGAGGCATACAGCCGCGGCATCAATGGGTGTTTCTGGTTCTCTGTGCCGATGGCTGGGATCTCGTTCTTCATCACGGTGTTCTTCATCCGGCGCGTGAGCCTCAAGCGGGAAGACGACGAGCAGAAGAAGGCCGAGGGCAGGGCGTGGGCCGAGGCGCGGAAGAAGCAGCGCCGGGCGGAGCAGACGGACTCGAGCGCGACGGCTGTGAGTGCGGGGTCGCGTGAGGAGGAGGCGAAGGCCCCCGCGGAGAAGCCGTCGGGGCCAATATCATAGACATTATGCATGCTTGCCGATTTCGAGGGCGGGAGTACGCGGCGGAGCACGGCTAACAGAATGCAGAGTACACTGTCGCCAGTAAGTCTGATTCAGGACAAGATCGACTGTCGACGAGGCAACTTGGATAGTGGTGTTGTGCTTGGGCCCCATCATCACCACCATCGCTCACAGACAGACATGCAGACAATGGGTACAAGTTTACACGACAACTAGATGTTTCTGCGCACACCATGAATGGCCTCCTGGTAGTAGTCCTGGAGGGTGGCAAGTTTATCCCACACGGTCGATCCGTCGAGGTAGCATCCCTTGAGCCAGCGCGTCGGCTCGCCCTGCACGATCTCCGTGCCATCCGCCTGCGCCTCGGCGGGCGACTTGTCGCGGAACGCGGTGCGAGCATGCAGCACGCGCTGGTTATCAAAGAGCACAACGTCGCCCTCGCGCATCGTAAACTCGAAGCGGTACTTGGGCTTGTCAATTTCCGCCTGGAACGCCTGGAGCGCGGCGTAGAGCGCGCGCTCGGCCTCGACGCGGCCCGCGACGTCGTGGGCCGCCGGCGCGTCCACCGCGCCCACACGCGCGGCAACGCGCGTCGGCGCAGCCTGGAACGGCGGGGACCAGTTCACGGCCGTGTGCATGAGCGTGCTGTCTACGCTGCGCCGCGGCACCACCGGATGCCGGTAGGCGAGGTAATGCCCGTCGTTGTCGTATTCGTACTCGAGCGGGTTGCGCTGCAGGACGGCGTAGAGGTCGGGGTGGGACTCAGCGAAGGCTTTTGCGGCCGCGAAGGAGTCCACGAAGTACGACGCGCCGCCGTACACCCTGTTGCGCAGGCAGTGGAGGAGCTGGAAGCGGGGCGGGAGCGCCATGTATCTTTTGTCAGGGGCGAGAAAGATTATGGCGAGAAGAGAAGGCCGGGACGACTTACAGCAGGTCCATGTGCAGCCCGAGGTTGAGGTTGGTGTACGCGACGTTGCGGGCGTTGGGGACGTTCTTGACGTCCCACGTCTCGCCGTAAAATGTCGTGCGCAGCAGGCCGATGCTCTCGGCCAGCTCGCGCAGGTCGCAGTTCTCGTTGTCCGTCTTGGTGGTCGGCACGCCGCGCACCACCGCCAGCCCGTAGCGCTGCAGCTGCTCTAGCACGCCGTGCAGGACAAGCGGGGAGGGGTTGATCTTCTCGCCGGGTGCGCCGGCGTGCAGGTCCGCATAGTCGGTCCAGAGCGTCTCGGCGGTCTCACGCACCAAGCTGTCGCACGTCCACAAGCGCCGCTGCAGCTCGTTCTCGATGTAGCTCTGGCCACGCGTGCGGCCCGCATTGAGGCGCCGCAACAGCGGGAGCGAGTAGAAGCTCGAGTGCCTCCCGCCCTCCGTGGGCCAGTGGACGCAGATCCCCCGCTCCCCGTCCTCTGCGGCCGCGTGCATCGTGGTTTCAGGGAGGACAGCGTCGCCCGCGGGCGCCGCGAGCGCCGCCGCCTCCGCGGACGTGTGCGTCTTCTGCCGCGTGCTCGGGTGGATGCAGGCGGGGCAAGGGCAGGCGTCACGCAGGCGCGCGTAGGTCATCACGCCCGCCGCGCGGGGGATGAGGTGCGCGTCGCTCTCGGGCGCCGGGCCAGAGTACTGCACGTACCCCGGCCCGCAGGTGATCAGCTCCGCGTCGGTGGCGAGGACGACACGGTCGCCGGGGCCGGGTGTGTGCATGGGCGCGGCGGGCGTGGCGAGGTGGCGTGCGGGGACCCCGTGGCGCTGCGGTCAGCCGTGCGCACGGGCGTCATCGGGGCGTGCACGCTTCCGAATGCCCGACGGCGCGGGGATGCAGATCACCGAGCGCGGAGTTGCGGACATATGAGTGCAGCGGCAGAGTCAGGAGGAGAAGTGCTCGCTGCAGCACTAGAAACTAGCCAGCGGTGAAGGTGATGGCGATAACGAGATAACGGGCGGAATTCACTCACGGAATGCGGGGCCACAGGGACGGGCCGGGCGCGGGTCGCAATCGTCGAGAACGCCGAGGTCGAATTCGAGGCCGAAGCCCGGGCCGTGAGCGCCGCAAGGCGGGTAGAGCGGAGTGCGCGCATAGCCATGGTGAGAGTCAGATGAAGAGAGAAAGAACACTGAGAACAGAACGCAGGCCGCGTTGAAATGGCGGCCGCGGGTCAGTGCTGCTGCAACTGCATGCCGGTGCAGGTGCAGTATCAGGATCACGATCCGGGGCCCACGGCGTCTTGGCTGCCGTGGCGCTCACACTGCTCTTTGTGCGCGCGACTGAAGCATCCCCGTGGCACAGTGGCACAAGGGGTCGCACGCTCTCAGACCGCATGCCGCCGCAAGACAACAACACGCGCGGTCCGTGCGCCTCACATTACTCCGCCCGACGGCGCATTGCGTTCGCTCGCGCTGTCGGCCGCCTACATTCACCCACTACACTAGCCCAAGCTGTCGAGCATCTCGGCGCTGGGCACGAAGAACACATTGCCCGTCACCGCCTTGGAGTAGTCGAGCATGCGGTCATGCTTTCCCGGCGGCACCCCAACGAACATGTTCTCGAGCATCTTCTCCGTCACCCACAGGCGGCGTGAGTAGCCGATGAAGAAGGTCCCGTACTCGCCGCGGCCGGGCTGCCCGAACGGCATATTGTCGCGGAGGATGTCGAGCTCGGCGCCCTCGTAGTCGATCGTCGACAGCTGCCGGTGACTCTTCTGCGCGTCGTCCGTCGCATCCTCCGTCTCGATATTGTCGATTTTGGTACGTCCTATCACACTCTCCTGCTCCTCGACCTTGAGCCGTCCCCACCCCTGCAGATCGTGCAGGTACTTCTGCGTCACGAGGTAGCTGCCGCCGGCGCCGGCGGCACACTGCTCACGCGTGACGATACACGAGTCCGGCAGGTCCGCGCCCACAGGGTTCGCCGTTCCGTCGATGAAGCCCAGCAGATTGCGCCCGTCAAAGTATCTAAACCCGCTGACCTCGTCCACGGTCTCGACGGCACCGCCCAGCCGGTCCAGCACCTGTCGCTCAAACTCAAAGATGAGGTCGCGGCGGTTGGCGCGGACGTGGAAGAGAAGGTCGCCGGGCGTGCTTGGCGCCGTGTGTTTCGCCCCGCGGATTTCCTTGAATGGCCGAAGCTCGCTCGGTCGCGGCAGGCCTGTAATTTCGTCCCACACGCCGGCACCGATGCCGACCGTCACGTTGAGCGCGGCCGTGGAGTCGCGCACCGCGACGTTTTTAGTCAGGTCGGGCACTTTGGCCACGACAGCCTTGGCCTGGGCGGCATCCTTCACGCGCAGGATCAGGAATGTCGCCGCGACGGTGTTAGGCGCGATGATGCCTTGTACGTTGCCAGGCGGATTCATCGGGGTGCTTGAGATAGGCCTGCGCGAGGAGAATGGCGAGGGCGGCGTGCAGCGGAGGCGGGGAGCGAGGGTGGGGAGCAGTGGGGCGGAGACAGTGAGCCGGGGTGCAGCGATGAAGCGGAGCATCCTTCGTGGGACCCGTTATCTTGGGCATGGGGAGTTATAGGCCGCTCTCGATTTGCTCTGGCTGCTCCGTCGCTAAGGCATGATGTCATGTGCGGGAACGACCACGTAGCTGTCTCGTGGCCATCGAGGTCAGCTGTCAGTTCGTGCCGTTATGTTTCAAAGGCACAAGTCGGGGGTAAGTATCTGGGAGACTTTTGGCGAGGTTGGCAGCATATCTACCTGAAGCGCGGCTGATTTAGCGCGTGGATGACAAGATGGAATGAGCGGAGGATGCGGATGAGATGCGGAAGATGAGAGGAGAGGTGACGACGAGGATGAGCTGGGTAAATGTGGGGGTGAGGGTGGTTGAGCCGGAGTTCGGCTCGGACCTCGCTCGGCCCGGAGTTGGTCCACAAGGTAACCGAACGCCTCCATACTTCTTCTGTTTCTCCATCTCATCTCGCGTTGTCTCTTCTCGTCTCGTCTCGGCCACTGCGCACCCGCATAATGTTCCGCCCCGCCACCCTCCGCTCGCTCTCCCGTGTCCCCGCCATGCGCGCCGCCAGCGCCGCCAACGCTGCGCGGTGGTACGCGAGCTCGTCGGACAAGTTTGTGCGGTGAGTCAGATGCCTTGCCTGGTGGCGAGCGGTTGAAACTGTGTCGCGTTGCGAGGCGCAACATCTGGTGCTTAGCTGGGTTATAGCTGCACGCGCCAGCATGTGAAAGGCCGCTCGCATCCGTCAGCTTCGTGACAAGCGCTTACAGTAGCATCGTCGAAGTCTCGGCGCGTGACGGTCTCCAAAACCTCCCTCCTCCCGCCGTTCCCACGCCGGTGAAGAAGGAGCTAATCCAGCGACTCCTCGACTCGGGGCTCAAGACGATCGAGGTGGGCAGCTTTGTGCGCGCCGACCGCGTCCCACAGATGGCGGACACGCCGCAGCTGCTCCCGCAGCTCCCACCCCTCTCGGCCGCCGCAGACACACACTACCCGGTCCTCGTGCCGAACCTGCGCGGCATGCAGGGCCTGCTGGAGCTCGACAAGGGCGCTGAGCGACTCACGAACGAGATCGCTGTCTTCGTGAGCGCGACCGAGCCCTTCTCCAAGGCGAACAACAACGCGTCCGTCGACAAGGTGCTCGCCGGCCTCCCGCCGGTCATCGAGCAAGCGAAGGGCAAGTACCGCGTGCGCGGATACGTGTCGTGCGTGATGACGGACCCGTACGCGGGCCCGACAGACCCGAAGGACGTGGTCAAGGTCGCGCGCAAGCTGCTCGACATGGGGTGCTACGAGGTGTCGCTCGGCGACACGACGGGCGAGGGCAACCCCGAGGCGTGGAAGCGGCTGTGGCAGGCGCTCATCGACGAGGGTATCCCCGTCGACAAGATGGCTGCCCACTGCCACGACACGTTCGCCATGGCCGTCCCCTCCATCCTCGCGCTCCTGCCCATGGGCCTGCGCATCGTCGACTCGTCCCTCGCCGGCCTGGGCGGCTGCCCCTACTCGCCCGGCGCGACGGGCAACGTCGCGACCGAGGATGTCGTCTATGCCCTCCACAAGCTCGGATACCAGACCGGTGTCGACCTCGACAAGCTCGTCGAGGACGGTAACTGGCTCTGCAGCGCCATCGGGATCCGCAACGAGTCCAAGGTCGGCCGCGCGATCGGTGCCCGCCAGGCGCTCAAGAAGAAGAAGGCCGCCGAGGCCGCCGCGTAGGGGTTTCTTGCATAGTTGTCACTCATGTATCTTTATTCAGGCAGGCGGGTTGGGAGTCGGGCCAGCACGCAGCGGGGGAAACAAGGAGTACGGCGTCGGTGCAGGCCGAGACAGACATTCCTCTGCTCTTCAGCACTATGATACATCGTGTGTGTCTATGGGTCTTCTGCCTCCTCCAACTATCACCTACACATCCTCAATCTTGATGTTGACAAGCACGGTGCACGCCGTCTCGCGGCCGTGGAGGTCGAGGAGGCGCACAAAGCTCCAGCCGGGCACGGCGTAGAGGAGGCGCACCGCGCCGGCCGCAACGACGGGGTTGCGCGCAAACTTGTCGTCGCTCTTAAGCAGCATGCGGAGGAAGACCATCTCGTCGTCATCGTACTCCCAGGTCAGCGTCTCGTCCCACACTGGGTCGGAGGCGGGCGGCGCGTCCGCACCGTTGAGGAACGTGAGCGTCTTGTGCGGCGCATACCCGTCCGTCTTGCGCTTGGGCGGCTTGCCGAACTTGTCGGGGTGGATGAGCGTGCAGCTGAGGTATGGCGTCATCTTCTCGCGGGGCGGGACGTCCGTCGCGCCCGCGACGCGGAGCGTGAGGCGCTTCTTGCGCCCCGACCGCGGCCCGCCCCCGTGCCGCCGGTACGTGGGCTTGAGGACGAAGCCGTCGGTGCCGTAAAACAGGGCTTCGTTGAGCTGCATCGCCGCGCCGAAGGTCTGCCAGTTGAGGGCGCACACCTGCGCGCCGATGCCCCAGAAGGGCACGGGGTGGAGGTTCTTGGAAGAGATGCGCGTGCCCTTCGGGTAGACGCGCATGAGGTGCTTGGCGTTGTGCGCCGCGACCTTATCCGTGTTGGCGGGGAGATGGGCAGCGAGCGCAGACTCGCTGATGTTGATGAGGTGGTGGTGGGGCGCGTTTTCGAGGATGCTCTCGAACCACGAGTTGTTCGGCGGCTTGACGCTCTGCACGACGACGCCGAGCGCCGAGAGTTCGGGGATGATGTTGGCTGACGGCGCCGCCTTGCGCTGCGCAGCGTACATCTCCTTCGCCTTCGCGCGGTCGTCCCGCACCTCGTCGTCGCTGTCGCTGTCACTGTCACTGTCGCTCGAGCTTGAGCTGTCGTCGTCGTCCGGCTTCTGGCCGGGGAAGTAATACTCGACCATGAAGCAGACCTTGTTGCCGAGCTCGGCGAGCGTAACGTGCTGCGGGTCGTGCACTGTGCCCTCGCGCGGGTTGAGGTTAAGGAGACGGTCGCCGAAGACCTCGTGCGCGATCTCGACGAGCCGCTTCTGGCCTTCGGGCCCGCAGTGGTTCTCGAGGGAGATGAAGACAGGCGCCCCGCCATTCCTATTGGCCTCCTCAGCAACGATTGCGTCCCGGATCGTCTCGCACACGTGCCGATACGGAATGTGCGAGACGAGGGTGAATCCGTGCGTGACCTTGGGTTCGGCGGGGTCCTTGTCGTTGTCCCAAGCGTCGATCTCGACGCAGCGCGCGCCCGCGCTCAGCGCCGTCTCATACCCGCTCGGGCACGACTTGCCGTACAACTGGTGCGCGAGGAGGTAAGTGTTGTGGCTCGACGAGATGAGGTAGTCGCACAGGGGGTGGGAGCGGTCGGTGAGTTCAGGAGGGCACACGGCATGGGGGCGCGCCACGAGCTGGCGCAGGGCGGGCGGCAGCGCGTCATCGGGCTGGTCGACGCCGGCTTCGGCCGCGCTCAGCACGCCCTCGGAGGCGAGGAAGCGGCGCAGCGCGGGGCTCACGCGCAGCCGGTCCCACAGGGCCGTGTGGCGCGCAGCGTGCCCGCCACCAGCGACCATGTCGCGCTGGCCCTCGACCTGTCCGGCGTCGCCGCCCAGCGCTTCGCCGCGGTCCTCGGCCTCGTCGGTGCCGTGTCCGAAGGGGCGGAGCTTTGCGAATGCGGAGGTGAGGGCGGACATGGCGCGGGCGGGTGGATGGAGTGGATGCGAGGGGGAAATGGCAAAGTGGGAAAAGGACATGGTGTGGGATGCCGCGTCACAACTTGAACTTGGCGGTGATCGACTTGGCGCGGCGGCATGCCGATCACTTCGTCTTGGCGCTCAGACTTTATCCTTTACCTCGGCCTCTGACTTTTCGGCATTCAGCACAATCGTGCATCAGCGCATGTGCACTGGCCCGCAACATGCAGTTCGACGATAGCCCGACACATGCGTTGCTGATGCGCCCAGTCGAACCCAGGCCTTGCGGGGCGCGACGACGCTCAATGCACGTGGTGACATCACCGCCGGCACATCCGAACACATGCCCTCCGGGATGCCGGAAGGTTGCAAGCCACCGAGGGCCGAGGGGCCGAAGTCAACCATCGTGAATATGGTTCGCCTCTCCTCCTGCGTGAGCAGCAGCAAACCAACTTATGATTCTCAGATCACCTAAGCGAGAGGGAGTGTCAGATGAGACAGTGGTTCGGGAGAGGCGCGACTACTAAGAGCCGCGCGCCAACGCTTAGGTTAGAGCCACACGCTACTTCAGCCCCGCCAGCCGCTCAACCAAATTACATCTCTAATGTAGACGGGACAACTGACAATGCTAGATGCGAAGGGGACACGACTCGATAAGCCTAGACCATCTTGATGAGGTCGTTCACCTTGTCGCCGCCCTCAAGGACATGGGCGTCAACGCGCCCGGTGCCCTGCTCCGGGTTCCAACCCAACTCGCGGCTCTTGGCGAGCATCTGGTCCCACCAGGGGTACAACAGGTCGCGGCAAATGAGCTTGAACCAGGGCGTCATCTTGACGTTGGGGTCCTCGAACATGGCCTCGAGCTCGGCCTTGGACACGTAGCGGTGGTCGCCGATCTCGTTGGGGTTGATGTCGAGCGTCACGTCCAGGGCTGTGAACAGGATGTAGTCGACCTCGTGCTCTCCCCACTGGCCGTTGCTCGGCGCAAGGTAGTGTATCCGGGTGAGGAAGGTGAAGTCGTCAGGCTTCATCTGCTCAAGGGGAATGCCGAGCTCGTGCTGGAGCTTGCGGATAGCGGCGTTGCGGACGCCTGCGGTCAGCGTAAGTCTACTCGATGGTTGATAGGACGAAGCGGCCGCTACTCACCCATCTGACCCTCCTCGATGCGCTCCGACTGGATGTAGAGAGGGTGCGAGCAGCATGTGTTGGTCCACATGTCCGGGAACGTAATCTTCTCGGACGCGCGCTTCTGCAGCAGCAGACGGCCGTCAGATGGCCGGAAGAGGAAGACGGAGAACGCGCGGTGCAGCAGCCCCTTGTCAATCTCGGTCATGAGGTGGCCTATGGTCAGCGCGTCGAAGGAGAGACTGGGGACGGAGCGGGGGAGAGGTGAGGGAAGGCAGCATGTTGAAGGAGACGCGCAGGCCACAACCGCCACGGCGAGCTCTTAGCGCGCCGCGCAACACAGCGCCGCTCTCGCAGAGCATGCCGCCATCACAATGCCCACGAACAAACCCCAGCACACCACATCCTCCTAACCACCCCTACTCACACTGCTTCTTCGAGCCCTCGCCGTAGGCCTTGTCGTTCTCGTCGACGAGGATGCAGCGCTCCTCCATAAGGCGGACCTGCTCCTCGTCATACCCGTCGAGGGAGACGTCGGCGATGATGGCGCCTGCGGTCTGGGTGGTGGTCTGGGTGGCGGACATGGTGATGAATGGATGAATGGAGAGAGCGACTTTTGTCAGAATCAGATTGATCAGGATGAACGCGTCCAAGGCAATGCAGGCGATTCCAAAGCCAAGGGCACGAGCGGAGGCCCGATCTGCCGCCGCTCATCGTCCCATGGAGCTGCCACGCGAGCGTCAGGAGCGGAAGAAAAGTTGTCACCCCACGACACGGGTCATCTGCCAAGCTCCGAGGAGAGCGCCGAGTCCGGAGTCCGAGTCCGAGTCCGAGTCCGAGACGAAGCCTGAGTCTGTTACTGCATAGTGGGACAGGCATGCGTACAGACCTCACAGCTCCGAGAGTCGCGGGTGTCAATGTATGCTGAATAGTTGACAGAAGTGAATGTAGTCACGTGATACCCCGTCACAGCGGGAGCAGATACCCACGCGAGAATGCCCCCGCCTTCGCCTTTCTCCTGATCCGTATTTCGACATTTCCGACTCATCTCAACCTCGCCAGACCCAGACACCCACCACCCTCCGCCTCCATGCGCGCCACCTCCATCCTGCGCAAGGCCAGCAAGGCTGCGACGGCCGCGGCAGAAGCGCCGCAGCGCCTCTCGAAGACGGCGGCGAAGCGCACGCCCTTCCTCCCGCAGGGGCAGGCGCCGCGCGCCACCCTCTCCTCCCTCATCGGGCTGCACCACGAGGCGGCGACGTTCATGCGCGACCCCGAAGAGATCACGACCGCATTCGAAAGCACGTTCCGGTACCATGTGCCGCAGTTCCAGAGCTACAGCGCGTTCCGGGCGGCGGCGTTGCGCGCGCGCGAGGAGCACGCGACTGGCGGGCTTGTCAACTTCGCGACGCGCAGCCCGGGCGGGCACGGCGCGCGGCGCGCCGTCGGCATCGGCGGCGAAGACGACCTCCCGGATCAGGCGCAGGTCAAGCGCAACGTATTCCGGCCCTCGCGGGGGTGGGTCAAGTCGTCGCGTATGGCGGGCGAGATGTCGGAGCGCGAACTCAAGGTCAAGGAGGCGTTGTTTGGGACATGGGAGCGCGCACAGGACGGCGTGCCCCGGCCCGCGCTCGATGGTGTTGTCGACGTTCTCGAGGCGCGCGGGCTGTCCGTCGAGGAGGCGGCGAAGCAGTGGAAGAACCGCGAGTAAGCGCGCGATACGAGACGGACCACGTCGAGCGCTCGCCAGGACCCGCCGATAACCACATACCCACTCGGACGCGCTTGCACTATGATAGTAGACATGCATCACCCATCAGCATCAGCCTGAGGAGACTTTAGAATCGGGCATCGGGGATCTGAGAGACAGAGAACGATGAGGCCGAAGAGAGAGAAACTGACGAGACGGGCATGCGTGTCCGCCAAACAAACTCACAAAGCAAAATCACTAGATTATACTGCATACAGAGAATATATACATGCGCATTGTAAGCGCGGGCGGTGATGCAAGTGAGAGGATTGTCATGAAGTCGATCACTGACAGTAGAAGTAGTCGATAAAAGGCTGGAGGCGGACCTCCAGCATGTTGAAGGGTGGAACGGTGGTGTTCTGAATCAGCGCGACTCGCAACGTACGTACCACCTGGCTCATCTGGCCGCCGACAACGAGAGTGTCACTCTCGTCCTCAACCCACGCGCGCACGTTCGCCCATACCTCGCGGCGCGCGGCCTGCCGCTCCTCCTCGCTCTTCCAGCCTCCACCGGGCGTCGTAGGCTTGACGGCGGGCAGGCCCCTGTCAGCCTTGAATGCCTCACGCTGCTTTTGCACCTCTTCGGGAGTGTGAGTCAGACGGTGTTGGGCAACCGACAGCCCCGAGAGGTTGTTGCAGGTGTGGTACAGGTCCGGTCCCTTGCCGGGTTTGTCGCGCAAGCCACCTCGCGTCACGGACTGAGCCACAAGGAGAGTGTACTCCTGCAGCGCAACTGCCATCAGCCGCACCTCACTATCACACATACCGCGGTTGAAGAGCGCGTGCATCGACGCCTCGTCGGCCCATTCGTCCTCGCCGTCGTCATCGACGGCGACGATCTTGGTGGCAGTAGGTCCGTTTGGGGAGGTCTTGACCTCGGCCTCGCGGCGGCGCAGCTCCTCCAGTACTGGGAATGTGCCGCCGACCCACCAAGAGTAGCACCCATCAACCAGCTTGTTCGAGCGGCCACGGAATCCACCTCCATCCGCCGCCTCGCCCTGCATCATCGCGCTCCAGCGCACGACAGAGTCCACATCGATTGGGACAGGGAATGACTCGGGAAGCGACTCAAGACGTCTAGGCGGCTGCACCGATGACAGGAGGAAGTGAGAGAAGACCGAGCACGACGTGTATCCGCCGTGCGCTTCGCTCATAGCGACGCGATTGCCGTCCTTGAAGGTAAAAGAGCTGCAAGCGAATCCACCCTCAAATGTCTGCCCAGCAGCGATGGCCTTGTCGACATTGTGGAGTAGCTCCGGGGTAATAATGTCGAGAAGCGTCGCTACCACGAGGAGGCAGTATGTGCCGCTAGTATCAGCCAAATGTGCCCGAGAACGAACCTACCGCACATCCACTTCGCAGTTGTCGCCCACCACGAAGCCCCCGTCCGGGCGCTTGCAGCGCATAAAGAAATTATAAATGTCTTGACGCGCGTCGACGAGGCGCTCCCATCCACCACCTTTGCCGGCGTTGCCTACAATGGCAAGGGATACAACCGAGGCGTACGTGGGCAAGAGATGGGGCATATGAGTGTTGGCGGCGCCGCCACAGAACCCACCCGTGGGGTGAAGAAAGTGCAGGATTGTGCTGACAGCACTGCCGTCAGAGTGACAGAACGCCCATCTCACCGGTCCCTGATGTTCTGGGGGAGGAGGACGCCAAGTAGGTCGAGGCTGTGGACAGTCCAAAAGACGAGCCATGGCCTGCTGGCATCGAGGCCAACGAAGCCGGAGGGAAGCGACATCATAGCACCTTGGATAAACTTAAGGTGGTTGACGGAGTCGAGGGTGGTGGTCGCATTTTGAAGTCCGAGGCGGGGAACATGAGCGGGAGGCTGCTCGTCGAGGACATCGGCAATCAAGCCCTCCGTGTCGTGCTGGTCGGTAAGAGTGCTCGAGACAACGCCGTCTCCCGGATAGGGAAATTTCTGAAGTGATTGGATTGAGGGGTAGAGTGTAGCCATTGCAAAGGAGATGGAGAGAGACGCGATGTGAACGAGGTGCGAGATGAGATGATGTGAGATGGCAGTCCATTGTTCTCTGACCAGGCGTTCCACCTCCACCGCGGAAGCATTCCTCCTCCACCGAGGCGGCTGTTTTCTTATCGCCTCCCGCTCTTAGAATCTAACGCTCAACCATGCTGATCCCTCGGTCTTTTGTGACCATAACGTCCTTCTAAAGCAGTAACTACTTCACACTCTACTCTACCAAGTGCTCTCCAGCGTATAGTGACTCTATCGTCTCCCTCTCCCGCACGACATGGACCTTATCTCCATCCACAACCACCTCGGCTGGCCTTGCTCGGGTGTTGTAGTTGGAAGCCATCGTGGATCCATACGCCCCTGCTGAGCGCACCGCCAGGACATCGCCCTGACTCACGGCGAGCTCGCGGTCCCGCCCAATCCAGCAGCCACTCTCACATACCGGCCCGACCACATCCCAAGTTCTGCACTCCCCGCTTAGCGGCTCAACCGCTTCGATGCCGTGGTACGCCTGGTACATCGACGGCCTCGCGAGGTCGTTCATGCCGGCGTCGACGATGCAGAAGTTCTTGGCCGCCCCGGGCTTGAGATACTCCACGGTCGTGAGCAGGATGCCCGCATTGCCCATAAGGGAGCGACCGGGCTCGAGCCACACCTCACGTGAGCGGGGCGCGGGCCGCTTTGCAATATGCGTGAGGATGGTGCGCACGAACTCAGTCGGGTGGGGCGGCACGTCGCCGTTCCCGTAGTCAATCCCAAGACCGCCCCCGATGTCGACGTGGTGTATCCGGATCCCAGCACCCTCGATCTTGTCCACCAGGTCGAGCACCTTGTCCAGTGCGTCGAGGTAGGGGTCCACGGTGGTGATTTGGCTGCCGATGTGGCAGTCGATTCCGACGACGCGGAGATTTGCCATCTCTGCCGCCGCGCGGTACGTCGTGAGGGCGTCCTCGAACGCGACGCCGAACTTGTTGTCCTTTAACCCTGTGGAAATGTACGGGTGTGTTCTGGGGTCGACGTCTGGGTTGACGCGGAGGGAGATGGGCGCGGTCACACCCATCTGACCCGCAACGTCGTGTAGCCGCTCGAGTTCGGGGATGCTTTCGACGTTGAAACACTTGACGCCTGCCTCGAGGGCCATGCGCATTTCCGAGACGGTCTTGCCTACTCCGCTGAATACCACATCCTGTGCCCGTCCCTTGGCAGCCAGGACGCGCCGCAGCTCGCCTCCTGAGACGATGTCGAAGCCTGCGCCGAGCTTGGCAAACAGGCCCAGCACGCCGATATTGCTGTTGGCCTTGACGGCAACGTGCACCTTGACGGGCCCCGCGTCAACGTATGCGCGGTATGCTGCCTCGAGCGCTGCGCGCGAGTACGCGTACAGCGGCGTGCCGTGGTCCTTGGCTAGTGATGAAGCCGAGACGCCCTCGACGAACAGTGCCCCATCAACTCGATGGAACGGCGCGCTCATTGCGCAGAAAGTGGGAGACAGAGTACTATGAAGTGGCGAGATCCGCGCGTACACCTACTTACACATGCTTGTCGTATGTGAGCGTATATCTCGATCCTGTCCGCGACGGAGTGCCAAGCGGCCAAGCGGCCAGATGCGGTGGGCTGCTTATAAGGGTCGGTCAAGCAACGTATCAGCGCCTCGGTACGCTGTCCACAACCCCACTCACATTCCCCACCCTCATCTCTTGGCCGACCCGTGCCGCTTGTGCCGCGGCATGGCGGTCCTGATCGACTGCCGGGCACTTGTCGAGAGAACGTCGTTCAAATTGAGGTCGTGTGACTTGCAACATCGCACATTTATGGACAGCATCGCCGATCCATTATGGCCTGGACTCAGCGCTGACCCCAGTGGTGGGCAGCTGGCGATTAGCGAGTGACAGGGGGCACTCGATGCTGTCAGTCTTCAGGGGCGCGAAGAACCTCGTTTGCCCAGCGTGGAGCATGTGCATGTGGTCCTCCATAAAGGACCACGCAGTGGCTGACATGCAAGATCAACCGACAACACCGGCGAGATGACCGGTGCCTCCCCCACCTGCTTCCGCGCGCTGCGGAAATTGCCAACTGAGCATTCTCGAGCGCTCAGCTGTGTCGCTACGGGCACGAGTATACGCAAAGGCACGGTGAATTGCGTGCGATGCTTCTTATCGAGGCCCGGCCAAATGGCCGTGTTAGTCGGGCTGCCAAGCCCAGCCTAGCGTCCCCGCTTGATGGAAGCGAGCCGGCGGGGTGGAGTAGTTACAGACTGAGGACAAAGACCATAAGCACGAGACCCAGCGGGCAGGTCTAACATCGCCCTCAACTCAAAATGCAGCACCATTCACAGACGGGCGTTTACTACGATCCCTACGAGAAGGCGGACGGCACGACTGCCGTGCAGGAGGTGTACGCCGACCCGTATCATGACAAGACGGCGCACTGGGAGCTGCGTGACCAGGAGCTCGAGACGACGACCGAGGGCGACCACGGGACAAAGCGGGCGCTGTCCCCGCGGGTCTGCTCGATGATCGCCATCGCCGGCACAATTGGTACTGGTCTGTTCCTCTCGTCTGGCGCGGCCATCGCGCAAGGCGGCGCCGTCGGCTGCTTCCTGGGCTACCTGGTCATGGGCATCGTCATCGGCTGCATGATGTACTGCCTCGTGAGTTTGGCTTACCGTCCGCCGCGCGAAGACAAACACTTCCAATGGCTGACAGCAGGGCGAGCTCATCTGCTTCAATCCTACCATCGGCGGTTTCTCCGAGCTGGGTGCTCGATATGGTGAGTGCAGCTGTCTACCAACCCTGTGCTGACGCCCAGTCAACGAGAGCTTCGGCTTCATGCTCGGAATGACGTACTGTTTTACTGTCGGTCTCTCTGTACCATCTGAGCTGTCTGCCATCGCTGTGCTCATCAGCTACTGGGACGAGAACACCAAGCACGCCGCGATCTACATCACAGTGTTCCTCTTCATCACGTGGGGCGCCAACATGTTTGGTGTTCGCTGGTGGGGCGAGGTTGAGTTCGTAATGGTGAGATGCCGTCAAATGCCGCAGCTGATAAACAGGGTATGATCAAGATTACCATGCTCCTCGCATTGATCATCTTCGGTTTGGTTGCCAATCTCGGCGGCATCCCAGGCAACAGGGTATTTATCGGCGGCAAGTACTGGCGCGAGGCGCCTTTCAACCCCCGATATCTGGGCATTGGGAACCGGAGCCTCGCAAGCTTTGTCGGATTTTGGAGCGTCCTGACTCGCGCCGCCTTCTCCTTCGCCGGCATCGAGGCGGTGGGTATGGTGGCCGGTGAGGCCAAGAACCCGCGCAAGACGCTACGCACGTGTATCCGCACCGTCTTCTATCGTATCGGTGGGCTGTACGTTATCTCGATCCTTATTCTGAGCCTTAACCTGCGCTACGATGATCCCGAGCTCCTCGCGGCCAACAGCAACAGCAGCACAGCCAACCGCTCGCCCTTTGTCGTCGTGGCCAAGCGCAATGGTGTGGACGCGCTTGCGCATGTCATCAATGCTGTCGTGATTACCTCCGCGTGGTCGGCAGGAAACGAGAGCTTGTATGCGTTCGCGCGCACTCTCATGGGCATGACGCGCAATGGATGTGGCCTCAAGTGCTTCCTATGGACGACAAAGTCGGGCGTGCCTTGGGTAGGCGTGAGCCTTGGCGCGGCTTTCGGCCCGCTCGCCTACCTCTCGCTCTCCGACGGAGCCAGCCAGGCGTTCGACTGGCTCTCAAACCTCACCGCACTACTCAAGCTCGTTTGCTGGGCGTCTATCTGCTTCTGCTTTGTTCGCTTCAAAAAAGCTTGCGACTTCCAGGGTGTCAATCGCCACAAGTTCGCACTCCGCTCCTGGGCACAGCCGTACATGGCCTGGGCGTGCATCGTATCCTTCCTCCTCGTCATTCTCTTCAACGGCGTTAAGGCCTTCGTCCCAAAGTTTGATTACGAAGAGTTCCTCGCCGCGTACATCTCCATCCCATTCGTTATCGTTTGCTGGGGCGGCTGGCAAATTTACCGCCGCGACCGCTGGGTTGGAATCGATGAGATCGATCTCAGTGGCGGCCCTGCTGCGGCGTTGGTCGGCACAAAGTATGCCCGCGACCTTGCCTAGTTGTACTGCAGTTGTATGTGTTGGTGAGTATCTAGGATAGCGCGATGGCGCATATGCAGAAGCAAGATTCAGTCACGGCATTGGAGTGTGACGCTATGCGGTGCCCCGTGTATAACGGCAGTGACTGTGATCCCGAGTGCTTGATATCGTCTTCTGGGGCGCCAAGTTGTCGCACATGTCCGTCGTCGTAAGACATCTTCACGCAATCATGTCAGTCCTCCACATGAGGTCAGACGCCGTTTACAAAGATTGTGGACACTCGTAGAGGAGATATCACCACTGGATATGTCGCGTCGTGCGGCATGATCTGGCCGAGCTTAGGCAGCAGCTGCCGCCCACTGAGGGGGCAGACCAGCCCACCTGGGAGTCAGTCTGCGCACTTGGTGTACAGGAACGCTCCATAGCGAGGATGCCGACGCACTTTGAGTGCCCTAATTGCCAACTCGGTTCAGGACGACAGTCCCAGCTCGTAAAACCGACTCCGAGAAGCTCCAGCTAAAGGTTTAAACTACGGTACTCTCGGCAGTGGCTCCGCCATGAGACGTTGCCAGTTGCGAATGCAGCGGATATGGTCGACCCTTGGCCACCATGTTCCTTGCCCGACGTCGCAATGTGCATGTGCGAAGTTGTAAACTCCGCTCCACGCCTACGTCTTCGGCGATTTGTACCTCGAAACAATAAGACGTGACAGCGGGAACCGTCGGCCTTCAGGTAAATGAACGGCAGACGGCTAGGGACTGTGCGCCACATTGAACGGGAAGTCGGGCACGCCTTTGGATTCATACCACATGCCCACGACTCTCAATCATTGGCTGCGTACCTTCTGTTTCAAGACCTAAAGCGAGCCCGAAAGTCGGATCCGAAGGTGCGGGCCGAAGACATGCATCCCGTGATGTGACGAGAGGATGTCGACGCCGGAAACGCTTACCAGTGACATTTCAGATTGGACAACTTACGTGTATCTCGGATGGTTAGTGTCATTCTGTCAAAGTCTAGTATGCATTCAAGCAGTTTAACTCATGGGTTACTCGGGACAAAGACGATGTACGCATACCGTCGCTCCACATGTTGGGCAGATCAGCGGCGAGCGTCACTCTCGATCTGCGTCCACGGCTCAGTCACGGAGGACGTGCGCTATCGCAGGCTGTTATAAGTGCTGAACGAGATGCCACATTCGCTCACCCCAACTCGCAATCATGCCTGACCCGAGCAACGTTAGCGACATCGAGCTTTCATCACAGACGACCCGGGAGGCAATCCCCTCCGGTCGTCTCTCCGACAACGAGCGTCTTCGCATGCTTGGGTACGATGCAGTGCTAGGGCGCCCTCTCAGTTTCTGGGGCAGCGTGGGCATGAGTATGTGCTACAACTCCGTGCAGTTCGAGTTTCCCTCCTACTCCCTTCTCTACTCGTACCGCGCCCCTTTACTCTTCGTGAGTGGTCTTGCTCTACGAAATTCGACTAATTCAGATCATTGGGTACCCTTTTCTCGCGCTCCTCCACCTCACCCTGATCGGGCCCTTCGCCGAGCTTGTGTCAACATATCCCGTGGCGGGTGGCATGGCGACTTGGGCGTGGCAGTGTGCGAGACATGGAGTGCGCGGCGAGCGCCAGTGGGGCTGGCTTGTCGCAGGCCTGACGCTCGCCATGCACCTCGGCAAGGTGCGTTTTTGGGACAGGTATCGCTGATGCAGACCATTGCGTATCTTCACTTGGTCACGGGATTGATCGTCACAATGAGCGCCGCCTTGTACGGCGCGGGTGGAGCGTCAGCGGCAGCGTCTGGAACACCCGTCGTCAAGCCGCCGTGGGCTGAGCCCGTCCTACAACTCGCCCTGGTTGCCCTTGCGGGGCTGGTGTGTCTTACCCGACTCGGACGGAGCAAGACATTCTGGATGGTGATGGGCTCCTATGTCCAATGCTCGATTCTCCTCTGGATTATATTGCTCATCGTCATGTCTACCAAACTCAAGTCAGTATGCTGTCCCACGTCGCTGATAGCAGATCAGTGCCGGAGCTGAAGGCCTTGGTTCGACCACTGGACTTGGGGTTCCCGACACGAAGCCAATGGCTCTACAGTTTCTCAAGAATGATCTTCATGAGCCTGCCTCTACGCGTGACGGCTATGGACTGCTCCATTCAGTAAGCGTGTTCTGCTTTGGCGTGACCAGGCTAAAGCCAGTATGGCGGAAGAAACTCAGAGCCCCTCGCGCACCGTCCCTCGCGTTCTGTGGCTAACGAGCGCGCTGCATTATGTGGGCTTTTACGTGACAATGACCTTGCACATTCTGATCGTGGTGCCCTTCACCCAGGAAAAGTTCCAAGACAACCCCTACGTGCGTATCCGGTTCGGCGTGCCTTAAGCGCGGACGCTGACGCCTGCAGATTGCGAGCTCCATCATTCTTGGAATGAACAAAGCCCAGACAATTGCACTGTCGGTCGTTATGACCATCCCCGTTGTGCTGCAGGTTATGTGCTCGACGATCGTCACCTCGCGCTTCATTTTTGCTCTGGCCCGCGACCGCGGCCTCCCCTTTTCGGACCTCCTGGTGCGCACCGACAAGCACCGCCAACCCTGGGTTGCACTTGTCGGAGTGCTTCTCATCCTGTGCATCAGCGTTTGTGGTCAGGCCGTGCCCCAGAAACCGTATTACACTCTTCTTATCACCGTCAACTTTTACTTCATCAACATCCCCTACGTGCGTTCCTCTCGTAAAGGTGCCCTGCTTACTAAAGATGATTCCCCTCGTTCTATATATCCTCTCACATCTCGATCTCCGCCTGGTTGGCCGGCCTGAGTTCAATCTTGGCCGCTTCAGTCGTCCACTTGCCCGCATCGCGGTCGCTTGGCTCATCGTCTCCACCATCCAGGGCTTGCTTCCTCTCACAGACCATGCCTACAAGAAGGGCGACTCAGCGAACAACATGAGCTACCTTCCCATATTTATTGGGTGCATGCTGCTGATTATGCTCGTCACATGGTTCCTCTACGGTGCGACTGCGTCTGGTGAGACACACTAATAGCAGGAAAGCGCCACTACAGTGGTCCCATCCGCGCCCTCACGATTTGGGCCACGGGCACCGACATCGACCCACGCAACGTAGCCACAGCTCCCCGCGGACAGGCGATCAGGGAGTATATCGAGCGCAAGACTGGCCAGCCCGCGCCGACGACACCAAAATACCCGGCTCGGACTGCAAGCGGACCACGCTCCCCCGAAACGCCACGTTCCAGCCGTACCAAGTCTTCGTTCCACCGTCTCGTCGGCAGAAGTCGAGACAGTGGAAAGACGAGCCCCCTCGCTAGCCAAGGGGCTAGCGACTCTCCCACCCGTCGTAACTCAGTGAACCCCGAGAGCGGAGTACTCCCTCGCACCGAGTGCTCCGTCATCCCCGAGAGCGGGCTACTCCCCGAATCTAGGCATCAAACTACCACGCTGAACGCGATCCCTGAGAGTGAGCTGCTCCCAGAGACACGACTGTACGATACGACGATCTCAGTCATTCCTGAGAGCGGCGTCCTTCCCGAAACAACTACGGCCACGTTTTCCTTGCAGAGGATACCAGTACCCGAGGGCCCATTCAACCGCTACTCTTTCGACGAACGCGAGATCATGAGCGCCGCTCAGGCCGAGTCGCAACTGTTCCCAGATCCACCACGGCGCGCATCGCGGACGATAACGCCCCGCTCCCCACCGCCGCCATGGCGCGGAAGTCGCAATCTCTCATTCAATAATTACGAGGAGCGTCTGTAGATGGAGCTGGAAGGAGGGACATTCATGAGAATAGGGTAACAATGCATCCGAAGATTTGTGAACTGCCACAAGCACTAAAGGTGTTGATAGGCGGAGGCACGATCTATTCCGAGTCAAGTTACGACGGTCACGTGGGCATTCATAGCCGCGGCTAGGAGCGATTGTCAGCACATGGGCATGAATTCAGTTTGAGATTGCGCAATGTTTGGCGCTTGTGGTACCACTGTGTGGTATCTCACGAACACAGTACATTGATAGAGACAACATGATGTCTGAGGCATCATCCATCCACCCATTCCACCATGGACAAGCTCACGCACGTCGAGAGCGGCGACAAGTCGCCTGCGTACCAGCACCTGGAGACTTCCGGTGATGTGCTTACGCGGCACGAAGAACGCGACCTCAAGCGCGGGCTCGCGCAGCGGCACGTCTCAATGATAGCGCTTGCAGGTGGGCATCCTACAAACGAAGCTGATGGCAGGCGCGATCGGCACGGGCCTCTTCCTCTCCCTAGGCGGGAGCATCGCAACCGGTGGCCCTCTAGGCTCGCTCCTTGCATACTCGTTTATCGGACTTATCGTGTGCGCAGTGCAGTTCGCTCTCGGCGAGGTCTCAGCTCTGCTTCCCGTCACGGGCTCGTTCGTCCGCCATGCTGAGGCGTTGTCGGACCCGGCGCTGGGCTTCGCTCTCGGCTGGACGATCGTGTATGGCACATGGCTATCAGTGAGTTTCCCACAGACGAGACTGACGTAGATCCCCTCTGAGATATCCGCCATCTGCGTCCTTTTCGGATACTGGACGGATGTCAACCCATCCGCGTGGATTATGACGTTCATCGTCCTTACCGCCATTGTGGCTTTCAGCAAAATCCGCTACTTTGGCGAGATCGAGTTCGTCTCTGCCCTGCTCAAGATTCTGCTTATTGTGGGCATCATCCTCCTGGGCCTTATCACGGCGCTGGGCGGCGTCCCTGGTGTCCCCCGCGTCGGCTTCCGATACTGGCGTGACCCTGGCCCCTTTGTCCCGTACCTCGCGGATGGCAGCTGGGGCCGCTTCCTTGGCTTCTGGAGCGTGCTGATCAACGCCGTTTTCTCATTCTCAGGCATTGAGAGCATCGCCATGGCCGCTGCCGAGATGCGCAACCCCCGCGTCGTCATTCCGAAGGCATGCAAGCGCGTCTTCGCGCGCGTCGCTCTCTTCTATGTCCTTGCCGTTCTCGTCGTCGGCATGATCGTGCCCTCCAACGACCCGCGCCTGTCCGAGGACTCGGGGACTGCCGCAACTTCTCCCTTTGTGCTCGCGACCGCGGCGGCCCGTGTTGCCGCCATCCCTCACATCGTCAACGCGGTAGTCATCACCAGCGCATGGAGCAGCGGAAACCAAGCTCTTCTTTCCGGCTCGCGCGTCCTCTATTCCCTCGCACTCAAAGGCCAGGCCCCGCGCTTCTTCCTCCGCACAACGCGCTGGGGCACGCCGTGGGCGTGCGCCGCGACATACGTCCTTAGCTCGTTCCTCGCCTTCATGGCGCTTAGCGCGAGCGCTATCACCGTCTTCTACTGGTTCGTCAGCCTCGTCGGCTGCGGCGTCCTCATCTCCTGGTCCTGCGTCCTCTTCAACCATCTCCGCCTCCGCATGGCTTTCCGAAAGCAGGGGATCGATGCCCGGCGGCTGCCATGGCACAACGCGTGGACCCGTGAGCTTCCCATATGCTCTTCTGACGCCAGCGTACTCGTCCGCCGTTGCCCTCTTCTTCTGCATCATCATCCTGCTGACCAATGGCTTTGCCGTGTTCACCAAGGGCAACTGGTCCGTCTCGGGGTTTATCACTGCCTACTTGTAAGCACAGCGCGAGGTGGAGCTGATTACAGGGACATAGGCCTCGTCGCGGCCGTCTTCCTCGGCTGGAAGCTGATTAAGAAGACGCGGTGGGTCCGCCTCGCTGACATTCCGCTCGAGGAGATTCTGTCCGCGATGGAAGCACTCCCGGAGGAGAAGGATGAGCGGCCGCGCGGAGCAGTGCGGTTCATCTCATGGCTCTGGGATTAGGTGTGGATGCCTCGTGGTTTTAGCACGCCGTGTGCCGCCATGATGTGTGATGCAGGGCTGTCCGGCTCGATGGGATGACCGCGGCCGAACAGATACTACAGTACGAACACTGGGAACCATACTGGCGTGCTCATCCTCTCTATGCACTTGACACATCTCAAGTGCCGCAGGTCGAGGAATGGCAGCTGGGTGAATCAATTAGCCATCTGCGGATGCAGGGCGGTGCCTGAATACTCGAGTGTAAGTCATTGGGTGGAAACAATTCGGCAATTAGCATCCACCGCATGTCTCATTCACTTTAATTACCTCGGCAGGTCGGCAAGTCGGCAGGTCGGCAGGTCGGCAGAGCGTCCCGCTGCGCGTGGCGGGACAATGCGGGAGGTCCATGTGGATGTGGATGAGTGACTACACTGCTATCGTCATCGTCAAAGTCATCGATCCTGTGATAAAAAAGACCGGAAGCTCAACGAGGAGGCGTCGTACGTCCTCGTCGATATTCTCGGCCCATCGTGCCTCGCGGCCTTGTGATGGCGGATCTCATGCTCCAGTGCAGAGGCAGAGAGAGTATCTCGTGTCAGCTGCCAATGCAACTCGGCCGCGAGGCATCGACCGAGGCACCGTGCCGTTCCGCACACATAGTTTCGAGGTGTTTCACCAAGGTGCTAATGAGCGCGTGGCACGTCTGGGCCGATGCTGACTACGACTGACTTACTCTGTCAAAGTACTTGGGTAATGCTGAATGACAAAGCTGCATTTGCCGTGCAGCTGGTAGGTGGGCTATCACGAGATGGATGTATGGATGCATGTTGACGAGTCATGCGGGAATGAGGGAGGGGGAGGACGGGGAGGAGCGGAATTCCATCCCTGGGGGGATGGGGGAGAGAGAGAGAGAGAGAGAGAGAGGATCAAACTCGAGACGCGAAACGATCCCTTGCCCTCCCCACTCGTCCCCTTTTCCCACCAAAAACTCCGCCACCCATACAACATCCCCACGCCACTCCTCCCAGTGATGGTTTACAAGTAGTTCATGGAGAGTTTGCTTGGGAACATGCAACGGCCCACAGTGCTGCATGCTGAGACGAGGGGTGGCGTGTTGAAGAGGCACTAGGGGCGCAGTTCCTTGCATTTGTACTGTACATGGGGCCGTGGGGGTGTTGCCTAGCGACGAGGCGCGAAGACCTGTGAAGTGCCAGTCTCAAGTGGACAGGACCTGCTTGACCCTGACAACTCTCCTGCAAAAGGTTGTGCTCCCCACTCCCCGCGGAGGCCGTCCGTCACCCTCCACCTGTTCATCTGGCCTCGCTTCTTATCGACTCATCTCCTCTACTCTCTCCTCTCCACTCCTCTCCGCTCGACGTTCTTGTCCCTCCTCGCCCTCTGGTCGCTACCCGCCTCACAGCAGGATGATGGTCAGCATGAGCACGCTCATCAGGCCCTCCCGCTTCGGCCTCCTCCTCGTCACCATCATGGCTATCGCCCTCACCGTCCTCTACAGAGAGCACCTTCCCCCCGTCCCCCCCATGCTCCCAGAGGGCTCTGAATGGCCCTCGTTCGAGAACTCGCTCGACCACGTCCCATACTTTGGCTCCAACCACGAGACCAAGGCCGTCGAGCGTGCCCGCGCAATGTGGGCCTGCGACCGTTGTCTCGTCAACGAGACGCTGTGCGAGAAGTTTGGCACGTAAGTCTGACGACCCGGAAGGCGCTCATCTCAGACGCATCGTTGATCTTTCGCGCGCGTTTGACGGATCTGGCGCGCGTGTCCAGCGCGTCCTCAAGAGAGCCATGGCGGGAGAGCCGATCATCACGGGTGGCATGGGAGGTTCCAGTGAGTTTGCACGCGTTTATCGCAAGCGCGGACCACCGAGGTGATGCAGGAAGGAAGAGGGAGACATCCAATTGCTTCGGACCTGGGAGAGACACCCGGGTGAAACACCCGTGATGATTGTGTATCAGCCACCACTTCTTTTGAACGCGACGCGCGCGATAACGCATGGCCCAACGCTAACCTGCAGTCTCCAAAGGCCACGGCTGCAAATGCGACCCATGGCACATCCAAATGTTCCAGTGGTGGAACCAGACTTTCCCCCACCCCGGAAATTGGCACTCGGACGGTGCAGTCGGTGCACGCGGCAGTGACTACTTCAAGTGAGCTCGCAGCCATTTCTTTCAACTGACCCAAGGTACTGCCATCATGAACACCTTGACCCTAACGTCGATATCATCTTCCTTGAGACTTCAGTCAATGACTTGATGTGCGTACCTTCCCCTTATCACATTTCGGCGAGTTGAACCGCTGGCGACAAGTGAGAGGGGCAGATGATCGCGGTCGTGGCAGCAGTTGAAGTCTTCACGCTTCGGGGGCGGGTGGGCGCAGCTGCTCACACCCGCACCCACCCCCAACCACCCATCTCCCCCCATTGACTCCGCTGACGTGCAGGAGTGATATCAACTTTGACAACTTCGAGGCTCTCCTCCGCGCGCTACTCAGTTACCCTAAGAGCCCCGCCGTTGTGATTCTGCAGACGGTCAAGCTCAACAGCCCGATTCGATACGGCTCTGAGCACCAGTTCGGTCTCGCGGGCTACTACGACGTACCGGTCATCAACATCCGCAACTGGCTCTTCCCGGCATTCTTCCAGAACACGTCGAGCGTTGAGAACTGGTTCCTTCCCGATGACCTTCTGCACCCGAACGCTGAGGGGCACCTCGTCATGGCCGAGCTCATTCAGCTGTATCTGTACCAGCAGGTGCGTAGTAATTGCCGACACGCGCTAATTGTAGATGTGCTACATCAACAACAGTCGGCCACACGTCCCACCAAGCCACAAGGCCATCATTACGCAGGAGGACGCGTTCGACGTCGAAAGCATTCCACCATTGCGCATGGGTCAGCGCTTCAGCCCAGACTTTAAGCCTGAGGAAGACCTGCGCCCCGTTTGCTCTTCTGTCGATTCGACCAAGTCACCGCTTCAGCCTCTGATGTCGGAGACCAAGAATTGGGAGCTGTGGGAGCAGCCCGGGACCAAGGGCGAGAAGAAGTTCTGGCGGGCCACGGAGATTGGTGCCCAGATCACGTTTGAGGTTGACTTGCAAGTGGGATATGTGTGAGTACAAGCGGGAAAGCAACCCGTGAAGCATTCGCTCATTTTAGCGACGCGTACTTCCTCAAATCACCAAAGAACAAGCTCGGTGCCGTCGAGTGTTGGCTCGACGACGAGAAGGACCCGAAGAAGCGGGACCGCCTGGACGGGTTCTGGTCGCGTCCCGAGAGCATTGGACAATTCCAAAAGTTTGCATTTGGGCGCAAGGACTCGCTCCTGCCGACCGGCAAGCACAAAATCCATTGCGAGATTGTCGACAAGACGAGCAGCAAGGAGAAGGAGGTCAAGGACCGGACGACATTCCAATTCATCGGCATCTTTACCGTGTGATCTTGACTGCATTGTACGAGGGCGCGGCGGCGCGGGGCGATCTTAGAGGGCACCAAGGCCTTGTCATGTCTTCGGCCTAACCTGTAGAGCATGAATGTCTGCATCTAGCGGGGGCGGCTGACTGCCAATTGACACAGACTTATCATCGCTATCACGGGAGAGTCACCGGCGTTCGGTCCTATTCAACATTCCATCAACACGACTTGCTCGCCTTCAGCGCAGCGTCCACGATTTCGGCCATGCGGATGACGGCCTCGTCTTCGTCCTTTTGCCCAATAATCTGGACCCCAATTGGCCCGTTCTTGTACACCTCGGGGTCGTCTGCCGTCAGCCCAGCCACAGTCGCAGTTCGCCACGTACACATCTCCCAAAGCTCTTTGTCAAGCCAGTTATAGTAGTCGTCCCGGGTCACCTTGAGGTCCTTGGCCGGATTAACGCGCGTCACCGGAATGACGGCTGAAGGCAGATCCGCGAGATTACACCACGCCGTATATCCATAGTACTGGCGGCCGCGGAGCGTCTGCGGCGGCGTCGCGCTAACGGGGCAGATGATGGCGTCGACAGGCCGCCCGGTGCCGGTATGCTCCGCAGTGCGGTTCCAGTGATCCAGCTGCTCCTTCAAGAAACGCTGCTTCCGATACTGTATCTCCCAGTACTTGGTGATCGTCACCTCGTCCTCGAGGAGCGTCTCGGGCCCGCTTCCCAGCGGCCCGACGCGCGGCTCGCCCGACAGCGCGAGCGTGTCGTACAGGTCCTTGTGCCCGTCGGCCATCCACACCTCTCCGAAGAGCGCGTACCCCCGCTCGGCATCGTACGCTTTCCAGGGCACGACGGTGTGTCCCGCTGTCTCGAGCGCGGCCTTGACGTCGGCCAGCGCGCGCGCATACGGGGGCGCGGCGCGCACGAACCCGTCGTCGGACATCATGCCGAAAACCAGGCGCTCGCCGCCCCCATGCTCGGCAAGGCGGTACCGCTCCTCGCTCCACGGCATGCGGAGGACGACGGGATCGAGGCGCCACGGGCGGCCATCGATCACGGCCTTGAATGCGAGGCGGAGGCCATCGACCGTCGCCGCCATGGGGCCGAGGACAGAGCGCAGCGACTCCTGACCTGTGGTCAGCGGAGCCCCCACCGCACTCACCTTCTTGCGAGTTGCACGTGCCCTCGTACGGGAAGCGCTGGTACGACGGGCGCAGTGAGTAAAGCCCACTGAAGCCGGCGGGGATGCGCACGCTGCCGCCGATATCCGAGCCGACACCGAGCACGGATCCGCGGAGCGCGATAAGTGCGCCCTCGCCGCCCGACGAGCCGCCCGGCGTGAGGTTGCGCTGCTGTCAGCTATGGCCCGGAGCACGCACATTGTGCGGATTACACGTCTCGCCGAAGACGTTGTTCACGGCGGCGCCGAAGCCGAGGTGCTGTGCAACATTCGTGATGCAGTACGGCACGGCGCCCGCCTCCACGAGCAGTGTAGTAATCGCCGCATCGGACTCGGGCACGCGCCCGAGCCAGCCCACAAAGCCGAAGGAGCGCTCGACGCCCCGCACGGCAATCTGCTCCTTCAGCGACACGGGGAGGCCGTGCAGCGGGCCGCGCGGGCGGCCGGTGCGCGCATACTCGGCGTCGAGGTCGCGCGCGTGAGCCAGCGCCCGGTCGAAAAAGATCTCCGTCAGGCAGTTGGTCTGCGTCAGCGCTGTCGCGGGGGACGCACGAGCTGGTGCGCGATCGCCGCGCGCCGGCAGAACGCCGAGACCACCTCCTCCGCCGAGTAGGTGCGCGCTTTGAGCGCATCGAGGAGCGCCGTGATGCTTGGCGTGCCGGTGATTTCGAGTTCGCGGGCAGAGAGGATGCCGCTCGTCGCTGGGACGGACGATACGTCGAGATCCGTGGGGGCGGAGGGCAGGAGCGTGTCCTTTGGAAGGAGGGCGTCGCGCTGGGCGCGCTTCGCGGCCGCCTTGGCTTCCCAGTCTGTCATGATGCCAGGCAAACGGACAGGCGTTGGTCAAACGCGCGGGCGTGGGAACGTATTATATGTCGACGCTGAAACGACGCTGAAAGACGCTAACCCCGGCCGCCGGTGGGCAAGCTGTCTCGGAGAATGGATTCCATGTCAGTCCGAGTCTCGGTGACCTCATGGCCCACGCCGATAGATTAGCCACGTTTGGCCGAGATTAGCTCATCTTCAACCTTTACCCGTTCGAACCGGTACATGCCGGTGCCGTGCCAACATACTTCCATACTCTCGCTTCCGCCCTCGTCTCCGGGCTTCCGTGGAGCCGCCCGCTACAAAATGACTCGCAGCTAGCAAACGTGTTGCGAGTGCTTGCAACTGCACCGCAGTCATGTCGTGAGTGTCCGCATTGCACAGCTGAGACAGCGCCCCCACGTCCCTCCCCAACGGCGCCACGCTGCAGGCGCTCTACGCGCACCCCCTGCCCAATGCGCCCGGCCTCAAGATCGTCGCGGTCAAGGTTACGTACGAGCCGGGCGGATACACCGTGAAGCACCGGCACGGCGCGGCATTCGTGGCCGCCGTCGTGTTGGAGGGGCGCGTTGAGTCGGGCGTTAATGACGCGCCACCCAAGACCTACGGCGCTGGCGAGAGCTGGTCCGAGAATCCGGGTGACTGGCATACAGTCAGCCGCAATGCCAGTGCGACTGAACCGGCCGAATTCGTTGCAACGTTCGTTTGTCCCGTCGACCAGACGGAGTATGTCATGTACGTTGGGAGGAGGATGGGGCTGACGCCAGCTTTGACTGCCCAGCGTGTGAGGTCGCCCGGGACGCCTAGCGCCTCTGCGGCGGCGGATATCGTGTTCCTAGGTAGTCCCGTAAATGCAACGTGCTTTGGAGCTTGGTGGCTGTCGGAATGCAACACCGGAATGCAATGTGATCTGCATGCCGCTGACGGTGCGCCACAAAGCGTCGATCATGTCTCTCCCCGCAGCAACATACAGAGCAATCAGAGCTTACATGAAGACACAACTATAGAGCCGGAACAGGCGCTACGCTTTCTCTCCTACACTATTCCGGTTGTCCAGGCGGAGCGACGACACAGACGCTGCGTTGCTCTCACCGCGGTACAGCGCGTTGATGGCAGCCGCCGTCGACCCGCGGCGGAGGAGCCCGGCGCGCACATGGCTCTCCATCTCCTCAGCGGCGCGCTCTCGCGCCTCCTTGACGGGGTAGTCGAAGAGCAACGTGATCTCCTCAAGCGAGAGATTCCGCGAGTCGATGAGGTAGAAGTAAAAGTAGGCCATGTACGCGAGGTTGATCGCCACGTATACAAAGTAGTACTGCCGTCAGCTTGGCTTCGGCGCGACTCACCTTCCATGTAATCTTCTCGAACGCAATGGGATTGACGAATTGGTTGAAAGCGTTGGAGCCCGTCTGCATTGCCACGAAAAGGGCGAGACCCTTGGTACGCAGATGGAAGGGCTGAATTTCGGTGCAGTAGTGGAATGGAATGGACATCCACGCAATGTCGTACAAGCCGTAGTAGAGGAAGAGCATGGGGATGGAGGCAATGCCGAGGTTGACATTACCCTTCTCCTCGTATCCGGCCGAGAAGCCACCAACGAGCGCCATGGTGATGACCATACCCCATCCCGAGATGAAGAAAATGGTGCGGCGACTGACGGACTCGACGTAGAGCGCGGCGACCTCGGACACGACGAGGTTCCACATGTTCATGCCATTATTCAAGTTGATCGTCTTGATTGGGTCCGAGATACCGACAGACTCGAGGATCGGCGTGAGGTAGTAGCCAACGAGACCCGAGCCGTTCCAGTTAGTGCCTGAAGCCATGACGAGGCTCATCATCAGGCGGCGGCGGTTGCCCTTTGTGCGCAAAAAGTCGCGGAAGCCAGACTTGTTCTCCCCGCCCTCGGCCTCGAGCGCAAGCACCATCTCATTGTACTCGAGCTGCACGAGCGGGTCGTCCTCCTTGCCGTTCGCGTGATACTTGGCCAAGACGGCCAGTGCCTCGTCGTACTTGCCCTTGTTGGCCAGGAACTGGGCGTCAATGCCAAACCTCCACCGCCAAGACTTACGCGGGGCGACTCGGGCATCGACAGTGAGATGAGGAGCACGCCGATTGGCGCCGCAATCTGCGCGATGCACGACAGGCGCCAGCTCCAAGTGCCAGGGATGTAGAGGCCCGCGACTGGGGTGAGCCTGCATGTGGTTGTCTTGGCGGTTCACTCACGACAGAGGTAACCCGCGACGATAGCACCGAGGAAAAACCAGCCATAATAGCTCGAGGCAAGGACGGGGCGGAGGCGGGGGTGCGCGATCTCCTGGAGCAGTGCTGGAGCCACCACTTTAGTGATGGCGCCGCCGGCGCCCAGAATGACACGGCCGCCCGCGAACTCTCCTTGGTTGCGCGAGAGTGCGTTGACGATGGCGCCAATGATAATGAGCACCGAGCCCGTCCACACCGCGGGCTTGCGCCCAAACCTCATGCTAATCCATGAGCCGACGAACGCGGCGGGAATGCCAGGGAAGTAGAGCGCCGATGAGATGAGGCCGAGCGTCGTGCCTGTTGGGTTGTCAAAGTACTCGTCCCACTTTTGTCAGCACTCCCCGCCGCAACAGTCGCTGCCAACGCACCTGTGGAATGGATTGGAGACACGCGAGCAGGCTCTGATCATAGCCTAGATAAAAGACGCAAAGACACAGTCCCATGCAGTGGTAGACGTTCTTGCGCAGTCCCTTGTCCTTGTACCATGTCGGATGTGTGTTATCTGTTTTCGGGTCAGAAAAAGTCGCAGAGGTAGAGGCGCGGGGAATGCTTACTCGGTACATCAAGGATGTGTGTTTTGACCATTTTGAGAAGCGCCTGAACTGGAAAAGCACGGTGGGGGGGCGCGATGGGAACGCGGGACTCGCCTATATAGAAAGAGGATGGGAAGTAGAAGGTGGGGGAGGCCAAGCAGGAGGTTGAGGAGCGAGCATGCATGAGCCTAGCAGCCTTGGGCTGAGGCTGAGACCACAAGCGTCCGGCTCCTCGCATTGGATGAGCGGTAGCGGGCTCGGCGGGCTTGGGAGCTAGCTGGTAGCTGGTCGATCAGGCGATCTGGCGACGAACAGCATCGATCCGGAGACAGGCGGTAAGGGAAGCCACCGACGTCTTGTTCTTGGTACGGCCTTGGTGCAGGGCCGCATGGAGCCAAATTTCAGAAGCCCCGGCGGGAGACTTGGACGCTGTCTCGGCACGGCGCAGACGGTGGAGCGGAGAGAGATTGAGACAAACGGCTTCCAGGCACGATGTGCAGTGTGTGGGGCGCAGTGCACGAGCCCGGCCAGGCACGGCGACGGAGGGGCCAAAAGGAAAAGATGCACGGTCATATAGTTCAGGGTCATATTGTACCTGGGGGGTGAGTCACGTGGCGATGGGCGGCCGCTGATCCAATCATCAGGCAGGATTGGCAGATTGCCACGCTCGGGGAGGCCGAGTTTCACCAAATACCTCCGTTTTGAATCGATCCCGGATGACTCTCGTCGTTTGACATGCGCCGAAAGCTGCTTTCTTCCATTGCAATCCATCACGCTGTCGTTTACAGCGCGGCTTGCGTACACCAGTACGTACACGTTCCTCGCCCTAACTGTCTGCGTTTCCTCATTGCTGCCTCGCGCAGTGCTCGCTTTGACTATGCTCAAGCGAATGCTCGCCGATGTGGTGATCTGATCAAAACCCACGCCTCCATTATCATATCTCAGGGGCGATAGCACAGATATGACTAACGCATAACGGGAGACCATGACTCGACGTCCCAGAGAGACGAGATCGAAACTGGCGCCACCACCCTCTCTGGATTTGCTCCGGGGCCGTTCCGAGGGATGGGGCCCACGCCACCTCTGCGCCCGCCAATGCGCACAGCGACGACTGCATTCACAATCCACAATCTAATCATAGGGTAGCGCGTTGTACGTACACCCTCGGTGCCTCACATCTGTTGCGCGGGGATCAACCGCCAGGCCCGCAATTAAGGGCCCTGCCCAAGACAGCGGTATGACCTCATGCAGACGATAGACCTGCCTCCCGTAATGTGATGCGCTTTGAAGCACTGAGCGGCGCGAAAGCGACCGGAATCGCATCCTTGCGACGGGCTGATGCACATGACGAAAGCCAGCATGTCAACGTCCCACTGTTTAGCGACATGGGACAAATCGTACAGCTTGTCAGCACTGGCTCGCGCCGACTGCTGTCTCTGCTATTGGACTTGGCCGAGTCGCGTGTGAGCGCGACGTCTTCGCTCGCGGGTCCTCACTAGAACCACGAGATACTTAATAAACAAGATGAATTGACTGTAAGGTTTGACGACAAACATTCATTGCACCTATGCCAAAGTACTGTAATCTTCCTACCCTGCCGCTGAGCGCCCCCTTCTGAGTCCAATTGCCGTCTACTCGTCCTCATCCTTGTCGATAACAGTAGTCTTGAATTTACGAGCAGGCACGGCCCGATGCCACAACAGGTCAAGTTCGCGCACACTCCTGTCCTTTGTTTCGGGAACCATGAAGTAGACAAATGTGAGGACGCCGCATGCGGTGCCAAACCAGATGAAAGCTGAGCGGCCCTGCAGGTTCCATGCGAGAGGGTTGAGAGAGTAACTCTGGATAAAACCCATGGGCACAGCGATGGCGTAGTAAGCGGCGCGAGCGATAGCACAGGTCTGTGCGCGGAGCTTGATCGACGATACCTCGGCGACAATAGTGAACGTGATGGGCCCGACGGAAAGACCGTATGATGCGTACACGAGCATAAGGAATGTCGCCTGGACCCAGAAACTCGCGGCGCTACTGCTCGCAACAGCCGCGATGCCGATTGCGAGCAGCATCAGCGTTTGGAAGCTCACGCCAGATAGGTACAGCCTGCGCCGGCCGACGCGCGTGACGAGGTGGAAGGCGACGAGAACAGCCGCGAGCTGGACACCTGACGTGCCCAACCCAAGACCAAACGCCTTGTCCGCGCCCATGCCCGCGACGGTGTAAAAGTAAGTTGCCATGTTGCCAATGAGAAGGCCGCTCCAGTTCTGCGCGGCGAACATGAACGAGGCGACGAGCGTGCGCTTCCCGTCCACACCCCTGAGACAGGAGACGAGGGACGCGCCCTCGGTCAGCGCGTTCTCGATCTCGATTGTGCGCGCCATCATTGCCACGACGGCGGCAGGATCGCGAGGCGACGCTTTGGACTCTAGGCGCCGGACGACGCGCTGCGCCTCCTCGAGCCTGTCCTTGCGCACAAGCCACCACGGCGATTCGGGGGCAAAAACCATCGCAGTAATTAGCGGGACAGGCCAAATCCACTGCAGGGCGAATGGAATCTTGTACGACCATTTGGTGGTGCCGTTGCGGAAGGCGAAGAGGATGCCCGATGTCATGAGCTGCCCCACGCACCTAATGTCAGCGCGATAGAGGTGAGAGGATGCAGCACCCACCAGCACACTTGGTTCCACATGGTTGCGTGTGCGCGCAATGGAAGGGGCACAATCTCGGACGCGTACGCCTGGGCGATGGCGTTGTAGAACCCCCAGGGCAGGCCGGCGAGGAACTGTCCCACGAAGAGGACCGGGAGGGTCTCGGCGAAGAAAGTGACGAAGATAAAGCATGTCATGGCGACGAGAGCGCCAATCATCGTTTTCTTGTACCCGAGGTGAGGCTGAATATAGCCGCAGATGAGGATACCCACGAACGCGCCGATTGTCGACGCGTAGTTGCACGCGCTCTGCCAGGCCGGCGGCACTTGATATCCACTGCCGTCGGGCAGCGGCTGCCCAAAATGACGCTGAAACGCGGGCTGCGCCATAAGGTTGGACACTAGAGCCGCGTCATATGCCTCCATGACCTAAATTCAGCTCTTTTGCTTCTCCTGGCTCTAGATCATACGCACAATCACCATGGACATGACCATGGACCAGAACGCCGCCTTAGGGAACAGCTGGAGGGCCGCCAGAACGCCCATATGCTCTTGATCCTCGGCGGCGACCGCCTCCGCGAGGTGGGCTTTGTTGGCTTCGTGCACGACATGCGTGTCCTTGTGTTCGAAGAGCTCCTGCCCCGGCTTCTCATCCACTTCCTGGATGTCCTTGATGTTCGGGGTCGACATGGCTGGTTGCTGGGAGCCCCTCACCCTCACGCGTTATTTATCTGTCGACGCCCCGGAGAGACCGGGTGTAGCGAACAGTAAGTCAGCGGGGACCCGATGGCCCCACATCCTTGTTTGCGTTTGCAGTTGCGCGGAGTTGATCCGAAGAGATGGGAGTTGTGCATGGCAGTCAGGAATCGGCCCTAACTGAGCAGTGTCATTGGCTAAACGGGGATATCCACATCGGACAAAACAGTGCTAGGCCGGAAGTGTACCCCGGCTCTGCTCTGAGAACAGCTGAGGCTCACTCCCGTATTAATCGGACCTCCATATCGTTGCAGTCCATCGGGATTGACAGATCGGGGGTAGCGGTTGGTATCCACCGGGAATAATGATCTCAGCCGTTGCAACCGCACCGGGCTAGCCTCACTCATGGGAGCCGCTTTCAAGGCTCTCTTGCTTTGAAACCCGGGTCAGAGTCCGTCGTGATTTCCAGCCGCCTTAAAGTATCTATATAGTCCCTATGTCCACCTCTGCTGCTCCTGTCCAGGTCTCGCCCAGTCCCAACGTCACCATGACCGCCGACAACGCCCGTAAGCTCAAGGTTGCGCTCTTCGGCGTAGGCCGTCTCGGCTCCATCCGTGCGCGCATCCTACTGGCCTCGCCACGCATTGATCTTGTCGCAGTTTGCGACCCCAAGCCCGGCGCCGATGCCTGGGTGGCTGGCAACATGCCGGCGCGTATCCGATTCTTCGCGGATCCGGAGGACTGTCTTCTGCACTCTGGCGCAGAAGCAGTTCTGATCTCAACCGCGACCGCCACGCACGCCCCCCTTGTCCTCCGAGCCCTCGACCTCGATCTCCACGTCATGGTGGAAAAGCCGATCGCAGTCGACATCGAGACTACCCGCACCGTGGTCGAGGCCGCCCGCAAGAAGCCTCACCTCAAGCTCCTTGTGCCCTTCTGCCGCCGCTTCGACGAAAGCTATCGACACGTCAAGCGTATGGTGGATGCGGGTGAGCTGGGTGAGGTTCACGCCGTCGAGACGTCATGTCTGGACCAGCAGGATCCAAGCGGGTTCTTTGTCGCGTTCTCCGCCCAGTCGGGTGGCATTTTTGTCGACATGGGCATTCACGACATCGATATTGCCCGCTTCTACCTTCAGCCGACAATCGGCTGCCCCAACCCAAGAAAGCAGGTGAATCGCGTATTCGCTGTGGGCCAAACCGCCGTGTATGGTGCTCTCAACGAGTTCCAAGACGCGGACAACGGCTTCGCTATTGTTGAGTTTGCCAATGGCAAAATCCTCACGTTCCACATCGGACGCACCCTCACCAACGGCTTTGAAAGCGCCACACGTGTGTTTGGAACCAAAGGTAGCGCAATTGTCAACGGCAACTCCACCATCGACCGCGTAGAGGTGCGCGACGTGCACGGCGTGCGGACCGCCACGACGCCTGATGCGTTCGTGCTGTACGACAAGAGCTTCCTGAATGACGTGGCAGAGTTTGCTGAGTGTGTACTTGATGACAAGGCGCTCTCCCTTGACGCCGACGATGCGTATGAGGCGGCCAAGATTGCAGCTGCGCTCCAGTACTCGTTCCGCAAGCGCGTACCCGTCCTCTTTAACGAGGAGGGACTGCCAGTTATGGAGTAATTATGTACTGTTTTGGCGAGCTAGATTGTTGGTCTATGAACTGTTTTGAGGTACCACTACCCCACATTCAGTGTGCTGACTCAGTATACGGGTGCATGAGTGCCGACGTTTTGCTCCAGGTCCCCTCATAGCTGTGTGAACTGCAGTGTTTCTCAATCCGCACGCAACATGCCGTGCCATGTCCACTTCGGTGAGAAAACAGACCCATTAGGTTGTGGACATGTGAAAGATCCCGTTGAGACAGCACTTCAGCTGGGGGCACGAGCGCACCGCACGGGCATACGTTTGAGGACGCAGTCATTTCCTGATTTTCGAGGTGAGGGTCAACCGGACATATCATGCAGTTATGCCCGGTCCGATGTTTGTACCATTCTTCCTGATCTCCGATCTGCTTCCTTGTATCGATGGCCTTACTTCCCTGGTCGCCCGCCCCATCAGACACAGTCCGATGCCCCACCTCTCATGACGTCCGGCCTTGTTCCGTCTCATCTCGGTTTTACGCGTGCTGCTATGTAGACTTGCAGTGGACGTTCGACCTGAACGGAATGTCCGGCTATCAAGCACTTACAACATCTGTGCAGTAAAAGCACTCAGCGGCAGCCGCCTGCACTCTATAAAGTGTTGAGCTGAGCTCAAGCCAACGGCCAACGGCAAATCAAACAGCACTCCCCATCTGTTGCGTCCTGCACACCATCATGTCTCCAACCGCCATTCTTGACACCACTCCCGCGGCTGATGTTGCCGACGCCACCAGCCTCAAAGCGAAAGTCGCGGACGAGAGACCACCGCTTGCCGACAATCACATGTACGACTTCCAATATAACCATGCGCTCCCCACAGTCGAGGTGCTCGGCACTAAGATACCCGAGGATATAAACGTAACTGAGGTTGCTGAGGACATCCTCTCTGCCTTGTCATCTGCACTCTCGACTGGCGACGCCGAGGCCTTCGCTGCCCTATTTCTGGAGTACGGCGTGTGGCGCGACAAGCTCGCATTTACCTGGGACTATCGCACGTTTAATTTCCGCCCAGCGATCGCAAAGGCCGCGGCCGACCTCCTCCCCTCGGCGCATGCCAGCAAATTCGAACAGTTTACTCCCCTCCCAGCGATCCATCGCCCCTACCCCGACCTCGAGTATCTCCAGTTTTGCCTCAAGTTTGACACGCCGCTCGTACACGCAAGCGCCATGATCAATGCTGTCCTTACTCAAGAGGGGTGGAAAATCTGGACTCTCCATACCGTCGCCGAGGACCTCATTGACTTCCCGGAACTGCCGCCAGCCGACGGTCACATGACCGGCGACGTTAGCTTCGAGGCGCAGCGCGAGAAGGACGACGACGAGATTCGCCCGGACGTTCTCATTATCGGCGGTGGGCAGAATGGCCTTGCCCTCGCCGCTCGTCTTAAAGTTCTCGGTGTTCCCACCCTCATCGTGGAGCGCGCCGCTACCATCGGGGAGGTTTGGCGCAAGCGCTACGAGTACCTCTCCCTCCATTTTCCCCACTGGGCTGACCATCTCCCCTACTTCCCCTACCCGGAGCACTGGCCGACGTACACGCCCGCCCAGAAGCAGGGTATGTATATGGAGTGGTACGCCAACGCTATGGAGCTTTCCATCTGGGCAAGCTCATCCGTTGTCGAAGCCCAGCAGGATGCAAACGGCTGGACTGTCAATGTCAATAAGGGCGGCATTGCGGTGCGCACCCTTCATCCCAAGCATGTTGTCATGGCCACCTCCCTCTGCGGCATCCCCATGATCCCGCAAGTCCCAGGTCGTGAGCTGTGGAAGGGCACCGCGCGGCACTCGACACAGCACGACTCTTCGCGCAACTGGATCGGCAAAAAAGTGCTCGTCGTCGGCACCTCATCCTCTGGCTTTGACACCGCGTACGACTGTGCGCGCCGCGACATCGACGTGACTCTTCTTCAGCGCTCGCCGACGTACATCATGTCCCTCACGCATTCCGTGCCCCGCGCCATCGGCGGATACGCGCCCAAAAACGGCGTCCGCCCTGACCTTGAGGAACAGGACCGCATTGCGTTCGCGATGCCAGTTGGACCCGCTGAGGAGCTCTCACGACGCAACGCCCAGGCCCTTGAGACCCTGGACCGCGAGTTGCTTGAAGGTCTTAACGCTAAGGGCCTACGTACCTGGCGCGGCCAGCGTGGGACCGGCAACAGCACGCTCGGCCAAACACGCAATGGCGGCTTCTACTTTGACGCAGGTGCGTGCGAGCAGATCATCAACGGCAAGATCAAGGTCGAACAGGGCTACATTGAAAGCTTCACCACGGACAAGGTTGTGCTCTCGGGTGGCCGCGAGTGCGAGTTTGACCTAGTCGTTTTCGCTACCGGGTTCTCTAGCGCGGTCGATAGCGTCAAGGCTACGCTTGGTGAGGAGATCGCTTCCCGCTGCGGCCCAATCTGGGGCATAGATGAGGAGGGCGAGTTCCGTTCTGCGTACAAGCATTCGGGCGTTGACAATCTCTGGATGATGGTCGGCTACCTCCCCTACACGCGCTACCACTCGAAGCGCATGGCTATCCGGCTCAAAGCCCTCATCGAGGGAGTCTCCCCACCACCTTACACTGCCTAGATGTTTGACCGGTACTCCTCCTACTTTCATAGGGGGCTTCGGGGTGGCTGCTGCCCCGGCTTTAAAGTAGATTTGAAATGTGTCATCCCATCCTTCGCTGCAGGCTGTCGAATGCAGGGCTGCATTAATAGACACAAGTGCCGCAATTGATGCTCAAATATGCTGCAGAGAAACATACGACTTTATGCACGAGGAGACAAATGAACGCGTGCACGTGCACGTGCATGAACAGAGTACGTACGACTTCAGTACTACAACAGTGGCAACTTGCGTCTCGCTAGGCCCTACTGCCCTGTCATCATCCAAAGCGTGGCCGCCGCTGGTGCGGAGGTTTCTGTTACTTGGTGATAAATGGTATTCATGTATCTGGGATGGAGACGGATGCGTCAAATTCTCCCATCTAACAGACTACGGAGCTCCCAAGCTCAATTCCGTACGTCCGATGCAACTCCGCTGCCCATCTCCCAAGGACAACGAGTGGAACTCGTATGGGTCCCGCCTGAACTCCGACCCTCTGACGACTGTTACGTTCTCAATCGGGGCTAAGACTGATATCCGAGCCTCAGCCCCGCCGGATTTGATCCACTGCCCGATCCGTTATACCCGATAACGAGGAAAGCCTTACACGGGCCAGCCGACATCGGTCACTGCAATGCCTTAAGACCGTTGAGCGCCCCAGCTTCCGCACCCCCTTCCCAACACGACCATGCCGACCTCTTTTACTCTCCCCTCCCACTTCCAGCTGAACACGGGCGCTAAGATCCCCGCCGTCGCACTGGGTACCCCCTCTCACCACTCGTCTGCTGATATTAGGCACGTGGCAGTCGATGCCAGGTGAGGTGCGCAATGCCGTTTCATTCGCTCTCAAGAACGGCTACCGCCACATTGATGCGGCGCTCATCTACAAAAATGAGCATGAGGTGGGGCAGGGGATCAAGGACAGCGGGGTTCCCCGCGCCGAGATTTTTATCACTTCCAAACTTTGGAACACCCACCAGGCGGACGCAGCTGAGGGTCTTCAACAAACACTCGAAGCACTCGGCACGGACTATCTTGACCTGTACCTTGTGCACTGGCCAGTACGTTTGGTGCCGCAGTCTTCTGGCGACCCCCTTCTTCCCGTAAATCCCGACGGCACGCGATCAGTGGATCGCACGTGGGACCAGGCTGAGACCTGGCGGCAAATGGAGGAGCTGTACGCCAGCGGCAAGGTCAAGGCTATCGGTCTTTGCAACTGGTCCATCCCCTACCTTGAACAGCTCAAGAAGACCTGGGAGGTCGTGCCCGCCGTCAACCAGTGCGAGCTGCACCCTTTCCTGCCCCAGCACGCGCTCAGAAACTACTGCGCCGAACTTGGTATCCTCATGGAAGCATACTCGCCCCTGGGAAGCACGGGCGCTCCGCTCATGAGTGACACTGAGATCGCCGCCATCGCCGAGGCACACAGTGTGTCTCCCGCTACGGTGCTAATCAGCTATCACGTCAACCATGGCACGGTCGCGATCCCGAAGAGTGTCAGCGAGAAGCGTATTGCGGCCAACCAGACGGTCATCAAGCTCTCGGAGAAGGAGATGGCAGTTCTCGACGGCCTTGCCGCCAAGGGCAAGGCCAAGCGGATCAACACCCCACTGTGGGGGTGGGACCTCGGCTTCGACGACTGGTACGCACCTGCCGGTAAATAGAAGTATTCAACGTACATGTCCTCTCGTAGACTTATGTTGAAGCGATGGAGGGGTCCGGCCGCATTGGCGGTCATTTCGTTGGACTGCCGTGACTGACTCAGCTCGACGGCTGCCGTTGACTTAGGCAAGTATAGTGACCGTTGAGTTTAGGCAAGTATTGTGACCGTTGAGTTGGGGTGTTACTAAACCTTGAAGTGGCATGGGGGTACCGTGCTACAGAAACTTCAGACATTGAGAAGTCCAAGGGCCTTTGTTATCAACCACACGTGAGCATCGTCGTGTCAACTTTCATATTGCCCTTGGACCCACTGCGCTCTACGCCGCGCCATCATCCGAGCCCGTAAACATGGTGGACTTGCCCTGCTCTTTCCGCCCCGGTGGATTCTGGTTGTCGGTGTCGCATTCCGGAGTAGTGGGAGACAGGCTTTCCAGGTCGTCGCCGCCGCCGAAGATGCAGCGTGTGATGTACCCTGCATTGGGTAGGTCCGTCAAGATTTTGATCTAGTCAGTCTCGGGTGTTAGGGGGCCATCCCAGATGCATCGCTGGTACCGGACATCATCCACTATTAAGCCCGATCCTCACCTGTCAACCATCGGAGGTAGGACTCAATAGCCGGACTCGTATATCCGAAATCGATTCGAAGCCAACATGCCATTCCTCGCACTTCTCAACAACTCTCCTCCAGCATGTCAGATCTCCTCCCATCCTCGGGCTCGAAGAGGCCCTCGCCTGTTGAGGTGACCCTACCCAAGAAGAAACGAAGGCAACGCAAGACTTTTGCATGCGCAGGTGGGCGCCCAAATTGTCATTGCTCAAACAGAATGCCGGCGACTCAAGATGAAGTGCGATCGGCAGGGTACGTCGCCGCGCACCACTTCATGTGGCTTACAGCAGTGCCTTGTGCACACTGCGTGCGGCGCCGGTGCTCCGATATATGTCCCGACGGCGTACAGACCGACGGTCTCCAGCTGTGCGTCCTCAAAGGCGCAGGACTGACTTCACTGACGACAGATTGTCGGAGGCGTCCAATCGCCACCGCCACCGCGGGCAGGCCAGTGATGACCACGACGGTACCCCCGCCGTTCAGTCACCTGCACGCGCCTCAACTTCACCACCTCGCTCTGCATCGTCGTCCCTGCTACCCATCATGCCCGGGGTAACAATTCCTGCAGTCGTGCCCGATCTTGTGCAATCTTCCTCCACGAACTCACCAAGCTTCTCCTTTCTCGACCCCGCGTCATGGCGCAGCGTAGACTCTGCTGGGGCTCAGCTAGCCGCTTCTCATGAGCAAGACGGCTCAGGCACGCTCCTGATGGCCAACGGTGGGCGATCCAAGTATCTTGGCCCTAATGCCTCCAGCGAGTGGCTACGCGATGTGCGTGTACCCTTCGCTAAGCTAACAGAAGCAAGAGACGCGCGAGCCCGACGATGTTCCGGCGCCCTCACGAGTTCCATCACCAAAGGAGTTACATCTCCCCGGCCTCAATCCGTCATTTCCCTTTCTCGCCGCGGCGCCGACGACGATGGCGTATCTTACGTCGAAGCTGCCGCCTCGCGAGGAGGCCAAAGCTCTTGCTCACGCCTACTTTCGATACTTCGCCTGGCAGTGAGCGCGTACCCATTTTCTTCATCTGACGAAAGATACGATGTGGCCCCAAGAGCATACTTTGAGCCGATCTTTGAGCGCGTCTACGCTGCTGTCGAGAGCAATAACCACGCGGTCAACCCACAGCAACTCGCCTTGCTATTCATTGTCTTCGCTATGGGTGCACTGTACAGCCTTGAGCTTCCGCCCAATGATCCGGCCGCAGCCGAGTACCACGCTTTGTCAAAGGCATGCTTGGTCAAGGGCAATTTCCTCGTCAACACCGCTATCTCGGGAGTCCAGACACTTGTGAGTTCGGGATGCTCTGCGTAGCTGATCAAAAGCACATTATGGCACATTTCCATTTGTGGGCCGACGCGCGAGCACCACTCAGCTGACATCAGAGAAACAGAAGAAGGAAGGAATGGTGACCCTGCATGGCCGCTGTGGGGCTTAGCAATGCGTATCGCCCAGGCCATGGGGTTGCATCGTGATGGAGAGTCATGGGGGCTGCCACCAGACGTCATCGAAGAGAGACGGTAAGTGCCAGGGAGCTGTAGGGCCCACACCCCACCTTGCACCAGCCCCAACTGATCTCAGACATGTGTTCTGGGAATCGAATGCCGCCGACATCTTCCAGGCCAACAACTTCTGTCGCCCGTGAGCCGAATGCGCGTCAACCCTAACCCGCAGATGTTCCATTTCGCCTGACTACGTCGACACGAAGCTCCCAAAAGAGAAGAGCTCTGTCGTTAATGATGGGCGAGGTTATTTTACTCTCAAATGGGAGCTTGCGGTGATCTGTGGCCAGTACGTCCCACACCTGCTGGCAGTTGACACGGAGAGTTCTGGACCTCAGCATGAAAATCAAGAAGCCGCTCGATTCCGGTGTCCCAGGTTTGCACCGTCGACTGTGAGGCTGTGCCTGATCGTCCCAGCCAGCTGATGCTTTAGGACTGAATTCGAGAGCAGCATTCCGTACCCTCTACGTTGCCGCTCGGCTCTCCTCGCTTTGCCCTCTCGGTACGCCGACTCTGAGTCAGCAATCCGCGACAGTCCTGAGGTTCTCCGACGTGATGTCCACTGCACTTTTCAGGCGAGTCGTGCATTGACACGGGTTTTGACTAATTAACAGCAATGCACTCTCGCCATTAACGTCTCTGAAGCCTTCCTATTCCTGCATCGCCCCAACTTTGTGAAGGTTCTACGAGAACAGCATGACGACCCGACGAAGTCACCGTATGCGCAGTCCTTTTTCTCAATTCTTGAGCGCTGTAATGTAGGCATCTTTACACAGATCACGCTGATGTTAAGGTCATGATCGTAGTCGCCGCCACTGTGCACAGCCTGTTCCCTGCCATTGCTGTGCGGCACTGGTTCTTCTGGGTGCGTGGGCCACTTGCCAATCTTAACGCCAGCATCATACCTTTAACTCAGCCGTAACAATGGGCACCCTCATCATCCGGAACCCTCAGAACACCTTGGCACCCTACGCTTTGACTCTTATAGACTCAACCATCCTACTCCTCTCCCGCGTGATCGTTTCCTGGCCGTCGCCCCGCATGGCGAAGAACCTCAAATGGTTGCATCGCTTGCGTGGTCGCGCAGCAGCCAAGCTGTCCGCTGTAACCCCGAATCCGAACCCAAACCCCGCACCTGCGGCCGGAACAGACAGCGTCTCCGCGTCGGATGACGAAGATGTTGAGCTCGTCGGCTGGTGCACGCGTCTTGTGCAGCGGGGTGCCACCGGCTCGCAGACGGTGCGGACCATTCTGTCAAAGTCGGCGCCGTCTCCTAATGTGTTTTCATCGCCCAGCACTGAGCTCGGTTCCCTCCTCGACGCGGTCATTCGCAACGCCAATGTTGAGGGGGGAGTGGGTGGGTCTCAGATGCCCATTACGTCGCCGAGCCACACGGACCCCAACACCGACACTCTCGTAGGTCATCCGGGCGGACTTGGCTTATAGACAGCTTCATGAGTTCTGGGATCCGATGCTCATGATGGTGCCGTCAGACAACCTCGGTTTCACTTCCGGTGCAGATGTGAGCAACCCGGTCGAAGCAGAGCGCGGAACTGACAACAGTCAACGTGGTGGGAGTTTGACGCTGGATCCGGGGCGCTGCCGGAACAGACTGAATAGTGCGGGTAAGAGGGCTGATACACCGGACGCAGAGATCCCGTCGAACTACCTCACTGCGGCGAGACCCGCGCGGAGTACTGCATCTATCGACACGTCTCGCGTATGCGCGTGTTTCGGTTACACGACATACATGTAGAAAGTGCCAGCAAGCTGGTTCTTTCTCCGACCGCTCGTAACGAGAAGGCGTAGGATATCGCACGTTGCCGTACCAAGGAGCCTCCTCGATGCTCTGTCTAGAGCAGTTTCGATGGACCGTACAGCAGACGAAAAGGGTCTAGAAGCTGGTGCGCTGTGCGCTTGTGCACTCGTCCTTCGTGACCCAGCCGGCGCAGAGTGGAAGGCCAGTCATCGGGGTCACTCGCAGCTATGGCAAAGGTGTGACGACCGCAAGGTGTAGAGATAATCGCCATCTGTGTCTTGTAAGAGATCAGTGTTAGATATTCTGTGTTCCAGGTGCTCGAAAACGCTCAAAACGAACTTGGGCTGTCACACGGTGTGTCTCGTCGTCAGGGATGTACACATTGCATAAATTTCTCAACAGCTTCTGATAGATCGTTAGGTGAAACTTTAGCTTCTCTACGCCTCAACTGGGAAGAAGGCCTGGTCCCGGAAGCCAGCGCGAAGCTCGTCGTAGTAGAACGCGGGGTCAGCCTCGGCCGGAATGTGTCCGTCGCCAAGCCAGGCCATGGTGTGCTTGTACTCTGGCTCGCGCTCGAACTCGTAATCCTCCCAGCGGGGGTCGCGGAGAGACCAGACACAGTGCTGGCTGGAGCCGGGCCACAGCGTACGAATGTGCCCGTCGTTGACACCCTTGTACCACGATGGACAGTCTGTTGTGAACACGGTTCGCGCAAAGTAGTCGTCGGTATATTTGGCGAAGTCCTTGGCACACTGGTCCTTGACAACCATGTACTTGTATCCCTCGGCCTGGACCTTTCTGAGCGCCTGGCCAATATAGCGGAGCTGCGCCTCGATCATGATCAGGAGGTTACCCGAGCCCACGACAGCTTGTGCGCCGAGCACGCTGAAGAAGTTCGGCATCTTGGGAACGGAGACGGCGAGGTAAGTCTCGACCTGTTTCCGCCACTCGTCCTGGAGATTGGTGCCGCCAAGGCCCACAATAGGGAACTTTGGTACGCTCGACACGTCGAACCCCGTTGCGCAGATGATCGCATCCAGCTTGTACTCCTTACCGCTCTTAGTGCGAAGGCCCTCGGGCGTAAAGCATTCGAGATCGCTGGTTTCGAGGCTCACGTGCTCCTCGGTCAAGGCTTCAAGGTAGCCGGGGCCAGGAGTAAGACGCTTGCACGCGACAGTGAAGTTCGGAATGAGAGACTTCGCGACTTCGGGACGCGACGCCAGCTTTTTCTCCATGCCCTCGCGCGCCGCGTTATACATGTAGTCCTGCTCCTGCGAATTACGATGGGTGACGTAGTGGAACGAGCCCAGGTCGCGCTCGATTGTAAGGCGGAACTGGCGGTATGCCTGCGGATCGGCGCCAAACTTTGCCTTCTCCTCGGGCGTAAACACATGGTTGGCTGTCTTCATGTCCATGCCCAACTTCTGGACCATCTCCTCTCCGAATGTGGGCGTGATCCAAGCTTTTGTCAGCCATGTACTAAAAGTTGTCCAAGTCCTTACTAGGGGAGCGGCCAAAGTTGATGAGAGTTTTGCACTTGCTGGCCATGACGGGCACGACCTGAATGGCGGACGAGCCGACACCGATAACGCCGACCGTCTTGTCGCTCCAGTCCATACCCTCAGCCTCCTCCTGTGCGGCCTTCCAGCTGCCAGTGTGGCGGAGAATGCCTTTGTACTTCTCGCGGCCAGGAATCTTGGGCCAAGTGGGGTGTGAGAGTAGACCCGTGGCGTAGAGGACAAAATCGGCTGTATCGACGGAGGTCTCGCCAGTTGCGAGGTTCTTGACGGTGATTTCCCATTGACCGACATCCTCACGGAACTTGGCCTCAGTGACCTCGTGCTGGAGCTTGATCATAGGTCGGATACCGTAGTGATCGGTCACGCGGAGGAGATATTGCCGGATCTCCTCCTGCCCAGCGTAGAACTTGGACCATCCCGGGTTGTTTGCGAACGAGAATTGGTATGTGTGCGCAGGGATATCACATGCTGCACCCATGTACCGGTTATGGTGCCCTGTTATCAGTCGGAGGTCGTACAGGCAACTCACAGACACCGCCGACGTCCTCTGCACGCTCGTACAGCTGAAGGTCGAGATTGGGGACGTGCTGTGGCAGATAAATAGCTGCACCGATGCCGCTGAAACCTGCGCCGATGCAGACGACGCGGAGGCGGCGCCCCTCGCCGATGGCGCGCTCAACGAGGGCGGGGGCTCCTGTCTCGGCAGCTACGCGGCGGGCGCGCTCAGCTACGGCAGCGCGGGCGGCTATCTCGGTGGGCGTGAAGGGGGAGGTTGTAAGCTCTACGACCATTGTTTTCGCTGATGTGTTGACCTTTGACTTGCTGAGTATTCTTGAGACGAAGGCACTGTAGTTGTGCTTATATGCTTTTTTAGAGCATCTTCATGAAGGCGAGGTTCGTAGCCGCGACCCCACGCCCGCGACGGTGGAAGGTAGCGGTGGAGAGGTGGGCGGAGTCGCTCCGCCCTTTCTCAGCTCTTTGTTCTGATCAACGAGCTCTGAGATATCGCTTCAAGCCGAACGCATTCCGCGGCCCCTGGAGCAAACAGCGGGCTGCGCCGCCCCCACCAGGTTCGTGTCGCGAGACAGCGTCGGTGTCTAGATCTGCGGGGCGGGGGCGGGGCCTTTCCACTCCTTCTCGAAGTCGCCGAGGCCGTGGTGGCGTAGAGAAGAGATAAGGAGGCGGCTGTCCTCCGCCTTCCCCTGTGCGTCGCATGGCTATTGTGGGCTTCCTTAAGTTTGTTTAGATTGTTAGTTCACCACTGCGAAGCCGTCAATGAAGGCCTCGCAGCTGGCGGCGAGGATCGGCGGCGAGGGGTGCGCCGGGTTGTCGGATCTGGACAGTGGCTCCCATCAGCAGGCTCAAACCATCTGATATCTGTGGGGGGTCTAGGCCACCTCTTCTTGTGACCAGTGCATTCTTGTCGGCTCCCCTTCTAACCTCGGACACGTTCGACGTACGCTCTGATGAACCTGTAGCACATGTGACGTCCTCTTGCACGGTGGCGCCGGGACAGGAGATGGCCCGTTCCTCTTAGAATCCGCGGAGGCATTAACCTGCTTATGAGTGATCACAGTCAGCCTCTGGAGGCTCTTACCGGAGGCGTATGCCCTTGACAGCGCAGCAAGAATCCTCGAGGGCCTCCAGTCATGCTTCGTCTCGGTCTTCTTGGTCCTTTCGATCCTCCGTGGTCCCTTACGTCAATTCGGGTGTAAGAAGGACCAGTGCCTTGGCCTTCACTGATTCACACCAGTCTTGGTCCGACCTTCTGCCCAATCCTGATCACATCCGAGTGCCGAGGTGGACGAAATAACGACAGGTGACCTTGTGATCGGCGGGCCCACTACACCTTCCATCCTCTCCCCGAAACCCGATTCCTCGGCAGCATCCGCGGCGCGCCTCCTCTGCTTTTCACGCGCGCCTCCTCTGCTTCACGCGCGCCTCCTGCGGCTTGTCGCGCCTTGGCGTCATCATTCAGGCGCCTAAATGTGCCATAGCACGTGGGTGGCGGAGTGGCGCCGCCGTGGAGTTTCGGCCTCGGCCTGATGATTGGCCTGCAGCGGAGTTTGGGGACACTCTTCCGATGCTTATGTGGTCGTGACTATCCTCTCCGGGACGGTGAGGCGGCATGACTCTCGGAGGAGTTGAGGGCTCCGCACTTCCCCAGACGGACAGGCTCTTCCGCGCGACACTGACATGAGACCGACGTGGGGAAGAAACGTTGCTTTCCATCGCACACTCAATGGCGCTCCGCAGACCATCTCTCGCAAGCATCCGCAACCTGCCGCTGGGCGACCCAGCGCGCAGTCCCCCTCAGAGTCTGCTACCTACCAGCGCAAAGCAGGCTTGCCAGGCCTGCCAGCAGCGCAAGCGCAAAGTAGGGCCTCGCGAGAACTGGACTGATCGTAGTGTGACAGGAAACAGCCGCGATGCAGCATGTGCGAGAAGCGGCAAATCGACTGCGTCTTTGACCTCAAGGGCGACCCCACGCTATTAGCAGATGCGCTCGTCGCGCTCGAGGAGCGCGAAGCGCGAGTGCAGGCACTCGAGCAGCGCGTTGCTGCACTTGAGGGCGTTCTCCGGTCCGTCCCGGAGCTGGCCCATTTCGCCAGACTGCCAACGGATGAGCTCCCCGGCTGTTCTCCAGCAAGCATGGAAGCCGACCTGGCTGCCGTCAGCCTAGACGACGGGCGTGACCGTGGCTCCGAGCTCCTCCCCCGCGAGCTGGTCGACATGGTTGAGGAGCGCCTCGCTGCCCTGCACCACCCACAGCAGATCAGCATCACTAATACAATGCACATCCATCTCGGGGGCGCGGCGACCGTCGAGGAGACGAATCATTGGCCGCCGGCCGAGTGGCCGAGCCGCGAGCGCGGCGAACTCCTTGTTAACACGTTCATCTCCATGAATCCCCTGTACCCGATGTACTGGAAGGACGATATGCAGCAAGAGTGCGTGATGACAAGGTGACGCTGACATCAGTCTGGCCGCGGTCATGGATGGCAAAGGAACACCGCTACAAGAATACACAATGACGCTCGTCTTCGCTATCGCGTGCCAATACCTCGCACAGCGAGACTGCGAGCAGCTAGACACGGCAATGTTCCGGCAGAAAGCGTTCAGCCTCATTGGCGTGGTGCTCCGCTCAGAGCCAGCCATCGTGGGTGAGCAACAGGGCAAGACTAACATCAGCGCTGCGCCGAGGCACTTTTCCTCCTATGTCTCTACGGCGTATTCGATTGGGCAAATCCGGACCTCGCCCATGCATCGCCGCTCGCGTCGCACGTCATGCGCACGCTTGGCTTATATCGCGATCCGCCAGCGACTCTGCCTCAGCGCGAGCGCGATCGACGGCGGGCATTCTTCTGGTCTTTGTACGGAATCGACCTAGGACGTGCGTTATCTCATGCCTCGGAGTCTGACGACAGTGGCATCCTTGCTCTACAACTTCCCGGTGGGGTTTGATGGCACGCAGATCACGATGGCGTGGCCGGAGAGCCTCGACGATAGCATCGCCGAGAGACACGGTATCGACCCGATCGAGACGACCAAGCTAAATGTCGAGCTGCGTCAAATTGAGTGGTCCTTCGCCTCATACCAGCGCGGGACTCGGCCGGATATCCGCCCGTCCGAACTCATCGCTCGCTTGGACGCATGGCGCGAGCGAGCGCAGCGCACTACGCAAAAGCGACCGCAAGGACCGACCTCGACACACCTCGACATGTACTACCACATGCTGCGAGGACAGCTGCATGGACCACATCTTGACCCCCACGGCGGAGATGCGCGGATTATGCGCGAGAGCGCGCGCTCGACGCTCGAGTACATGGTCGCGCTGAATCAGCAATCGCTCATGGGCGACAGCTACTTTCACTTCAATTACATGATCATCATGGGCATGGCACTTTTGTACGCCGTCCTGCGCCTGGACGGAAACCCCGCCAAATGCGACGCCGCATGGTGTGCTGCTGCGATTGACGATGTTGAGAAGTGTCAAGCATACCTCCGTTCATTCTGCAAGGGTGAGTGAGGGGTGGTTCTGATGTAGCAAAGCGGAAGTCGGTTCGCGATGAGCTGACGACAGGGTGGCCACACACACGTGTGCTGTCTCATACATACGATTGTTTTGCGGCGCGCGCGATTGCCCAGCTTCAAATCCACTTTGAGCGCCCAGCCGGTATGTCATTGATAGAGCTGGTGCCTACGCCTGAAATGGACGATAAAAGCGGCATCCTCGTCGCGGTCAATCCGGTACATCCACTTGTCGAGGACCCTCTGCACTTATTCCAGACCAACCAGAAGGAGGGTGATGTCGACGCGCTCCTCTCCATGCTGGGCTGGAATGCCGAGTGGCTTCCTGAGCTCCTCCCTAGTTTCCAGTAGTGTGTCCATGCACGTAATTTGTACAATCTGAAGCTCTTGACTAGGGCCCGCCCTTGGCGTACGTCGCGCCGCCCATCTGCATGTCAAACTCGACGCACTTGCTCATTCCGCACAGCTCGAAGACCTCACGGACACCGCCGCGCACCGGTCCACCTGGGCTGTCTTTCATGTCCGCAAGGAAGCCGGTGGACTTAAGCTCCTGCGCCGCCTTCTCGTACGCGTTGAAAGCCGCCATGAGTGCGAAAATCGGCCAGATGACGAGTGCGTAACCCATTGCCTGAGCCTCCTTGGCATCCACGAGCGGCGTCACCCCTCCATTGACCATGTTGAGCATGCATGGGGTGGGAGCCTGGTCTCAGCACATCCGTCCAGACTGGGGGGAATTGCGCAAGACTCAGGAATATGGACTCACGAGTTGCTTCACACTCTCAGCCATCTGCTCCTTGCTTGTCATGCCCTCAAGGAAGCACATGTCTGCACCGGCCTCGACAGCCAGCTTGAGACGGTGGATGGCGGCGTCGAAGCCAAGGCTTTGCAGGGCGTCCGTGCGCGCGATAATGACAATGTCACCCCCGGTCCGCTCGCGTGCCGCAACCGCAGCGCGGATGCGCGCCAGGAAAGTCGCCTCATCTACTAGCTCCTTGCCGCCCAGGTGTCCGCAGCGCTTCTGCATCACCTGATCTTCAAGGTGGAGTGCGGCCACGCCGGCGAGGATATAGCGCTCAACCTATCGTCAGCTGTAGCTCATCCACAGATCCGATTCCGGCCGAAGTCAAACTCGTCGAGCGGAGCGAGAAATCGGCAAGACTCACAGTCCGCTCCACCATCACGGGTCCGCCAAAGCCTGTATCCGCATCAGCGATGACGGGCACATCGCGGTTAAGGCCGGCAAGCATAGCAGCGTTCCGCACCATGTCGTCGGCGGTGGTCAGTCCCAGGTCAGGCATGCCGAGCTGGCCGATGGCCGTCCCAGCCCCAGTCTACTTTCAGTGATGAAATGCCTTGCTGCTCACCATGTAAAGCGTATCAAATCCGTTCTGGAGGCACACGCGGGCACCGAGGCCCTCGTAGACACCAGGCGACACGATCGTGCGCCCGGTCTTGATCATCTCGCGGAGCTTGGCGGCGCCTCTCATCTTGCTAGTGCTGGAGTTATTGTGCGAAGTGGGAATATGGATACGCCCCGCGGCGCGCTGTTATTGAAGTCGTCGGTGTCGTCGCTCTCGCGGTCTGTGACATCAGCTGATATGATTGCGGTCGTGGAATGCAGGCGGAACGGCATTATCCGAATGCCGAGTGGCGCATTGTGTCAGCAATAATGATCTGCGTCGGCTAATACAGGGCCCAGCCCAAGGGTCCGTGCCTGCCCCGCATCGGGATCATTCTCCATGTCGCCCATCCCCGCCTCCACTTCGTTTGGTGCGACTCCACTTGTTGATGTTTGTCGGACACCAATGGCTGCGGGAAGAGCAGTGAGTGAAGAGCAACTCATATCGAGTATCTGCCTCTCTCAGCCATGGTTCATGAGTATATGCCACTGGAAGAGCTTTATTAGATGCTGTGGAACCTTTCACATCCCGAGATCTATCCCTACAACTCAAGATTTACAAACCTACTCAGTCTGAACGGGTGGGAAGTGCTTACTGTCAGGCGCCTACTGATGATGTACTCACAACATAGGCAGTATACTTCTCGATCTTTCCGTCCCGCATGTCGAGCTTGGCCATCCATGGTAGCCCGCGAATCTGCATGTCATCCGCGAGGCGGTCGAGATCAATGCTGCCCACTACGACGACGTGGTTGGGCTTCTTCTCGTTGAAGTAGAGATGGTGAACATGGTGCACGCGGCTTGCGACTGCTGCTGCGCCGCGCTTCCGCATCTCGCGCAGACCTTCTCGAGAGTTTGTGTATCGGTCGCCGATGTGGAACTCGAACTCGTCATGGAAGAGGTCGAGATACTGGTCGTCGGGAACGTCAGAGAGTCGGTAGAACTCCCTGACGAAGGACTCGATGTCTGTTGGGACTGTCATAGTGCTATGAGGGGATGACAGTAGTAGTGGTGATCGGAATGGCGCGTGAGTGGCTGGGGCAAGGTATATACGCAATTTCAGCGCACTCGAAGTTCAGGTTACAGGTTACGAGGGGCGTTGACCGCTCACATACCCGGATGCCGGCAATTCCACTGCTTCTCCTGCATCGGATGCTACAGACCACAAGACTTAGCCGGACTTGGCCGGAGGAGGCAGCTGCATGTCAGCGCGCCCACTCCCTGCAGGTCCAAGACTCACCACCCAGACCTTGTAGTCAGCGAGCTTGCCGTCCTTGAGCTGCATGCGACCGCCCCACTCGACGCCGCGGATCTCGATGCCGTCCTTGCGGTCCATATCGATGCTGCCGAGCACTACAACATCGTTTTCCACCGCGGGGTTGATGTAGATGCCGTGCACGTGGTGTTGACGGCGCGCGAGGCCCTCCCACACACCGTCACACACCTTGCCGATGCCCTCGGACCCCTTGCCGACCTTGCCAGCCAGGTCGAGGTTAGCGTCGGGGGTGAAGCAGTCGACCCAGGCCGCTTTGTCCCGCGCGTCCGACTTGGCGTAGAAGTCGTCGACGAAGGATTGGATGTGAGCGGGAACCGACATGATGGTGTGGATGATGATTCAGACACAGGAACGGTTATCTAACGCATCATGATGAGTAGTAGCTGCGAAGCTGGCATGTATAGTAGGTCCGGCTACCAAGTGGTTTCCGAATACCGCTTGCTCGCGTGTGAGGCTCGGATTAGACGTCAGGTGAGCCAGGCTGGGCGGGGCGCTGATGGATGCCTCAGCTTTGCTGATGTGATATGGATAGATGCCGAGAATTGGACCCGAGAGCGGCGATGATCGACGACCGAGCTCCCGCCATGGCAGCCCACCCTCCATGTCTCCAGACCACACCCAAACAAAAAGCGTCACTTGCCATCAGCTCACATGACATGAGCCGAGCTCAGTCGCAGCCCCACCAGCCCCGCACCCCCCGCGCTCGGCACCAGGGGGCCCTCCAGGGCGTGGAATGCATGTCAGCGCGGATGAGAGCCTGCACACGCAAGACAACCACCGCGGCCGTCGCGATCTGCTGACCGAGGCTTACGACGATGCCGATTCCCGACCTCAGTGCATGTTCGTCCGCGCTGAGCGGCGTGTACACGACTCTTTCAGGAAGATATATCTAGCTCGCTTGCTGGCGTCGAGTCCTCCATCCACCTGACTGCCTCTCGCACCCATCATCCAGCGACAGACACAGAAACAATGACTATCTCTTCCGCCAACGCAAAGACTGGGTATGACCAGCTCGAGTATCACCGTGAGTGACTGGTAATCCTACCTCCGCCTCCGCGGTGGCCACCGCTGACCTTCAGCTGGCTTCGGTGGAGCGTTCCGCTCCGAGTCGGTGCCCAACTCGCTCCCCAAGCACGCCCATGTTCCCGAGAAGGTGCCATATGGCCTCTACACCGAGGGTATGACGGGCTCGGCCTTCACAGCCCCCCGCCACTCAAACCGCCGCTCGTGGCTCTACCGCATCCGCCCCTCAGTCGTCCACAACCCTTACGAAGAGTACTCAGGCAACAACTCGCTCGTCTACAACTTCAACCAGGACAACACGGACGAGGTCAAGAGTACACCGCAGCAGCTCCGCTGGGATCCTCTCAAGGTCAAGGGCGCCGAGAATCTCGACTTCCTCGACTCGATTCGCACAATCTGCGGCGCCGGCAACGCGCAGCTCAAGAGCGGCGTCGCTATTCACTGGTACCAGTTCGGCAAGGACATGGACAAGAAGGCGCTGTACTCGTCGGACGGTGATTTCCTCTTCCTGCCCGTCAAGGGCGAGCTCCTCATTCAGACTGAGTACGGCCGCATGCACGTCCCGCCATGCCACATTGCCGTCGTCCAGCGCAATATGAAGTTTACCGTGTCGCGTGTCGGCGAGCACTCGCCCAATGAGCCAGCCTCGGGCTACATCCTCGAGGCGTTCAACAACCACTTTGTCCTCCCCGACCTCGGGCCGATCGGCGGTAATGGCCTTGCGAACATCGAGGACTTCGAGACCCCGACCGCTTGCTACGAGGACACGGACGAGGAGTGGCTTATCGTCAACAAGTACGGCGGCAAGCTGTTCCAGTACACCCAGGACCACAGCCCGTACGACGTCGTGTCGTGGCTCGGCAACTACGTGCCGTACCGCTACGACCTGCAGAAGTTCTGCTCCGTCGGTAACATCTCCTTCGACCACGCCGACCCCTCGCTCCAGTGCGTCCTCCAGGTGCCCTCAGACACCCCGGGCACGTCGATCATCGACTTCTGCGCTTTCCCGCGCCGCTGGAGTGCCGTCAATGACACGTTCCGCCCGCCCTGGTTCCACCGCAACATTGTCACCGAGTTCATGGCAACAGTTTCGGGCTACCCTTCGCCCCGCGACGGCTGCAACCTTCACAACCCCGGTTCGGCGCACGGCCCCGACTCGGCATCGACTGAGATGGGCTACTCTGGCAAGATCCCCGACGGTCCCATCCAGGTTGGCGCTGAGGGCTCGATGATCTGCCTCATGGAGACCTACTTGCCACTCAACCCTACCAAGTGGGCCCTGGAGGACTCGGGATCCCTCCAGCCCAACTACCACGAGCAGTGGCAGGGCATCAAGCGCCACCACACTCTCCCCGCGTCGTCGTACGCGGGTTAAGGAGTCGAAGGGAAGTACATTTAATGCAGTATGGGGTCGATATTCAGTAGTGCCTGCATCAGTAGAGAGACTGGGGAGTTGTACGAATGCAAAGTATGAGGACTCGCTCTGGGACGTGGGTTGCTTGGCTGTGAGGATATGGTGCGACACGGATAGGACGTTAGAAACCTCTTACCCTACACAGTCATCCATTGCCCCTCTTCAACCAGCCACTAACTCGGCACAAGCTTTTCTTACAAGTGAGATATGGAGTGGTCACGGCAATGCACATCGAAATGAAACGATAAAGGCCAGGAGGATGGTATCCGCCGCCTTCTGGAGGGCCTTTTTCCGGGGGCATGCATCCGGTGAAGCTGCCGGCTATGCCCACCCGGAGTTCGGCATCCCCGGATCGTCACCCGAGTGATCGTCGAGTTATCTTCTCTTCTTCATCGACTTTAGACAACTGGAACATACTGGGAGAGGCTGTGGCTCTCGACCCCCACGCTAGCCTCCTCTTGCTTTTCATCAACTCCAGTCTCGCCTCCTCTCCCCCGCCATCGCCCCGATCATTGTTCTCAACATGGAGCCCTTCACCGAGTCCGAAATGGCGGCCTACATCGAAGCCATGAACAGCGGCAACACCGAGGGTTTCTCGCGCGCCCATTCCGTTGGTGCTGACATCCGTCCAGTCGCCCACGATCCCCTGCCGCCCGTGAACGCCAAGGGCGGGAGAGACGTCCCGCGCGGTTGGACAGCAATCTACGAGGGCACCGTCACGCCACGCTGGTGCAACAGCTTCGGAAGCATCCACGGGGCGTGCCACGCTTGGGTCGTCGACAATCTGTGTGGCTTCACGCTTGAGGTCCTCGCAACCGGCGAGAAGTGGTGGGGCGCACCCATGGCCGGTGGGGTCACACTCGGCATCGAGATGGCCTATTATGAGAGCACGGAGATCGGGCGGAGTGTGCGTGCCAGCGTACGTATCGATCGGATGAGCGGGACGAACGCGTTCGTGACGATCGATATCGACGAGATTGCGGATGGGCAGGTCGTCAAGCGACTCGCGAGTGGGCGGCAGCTCCAGACTTGGCGCAAGGCAAAGTTGTAAACCGTGGGCATGTCTTGGGTTCTTGTGCGCGACAATCGCGAACTCTGCAGGGCGCTTGTGAGGGGAGACACAGATGAGAAGAACTTGGGGGCACGAACCCAAGCTCACGTCAGACACTTCAGACGGCTGCATCCTTAAATCTACAACACTCTGCCTACCTAGGCCTACTCGCCAACGGGGCGCACTAGCAGGGGCACCACGACGCCCTCTTCGTTTGAGCGAGTGCGCATGATGCCCAGGGTTGTCTCGCTGTGCAACGTCGTACCAGGCACCTCTGCCAGCTCGTACGCGCGCAACAGGGTGAAGAGAATGATCTTGAACTCGGCAAGCGCAAGGCGCCACCCAATACAGTTGCGCGGCCCACCAATGAATGTGAGCAGGTTGCCATACACACCCGGCACCGAGGCGAGCGGGGGACGGTCATAGCGGTCAGGATTGAACTCGTTCGAATCGGGCCCCCAGATCGCGGGGTCGCGGTTTACGTTTCCGACGACTGCTGTTAGCGCGGCAAGACATTGCGAGGTCAGGTGACTGGAGGACTTACGGATCACCACCTCGGTTCCCTTGTCGACCACCACTGAGTCCATCATTTTCCCGTCGCGGCCTCGGACCGGACGCGAGAGGGGAAGCGTCGTCTTAGCCGCTGGCTCACGGCCGACGGCCGGGACGGGCGAGTCCATGCGCAGAATTTCGCGCGTGAACTTCTCCAGGAAAGGCAATGAGTGAATCTCGTCACTGGTGTCAGGTTGCGAAATAACAGTCCGTCCACGCATCCTACTCACAGATCCGGATTCTCGCTGATTGTGACGAGCTCGGCCCGCAGGCGATCCTGCATCGCCTTGTCCGTTGCGAGGCGATACAGCGCCCAAGTAAGGGCGACGCCCGTCGTCTCGGAGCCAGCGAAGATCTAGTTTCAGCCCAGCACCTTCCAAAAATCCGACTCACGAACGTGCAGATCTGCGCCTGCACCTCGGCGTGGCTAAGGCGCGCACGCTCCTCGAGGTCAACAGCCATGTTAGCTCGGATGAGGCGGCTGAGCAGGTCGGCGGTGGCGAGGTCCGTATCCTTCTCGATGCCCATGTTTGTGATGGCGCGCGTCTTCTCCGCGACAATGCGGTCGCCCACGCGGTTCATTGTGGCACGGCTAGCGCGGCCCAGCTTCAGGCCGGGCGTGGGGAGGGCGTTGAAGAGCACAAAACGGTTCTGGAGGGCGCTAATGAGGGCACTTGCCTGCAACGCCTTGACAGCTGAGTGGAAGGCGTCGAGGAGCTCGCTTCTGCGCGAGAACAGCGTCGCAAAGTCGTAGTCGAAGCCGGCGGCGCCAATCGTGTCCAGCGTGGCCTGCTCCATAAGGAGACCGACGTCGATCTTGCCGCCTTTGTTGTCTGTGGCCTGCATTGCGTCCGTGTCGACGAGCACTACGCGGTCACGCGTCGTGGCCGACTCCTCAAGGAGTTGGGCAAACTTCTCGCGAACTGCGCGCGCCTTCTCAAAGAATATCGGCGCCATCTCATGCACCGCTCGCGGCGAGAAGGCGGGGTTGAGGACGCGGCGCTGGCGGCGGTGGTCGGAGCTCTCAGCGGTAATGAGCCCGTTGCCCAGCATACGACGGAGCATGATGTTCGTGCTCTTACTCTTGGGCCACATGTCGGCGTGCTGGAAGATGTGCGAGATGACGGCCGGGTCTGAGGTGTAGATTCTCTCGACCCCGAGCAGGCCGCGGATCCTCCCCGTCGGGCCATACTTGTCGATCCAGGCCTGGTAGACGGGACGCGGGTGCTGACGGCGCAGAACATACAGAAGGTTGCCTGCGATGGGGTGCTCGCTGGGCGGGCCGGGAAGATTGCGGCTCGAGCTGAAGTACGCGGCGTAAGGGTAGAGGTATGCCCATGTGCCGACGAGGCCAACTAGAACACCCAGGACGAGGTAGCCCGTCACTTGGAGGAGCGATAAGGAGGTGATGGCTGCGACCGCGCGTGCGGCCCCACTTGCAATCAGCGACTCGGTCATGGTGTGTTGGCGGGAGGAATGGCACTGCGACGAGTCCTTTATATCGCTGGTCGCATGTGTCACATGATGACGATTGTCGGAGGGCCATCAGCGCTATGCATCAGCCGGTCTCCAGACATGGCCGCCACACACGGTACATGAGCGCTGCATACCGGGGGCTCCATGGGGTCCTGAGGTTGCGCGTGGAGGGGAGCGGAGTAGGGGAGGAGGAGAGGGGAGCGGCGATGCCCAACAGTGCGGCGGAGGTTGCCGTGCGGATGCCAAGTAGCCGGGCAAGCATTTGACGCGCCCAATCTCGGCGGCCCATTACACACATTCCTCGGCCACCGACTGGTCATCTTTCCGTGTCATGAAATCGACGCCTCTGGGGCGCGGGCCGTACAGCTGCGGCGCTGTTACTGATGAAGAGTCAAGCACTGCTCCAGACTATAAGGTCCTCATTTAGAGCTCTGGCCTTCACAGTCACAATCTCATAAGCCATTTTACGGCAACGACATAAGGCATGTCGAGACGGTGACATAGCGCGTGGAGCGCCGGCCAGCTCAGTTTTGTTGGTATGAACAAACCGCAAGTCTGCAGCAGCCGATTGAATTGTTTCACGGACGCGGAGCTCAGACTTGCTTCAACGCACCAGCCATCCTCTAGTCTGGAGCCACATGTGATCTGCGCTAAGCACCGCATTGAGCCCAAGATCGTACGTCCAGAAGGTTGAGATAGCCGCAACAAGCTCAGCACTGTCTCCGTCTGACCCATCCATCTTGCGGCACACAAGTTAAGCATGATGGTGGCACGCGGCCGGCGCACCCCGTAAGCATTGCGCAAACATTACGCTGCAAGGCGCGCATTAACACAAACTCATCGCCCGTGGGCTTGCCCCTCTCCCAAAGAACGTGGGCGTGAACGCCATCGCCTTTGACATGCCACCCGCGGAGCTGCCACTCGCCATGTACTGCGGAGGGCTACTGGGTAAGCGGCCGGCTCATAGAAACGTCAGAGTTACGGGTAACTCATCACCAGACCCATCACACTCACTCCTCAGCTCGCCGTCATTTGGCTTAAAACGGATGGCGAAGAATGGGACGCCGTCTTCGAGCTGCTGCTTGACGTCGACGGTATGTCTCTGCGAAATGGCGCTTGCGGGGAGACCACTGCTTGTCCCCTGCGCCACTCACTGCATTCTAACACCCACCCCTCGAGAAGCGCGCACAATCACCACCGCTAGGACTTGCGCTGTTGTGCGCCCCCGGAATGCACACGTCCGCGAGCACCCGCTTGTCCGGCCGCCCACGATGGAGGATGACGACTTTGTCATCGACGCCGTAGGCAAGCGCACGTCCGTGCTCGGCGAGTGCAGAAAGCGAATGGTTCCCTTCGTGTGGCCAGGGCGCTGAACGCTCACAAGGATACGTTCGGCCTCAGTGCCGCTGTGCCGGTGGCAGGCGCTGTTAACAGTGATGAGGTGCACAGCAATGTCCTCATACCCAACCGGTGTGTGGGCATGATATCCGGACGAGGAGTGGCGAGTGGCTTGGACATGATGTCAGGAGCAATTGGGCCTCACCAGAGCGCTTTCTCTTCTTGGTATCACGTGTCGCTACGCGGTACATGTAGCTGAAACTGACATGCCCTCAGCCGAACTCACACTGGGAGCTCATGCAGTCGCGCCCAGCGCGAAGGTCCAAACTTACTACTGCACACGCGACGCGCATCGAGGTCAAGGCAAGGAAACGCTACGTTAGCCCATGCCTATGCCGCCATGCTTACTTTGTACTAATTTTACATCAAGAGCACTGCGCCTGAACAGCTACTGCTGCACGGCGCCAGTGACCGGCAACTACCAGCACACCGTCGTTTGGCTTCAGCCATGCATTCAGTACGCAAAGTTTACAAAGGAGAAAGAGAGGGGGGACGAGGGAGGAAACCCCAACTCAGCACAGAGTGCTGGGAGGGAGGCAGGCCTCTTACCCACAGCTGCTTGGTCAGGCTCAAGCAAGACCGCCCGCGGTGCCGGCGACACCGCCGACCACGCCACCAGCCTGCAAGTTAGTTCGTTCAGCAGGGATAGTGAAGCAAAGATGAACTCACCACAATGCCACCAAGCGCCACGACGAGCGTGAGCGCCGAAAGGAGAGGCGAAAGAATGGGGCCGAGGAGAGGGAGGCCTGAAGTTAGCGGGGGAACCGTGTCGGATCGCACCGGCGACGAGCTTGTTGACAACGCCGAGCACCTAGCATGTCAGCAAGGTCTCACAATCTGAGAGACTTACCTTGGCCAGAAGGGCAGCGGGCTGGGCGAGGAGCGAGGAAATGACAGTGGGGTCAAGAGGCTTGCCCTGGGCGTCAGCAAACAAGATTCATTGCGTGGCGTACCGAGAGGAGGCCGGTAACCAGGTCTGTTGTTAGCCAAGTCGGAAACTCGGGCAGAAACAACTCACCAACAATGAGCTTGATCAGGTCCTCGGTGATACCGGGGACGTCGTTGAGAGCCGAGGTCAGCTGGCCAATAATGTCGCCAACGGGAAGAGGAAGAGGCGGGAGCTGGCGAACCTTGAGAGGGATGAGATCCTCCCCGAGGTTCGAGAGGAGCTCGAGCGCCCCAAGAAGAGGCGCCTAAAGTCAGCAAAGAAGAAGAATCACCTTACAAGGAGAGGGCCAACAATGGGGATGGCAGCAACGAGGTCCTTGAGCGTCTTGAGGAGGCCTCCAAGAACGTTGGTGGGAAGAACCGAGAGCTTGGAGACACTGGCAGCATCAAGAGGGGCGCCTGCTGTCAGCCGAGGAGAGGGAGCGGAAAGGTCACATACCACCGAGAAGACCAGTGACGAGGTCAGTCACCACCTTGACGAGATCGTGGGTAAGACCAGGGATCTGGTTGAGGAGGTCGGTGAGAGTAGAAGTGAGGTCGGCGATAGGAACAGGAAGGTCGACAACCTGGCGGGCCTCGGTCTTGATGACGGCGGCGTCTGCCTCACGAATGGCGAGACCCTCCTCGCGACGAGCGATAGCAGAGTCGGCGACGGGAGCCGAGAAGATGACGGGGAGGGCCGCGAGGGCAGCGATGAGGACGTACGAACGCATGGTTGAAGTGAATTAGGTGGTTTACTGTAGGTGACTGTAAAAGAGTATGAGGAGGGAGAGAAGGTTTGAACAGTGGCGATAGGAGAGAAGAGAGGACTTGGGGGTGAACAAGAGTTGGAGGGGCATGGGCTGTTTATATATCTTACCGAGACCGTAGGAGACATGAGAGGCATGAGGGAAGGTGGTGAGGTCCAGTCAGCTGCTGTGGACTTGACCGGTCAATATCCTTTGGTAGCTGGTAGCTGTGAATTCCTTTGCTCCCTCCCTTGATGGTATTGATGGGCCTGTAGGGGTAAACGCTGCGCCCGCTGGCGAGGAAGGCAGCGGTACGGCGTACGGCGCATACGGCGAATGTGATCGCGCGGGTCAGATCGATCTCGGAGTGGGAGGGTCAATGATGGCATGTAGGGCAGGGTTGTTTACTATGGGTTCCGATGTGCCGAGCTCAATGGGCCCAAAGGCGGAGGACACGACTCTCCGGGGTGTGACTGGCGAGGAGGATCGAGGCGCAAGGAGGGCAGAGTAAGGCGAGTGGGGCGAAGGTGTGGATCATCAATGGCGAGCTGGGAATACGAGGTCCCAACTGACGCGTCAGTCGCAGTAGGTGGCTGAGGCCCCGATAATCGTATGACTGGATCACCGGATCACCGGACCACCGGGGTCTGAATTGCGGCACCTCGGCTGGCGCTGGATTGCAATGGATCGCGCTGGATCGCGCTGGAGCGGGTGATCGATAACATCTGGCTCGCCATGCTCCTCATCAGTGCCTCGCTTGAATGCGCTCAAAATGGAGGGCCCGTCAGATATGCTCGATTAGCTCTACACTTACGAGTGTCTCCCTGCAATCATATTCAGTGGTGACCCCGAAGGATGGCATCAAGCGACAAGTGGGGCAAGTGGAGGACGTGCTTTAGCCTTGCTCAATTGCTCATGGCGATCATGGCTCACCTGCCCAGAGCTGGCAATGGATGTGCCTGAAACCTCGGTGCCTGTGTCGCATTCAATCTCGCGATCTCGGCGGAGCGGCGCCGGGCGGGGCGACGGGGCGGCGGGGCGGTGGGGTGGCTGCGTGGCTGCGGCCTGAGCACCTCTCCATGATTGGAGGCCTTGCAGGCGGATCCGGGCGGAGGCCGGAGGCCGGAGGATCAGAGGATGACCGGCATGACTGGAGCACTATCATCATCAGCTAAGCCAGGGCAGGTTCGTGCACGACTGCGGGGGAAGCAATCCGCGATGGCGATCCATCAGCCACAGCCATCAGCCCATCAGGACAGGTGCGAGGTGGGAAATGGGGCGCGTCGGGCGCGACGGCCATGAGGCACCTCGATCCTCGATGCTGCGGAGCCCATACGTGCCATACGTGCCATGCGGGGGTGGTGATAAGAATACTGAGATGGGATAGGATGAGAAGCAAAAGTCTGAAACGGGCAACGGTGGTTGGTGTGTGTTTCCACCTATTCATCATGCCACACTCAATTGAGCCAATGCGTCATGACGCAAGGCCCTGTTCCACAACCACGCTATCCGTGGTATGCATCTAGGGCCCTAGGGCCTGAGTGGGCTGTCGGCCGGTCGGAGGAAGCAGGTTCCCCGTATGATGCGTAAACCCGACCAACGCTTTCAACTGGTAGGCCGCAATGCTTCAGGTGTGCAGGTGTGATCACATGACCAGGCAGCACGCGCAGCACGACTGTCGCGGACTCGCAATTGAACCATCGCGTCAGTCCTTTGCTGAAATTCGGCGCTCACGCACGCACGAGGAGGCCATCGAGCCGTGCCCATGGGTAACGATGCGTCGCCGTATTGCGTGAGCAGTGAGCACGAATCCGAGTGCCTCAGTTGTTGCCAGGCACTAGCACCATTCACTTCGGAGGAGGCGGAGTGCATGCCGACGGCTGCTCGATCATCGGCTTGACCCCGCACGTATCTGACGTTTTGGCGTCTCGGCTGACCAAACGTTCTAACTGAGCCAGTGGTGTTGGGGATTGCCTGGAACGCCTATCGGTCAAGCACAGATTAGGAGATGAACAGACACCCTGCCTCCACTGCCACCACACAATTATGACATCCGGCAAGGGCAAGCTATTGAAGGATCATGTAGGAGTCAGCCATAATCAATGCTTGAGCTCTCAATTGTTCCTCTGATCGATGGCGTGAGCCCCACACGTTTCGGAGATCCGAGCCCGCCGATGCCGATGCCGACGCCGTTGGCTCCATTCCCACCACGTGCAATGTAAGAGTGAATGGCATACGATACGACTGGATGTATACAACGCTCAGCTTGGGCCCAGCAACCCAGCGGCAACCTTTTATCTAGACTATATGTACACGCGCTGACCGAGCCTCAAACCTTCGTCGAATGTGACACGTGCGTCGTCGATCCATAGTCCTTCTCGGACCCGGGGGACGAGCTCGCGGCCGTCTCGAGCTCGTTGGGCGGCGTGCTCGGCCCCGCCTTGGCCGCACGCCGCTTGGTGATGAGGTGGTCGACGTAGCGGATTGCGGCGAGGATAAGGCCCACGGTGAGCACGCCAATACCGATGCCGAAGGCTCGACGGTACAGCGGCTTGTCGTCTGAGCGGAAAATCTGGGCTCCGTAAATACCCGCGGTGTTGGCGCCCATGATGACCATGGCCATGGCGAGGGCGCGCTCCTCAGAGTCGCGGGCTGTGAGACTCATCCAGGCAATGTTGAGGGGGTGCGAGAAAGTGCCAAAGGCCTGCGTCCAGATGACACCGAAATAGCGGACGCCCTTGCTCGTGCGGCCCGAGAAGGAGAGGTTGAAGACGTAACCGAGAAGGTGGCAGGCGAGGCCGACCAGTACTGTCTCGCCGCGGCGGTTGTAGTGGTCGCTGACGAACGAGAAGAGATACGAGAGGGGCACCTGGAGCCAGAAACCGACTGAAGCCATAGCGTTGGACTTCAGATTGCCGTAGCCAAACGAGTTGACGATCGAGGGCGAGTAGGTGTCGAAGCCGCGCTGGGGGCCGTTGTTGCACAGGGTGACGCCGAGGTGGACCCAAAGGCGCCAGTTGGAGAAGGCACGCTTGAACGCGCCGCTGTCAATGTGCTTCTTCTTCTTGCCCTTGAGCGGGTCGTCGAGGAGCACGCGCGAGCGCAGGATGTGCAGCTCGCGCTCCGTGAACCAGCCGTCGTACTTGGGAAGGAATGTGGAGCGGGGGTTGGCGAACGAGTCGGGGAGGCAGAAGCCGAACACGAATCCGCCGAGGATTGTGAAGGCACCCATGAGCGCAAAGAGCCAGAACCAACCGCTCTTGCCGCCGACGCCGCGCATGTGGAGAATGCCGTAGGCGAGGAGCTTGGAGCTGGCCTGCCCGATCTGGTTGCCAAAGTAGAAGAACATGACACGCTTGGCCGTCTCGGAGCGCGTGTACCACGTGCTCAGCGTCCAGAGGCCGCCTGGGATGAAACCAGACTCGGTGAGGCCCAGGAGGAAGCGAGTGGCAATGAAGGCGCCGTAGCCCTTCTGGAAGGCTTGGAAGGTTGAGACAGTGCCAAAGAGGAAGAGTTGGAGAGTGAGCCACTTGCCGGGGCCGACGCGGTAGAGGACCATGTTGCTGGGAACTTCGAAAAGCACAATGCCGAGCGACAGCATCTGCTGGCCGACGTTGAACTGGTTCTGCGTGATCCCGACATCCTTGAGGAAGTTGTCCGTGAGCGCATTCGCAATGTTACCGCGGTCGAGTTCTGGTGTAAGCCGCCACTGATCCTCTCGTGCCCTCATGTGGGGTATCTCATGACTCACGGAGGCAGAAAAAGCCGAGGGTGAGAATAGGCATAATGATGAAGTCCAGCCTGGCGGTCAGTCACTGCCACATGCCATGTGCTGCGGGCGGGATGTAACGTACTTGCGCTTGGCCCGTTTCTCCTCTTCTTCGGACCAGTCTCGCTTGAGGGACAAGGGCTCCTCCTCGGCCAGTGGTGGCGGGAAGTAGTCTGGGTCGTGGACCTTTTCGGAAGGCATGGTGTGTGGGAATGAGTGGGTGGGGCGGGTGAGAGTTTGGGAATGGGCATGAGATTCGGAACAGCAGTTAGTTTTGTAGGCTGTCAGTGTATGCAGAACGACGCGCTCAAGACGACCCATGGTGCGCCAGTGATGGCGAGTAGATGATGCGTGATGGTGACCACAGTCGCCATCGGTCGAGGCTTGGCCGCAGTGCGGAAATGCACAAAGCCACACAGTGCACACAGATCTCTCTCTGCGCGCCCGGGCACGAAAGGCTTGGCACGGATCTCCCCTCACAGGGACTCTATTAGAGTGGAGCATTAGCGGAAACAAATTTTCCTATGTGCCTCTCAGTGTCTATTATCCCGCCGTCCAGCGAAATTGCGTGCCCCGTCTTGGCGTTTGATATTTCGATCTTCGACGATCCTCCGCTTCACCATGAGTTTCATCCCCGAGCTATTCCCTTGCGCTTGCGACTCGTGCTGATAACAATGAACTGACCGCTAGCCACTGGCCAGTCGAGCATGCATGTTGACGCCAGCCAGGAGAGCGAGCACGTCGATCCCTTCGTCTTCACGCAGATCTCTCCTTTGTCGATCACGGCGGAAGGGGTCCCGACCCCCTCCAGAGTCCGGGCTCTCTCTCACGCACAGACTCTGCCCGCCCATGCTGCCCGCGTGCGTTGGTATATCTCACGATCTCACGTGGTGCCCTATCGCGCGATCCTGGCCGGCGGCGTGGAGAATCTGGAATATTGGCTGGGCTCACCGCACTAACCCTTCTCACTCCACCCAGTGAGGCGACGGCGGTGGCGCCCCTCGTCATAGAGTGGAGAGCTGACGACCTGATCTGGAATTGAGAACCACCCGCGCCCGGTAAGCTATGGACCGCCCGACGCTTCGCTGGATCACCGCTCGGACGATAGCAATAGCAGGAATAGCTCGAAATCGACTTGAACGGAAAGCCCAGGTTCCCCTCTCGTCCATTAGCCAGTGATACCGCTGTCAGAGGCGCCCTCGTCGCAATCTAGCCTTGACATGGGCACTCATCTGGAATGCCAGTACGACAGCGCTCACTGAGCGCTTTGGTTAGCCGGGGCGGAGGGGAAGAAGACATCGTGTCTGACTGGCTGAGATTGGCCAAGAAGTATGCCGCCGTCGGGCCAGCCCCGTGATGGCCGAGACGGTATTGCACACAACGTGAAGGCTTCATGATTGACCATACCTTCGGTCTGCAAACGCATCTCAACCTAGTCGTCCCATCTCAGCCTTATTTTTCCCCGGGTGGTGAAGTTACCCGGGTGGTGAAGTTACCCGGTCATGGCAATAGACTCCAGATGACCAGCTGCATCATACCTCTTTCCTCCTTCCCACCACACACTTTGTCCCACGGTATCGTCCCTCTGCCAATCCCGAAGCCGCGCCGCCCTCCAGTGTGTGTGTCCGCTCACATCTACTCACCCAGCCCTCTTGGACAAGTGAAGGGACAGACACGAGGTGCCACCCCCAGACGTTGTGTGAGTTCTGTCAAGAATTGGCTCACGGTGGGCTGGTGATTTTCGACGACCTGCCAACTACCACCTGCTCTTTTGCTCCGATTCCCACTCCTCACGAGTGCCCACCACTGTCTTTCCCACACACTCGTTGGCCGGACCGCCTCTCCAGGTGTCAACCGACCTTTCAGAGTGCACTCGTTCAAGCCGCATGCAACAACGGTACCGTCCTCCACTTCCGCGTCCTGGCGACGCCATGGAGATGTGTGAACAGCGACCTCGTGGTACCCATGTCTTCGCCCACCTCCGCCTCTCGCTGCCACGCTTTGCCTCAGCGATCACACAAAGGCTGGAGTCGTGCCTGTCTCCGGCACCGCTTCCATCACCTCGACGACATAGCACAGCGTGGGGCTCCGTCACAACGCTGCGTCGCTGGTCACATTTAAGTGTGCGTTTCAAAGCTTATGCGATGCATAAGCGTATAAGGTTGATAGGCGACGGTCGAGACACCCACGACGTCACAACATACACCCGAAGACATCCAGCGTGCAGCGCATGGAGCCACAACTGAGGGTCCACGGGCATCGGTCGACACGTGTTTCCCGACCGGCGCAGCCTCTCACTTTAGGCTTCTCGTGCCGGTTGCTACACATTCCTCCAGTTCCTCTAGTTCCTCCAGTTCCTACAGGTCCTCGGTGTCTGCTAGCTACTTACTCCTCATGCCTCTAACCCCCCAAAAGTCTATCAAGCTTGAGCCTGGAATGTGCAGGCACGTCGCGCAGACACGGAAACACCGTGTAGCGACATGTTAGAGTGGTGGAACTCCTTCAAGGCGAGGACTATGTTGTGAAGACACGATCAGTTCCTCGCGTTTACCTGAACGTCAAGCGACACGGCTAACACGACTAGAGCCTGTTGAGTCACAGACGCGAAGGGGCACCAGGATCAGGCGAGACGCGACCCCATGTACAGGGACGTCATGAGCCTCCGTTAGAGATGCCGGGATGCCGATTGACAGGGCGCAGTAAGCAAGTCCCTCAAATCTCCCAAGTTCCTCGCGTCTACCTGTTCTCTGTCGCGCACAGCTCTGCCCTAGAAGCCTATGAAGCTTGAGTCTCGAGCGTAAACTCACATGCGGTTGACGACGGACACTCGCTCCTTGTTCGCCATCCTCCGGCGGCGACAGTGGCGGTTGCAGTCAGCAGCAGTGTCCGAGGCAGCGGTCACTCCCAGCACAGAGATCCTGTGGACGTCAACATCGATTGTCGCTGAGAGACGAGTGGACGGGTGTTGCGTTGACCACGGGTGACTTGAGCATAGCATTCGAAGCGACGAGCGTGGTTGGGAGCCTCACTGTCAGTCTTGATGATAGGGCGACCGCTGCAACATAAAAGGCGGCACCTTGACACGCTGTGATTCCCGTCAACCTCACTGTCAACTACATCTTCAACTTCACCGACTTTAACCGCCAACAACCCACACCCTACAACCTACAATCATGAAGGTAGGGACAGCCGCTACCCCGCTAACACAAGTTCTTCGCTGCCGCCTCGCTCGCCCTCCTCTCCTTCGCTGTCGCGAACCCCACTCCCAACGCCGCGGGCGACGAAGCCGCCGCTGCCGAGCAGGGCCTCGCCGCACGCGACCTCGACCTGGGCAAGGTACGGCCACTTCATCTATGACAGAGATCTGATCCCAGCGCGACTGCTCGTACCGCACGATCTGCACTTGCGACGGCCAGCCGGCCGACATCTTCTGCGGCCGCGGCTCCTCGCCTCGTGGCGGCTGGTGCCTCGAGGGCTACGTCTACCAGTGCGACGGTGAGGGCAACACGTGCCGCTACGGCCCGCGCGACGACTGCAACTAGGCATTTTGAGGCTCGTGTATCAGCAGAATGCCAATGAATTGAGATGAGAAGCCAGTTGGTTTCGACGCGCGAGCGCGTCGCGAGTCCACGGATAATGGTCTATTTCGGGAACAGGTGTCTTGTTACTTCTCCACGTGGCCCCTGCCATACCCAGCTTGCAAGACAGCGCATGCGCTGTGAGGGAGTCCACAAGAATTCCGTGTGCAGGGGCTCGACTTTCGCTTACTGCCCCGCTTCCACAGTGACAGACTGTTTTCGAGTGAGAGAGACCGTGCTAAGGAGGCCGTGGTGGGTATTGTTGTTCGACGGTCACGTGAGGTTATCAGGCAATCAGTAATCACGCATTCCAGGCGCAGAGGACCTTATGCGGCGCTTCTCTAGCATAGGGCGGGCTTCACTGAAACCCGTGGCGAAATGAAGCTTAATATAATTCCGCATACGATCCCGCCCCACATGGCGCGGTGCGCTCACGCGCCTTGCTCGAAATGCTCAGACTCACTCACAAATCGCGACCTTATTATATTTGAGCTCGGCCATACAAGTCCAGGTAAGTCGGAGCGCTTGCAATGCACCGTCGCGTCGGCAGGGTGTCGGGTCACTCGAAACTGCTGACAGATCACAGCGAAAGAAGCATAACGGGGTACGTTTAAGGAATCCCTGTTCCCTGTCATCATTGACCGGACATATCACCTTCGTCCCGCACCTCTGTCGACCACCTGAACCTCAGCTAAGAAGCACCATTCGTAGTGAGGGTAGGTCTGTTTAGGCTGACAACGCAATCTCAAGTAGAAAATTATCCACTCTGTATGCCGACATTCACAGCTGCCAGCGCGACTGAATTCTAGAAGCACGTTCTGGGGACCTCCACGGTTTCGGCGAGGGTTGATTTGTGTAGGTGTCACGTGAAAGTACAAGTGGCGATTCTGCTGACATTTAGCCCCTTAGATGCGCGGCCTGCTTCAAGGAGGTCTCCACTAGCGCGGAGAAGTGGGCAACAGCCCAGTTCGGCAAGCGAAAGTCGTATCAAATAATGTGTGGTTGAGGAGCATGTACGACGCGCCGCCAGTCCATGTTCTGGCCAAAACAAGCAGGCACGGAACACGACAGACGCGCCTGGCGGAACCCGCTCACTCGATTACTGTGGGCGGAACATTCATCATCAAGTGAAGCTTAACGAACAAGCCCTGACGCCCGCGCTAGGCAACTTGTGACCACCCCTCCCGTTCATCGCCGTTTCAAGGTCACGAGGGCTCGTATCTTTCGTCGGAATTAAACTATGAAGCAGAGTCTTCGCATGTCGCCCGAATGTGTAGCGCGTGAACACGGCGGTGGTCTGGGACGCGAGTAACCTACGCTCCTAGATTATCGGGCCGCGACGCGTCCGACCGCGGGTGACGGCCACTGACAGACTCCACGGCCGCTGGCAAAACGAAGCAGGTGTCAAAGGCGAGCTCCTCAAGCTTCTGGGAAGACGCACCTAAGCATAAAAGGCAGCCGATTCCAACTCGAAGGAGTCCCCAGCTACCATGCTGTTTCTCATCACCCTCCTCTCGATTTTGGTCTTTGTGCAAGCAGCTGTGGTCGGTACGTAGAAGCCCAAACCTTAGCTAACATAGAACGCAGGGCCGCCCCAGCTGGCACTGTGACGTTCGACCTGAAGAAGGACTTCGGAGCGATCGGGCAGGCTGTTACCGCCGACACGCGCGCCTTCCGCGAGGCCGCGAAGGCCATCATGGCGCGACCTGACAAGGCCGCTATTCTGAATATCCCGGCGGGCAACTACTACATCCGCGGTCAGCGCAATATCACCGCTGCCGAGCGCGCAGCCGACCCAAACCGACAGTTCTACATCTTTGAGCCGATTCTTAAGGTGACTGGCCTTAAGTACCTCGAAATTCGAGGGAACGGGGCAACGCTCTCGCTTGACTGGCATCAGCGCTTCGGTGCCTTCGAGCTTGACGGCACTGTCGCCAGTTCACGTAGACAGCACCAGCCGCAGTTTGCTGCGTCTGTAGGCCCCGTTATCGATCTTTGGGACGCAACCGGGCCAATGATTGTTGATAATCTAAACTTCGTCACCCTCCAGGACAAGCTGGTGATTGGAAACGAATATGGCGACACTGGCATCCAGTTGGGTGGCTCCGCAATTGTCCTGGAGGGCTGCCCTGGAGCCCAACTTTCCCGCATCACCACCAAAGGCATGGCACTCGATGGGATCACTATCCGCGACCAGTACAAGAAGCGGGAGCTGGGCGCTGTGACCACCCTCAACAATGTACACTGCGAAGGCTCGGGGCGACAAGGCCTGTCCTGGATTGGCGGCAACGGTCTCACCGTCACCAACTCACGCTTTACCAAAACGGGACGGGGCAAGGTGTCCTCGTCGCCCAAGGCCGGGCTCGACATAGAGCCCAACATCTCGCCCACACAGTGGACAAGGAATGGGCTATTCAAGAATTGCATGTTCGATGACAACGCCGGTCCCGGCTTTGTTGCGCCCTTCAACCGAGCTGAGCCAGCCAAGGGAATCGATGGAGGCTACGCCAAGTTTGAGGACTGCACATTCATTGGGCAGACAACGTGGTCAGCCAAGATCGAGGCGCCAGGCATCTCCTTCACCCGCTGCAAGTTCTTCGGCACCGTCTGGGGCGCGAGCGATGGGCTTGGGATTGACGGCGTGCGCAATCCCTCGCGCGCAACTACGTGGACTGATTGCGCGTTTTCGGACACATACAACGGTGTCAAGGGCGGCGGGAGCCGCACGATGGAGGCTAGCGGTACGGCCAACGCTAAGTGGACGCGGTGCAACTTCACCAATACGGCGGCATCGAATCTGTGGATCAAAAGCAACATCGCGTATGGCGCGCAGATGAAGCTTGAAAACTGCCGCGTCGTGCATGGCAACGCTGCGATGGAAAACCTCAAACACCAGAGCGACCTCGACCAGGTCAATCTCATAAGCACTGCCTTCACGGAGACTCAGGCCGTGTCAACTGGCCCCAACAAATACCGAGTTTGGCTGTCCTTGTCGAGCAACATAGATACTGCCAGCAACCGCCTGACGGACTACCTGGGGAACACGTCCACGAAGATCTCGTGGTGGCGTCAGTAGTGGGCTCCGCCAATGCATGTTTGACGAAAGTTGCGCCGGGCCGCTTGCACCTCGCATCGTACCAGTCGCACCCCTCAGGTGGTATCTGTGGGACTGCAGCCATCCTCATCCATCCGCTGCCGCTGAAGGTTTACACGTCCTCAATTTCTGCCCAAGTGCGAGAATTTGTCCGTCTTCCCAGGGGGCGCTCAGCACTTTCCTGAACGATGGCTCGAGACATAAATATCCGTTAAGAGAAGACATAACACGACAAGATTTATTCAGACCAGTTCCTTCTTTCATCGCATGACGCAGATACTTCGTGCAACTTAGGTGCACCCCTCCATGTTTGTGCCGAAGAAGGGTCCCTGATGACAAGAGGTCAGCATACTCAAAGATTGACTTACATTGGGTCTGCCGCACCCGTGAACGGTGTGAAAGCATATAAAATGCCCTCTGAGCACTCGTTATTTTCGCGACCAGGGCAGTACACCCAATCCATCGGGTCTGGTGGAGGGAAAAACTCAAAGGGCCAGTAAACCTCACCCTCGGGATGAGTCCATTCCTCGGCGAGGGGCTCGTGAGGAATGCGATCATTCTTCGCCACAGCATACCGATAATCATCGATTGTATTTTCCACAGCACGGGCCCACGCACCGTTACCTGTTTTGGGGGGACTGAAAGCGCGCACTGTGATCTTCATGTCTGGGAAACGTTTTTTGTATTCCACGCCGAGAATTTCGGCAATCGATCCCCCCTGGCTGTGTCCCACTAGGACCATGTCGCGGGTGCCTCCGTTGTAGCTCTTCTCCACGGACTTATCAACAACGTTCCGGTATAACTGGGCCAGGTTTGCGTGGCCCCGGCGAATGCGTACAGGACCGTCGAGATCTTGGCTAACCCACTTAGGGGTAACCTGCGTCTCGTCGCGGTAGTGGCCAAGGGTGGTATTCATGTCTGTGCCCTGCACAACCACGAAAAGTCGCCCAGCTTGCTCGGCGGCGAAGACTGGAATGAGCACAGTCCCGGTCACGACGCACTGGTGGAGATGGTATCCCATGATGAGCCACTTTCCACCACTGGAACGGTGGGAATGGAACCGCCTTGCTGCGAGATATAATCGCAGGATGGACCGCACTTCCAGCTCCTGATTTTGTCGTCCTCGCATTGAACGACCCTGTTTATTAGAACATACATCACTGCCAACGCACTTGGAGAAGAATGTGTAGAATTTCCACTCGTCCTTCTCACTTTGACTTAACGGCCTTGGCGATTGCGTCGCTGTAGGACCGGATGTCGTTCGAGGGGTTCCCCCCGTGAAGTCGGTTGGGTTAGGGTTGGTCGGCTGTGGGTTGGTCGGCTCGGGGTCGGTGGGCTGTGTGGCGGTGGGCTCGGGGTCGGTAGGCTCGGGGCCGGTAGGCTGTGGATCGGTGGGCGCGGGGTCAGTTGGCTCGGGGTCGGGGTCAACAGGCTGTGTATTGGTCGGCTCGGGGTCGGTGGGAGGTGGAATCGTGACAGGCGGCTCGGTGGGGCGTGGCGTCCCCCCACCACCGCCGAACAGCGCCGTCCACGATGTTCTACCGACAATCCCGTCCGCGACGAGCCCGCGGGCGCTTTGGTATGCGACCGTGGCGGCCTTAGTACCCGCGCCAAACTCGCCGTCGACGGCGAGCTGGGCCCCGTTACCGTTGAGCGCGGTCTGAGCGGCGCGCACTACATTGCCGCGGCTCCCCTGCGCAACCTCCTTGACGAGAGCGCCGAGTGTCGCAGGGCCGGGCACGCCATCCGCCGCCAAGCCTACACGCGGCTGGACGGCGGTGACGGCGCCAGCTGTCTCGGGACCCCAGATGCCGTCTGAGACAACCTCGTAGCCCCAGTCGTGGAGGAGATATTGCAGCGCCTCGACACGGTGAGCGGGCGCGCCGGCGCCTGCGAACGCGCCAGCGCCGAGGTCGCCGAGACCACGCTGCGGTTAGCGGCGACTAAAAATTACCCACTTGAGTGAGTTCTTTGCGTTCAGCGTGAGGCCGGCTCACGACCGCTGTCGCGAGCGCGACAAGAGGGAGGAGGTGGAAACGCATTGTGTGTAGCGATCCACCGCACCGCCCGGCGCGTTTTATATCATCACGCGTCGACTGCCAGACCGGTACAAGACGCCGACGCACACAAAGAAGCTTCGTAGCGTTGCCAGGCACAATAAAACCGGAAGCTTGTTATCGTTGCGGTTGTCGTTCCGACGAGTGTGTGGCTCCCGCAAGACAGGCTGGAGCTGAAGCCAGCCCATACGCCAGCCTTGCACAGCCGGTGCATCCGGCAAGCGTTCAGCAGCCTGACGCGAAAACAGCCCACCTCTTCCAGAGCAATATCCCCGTTTCAGATAGTGGACGTAGAACCAGGCACAGTCACCCGCGGTCCAACTTAACCTCCATACAATTCGGCCTTCAGCTTGGCGCATCTGTTGCGCGTATCGCGTCCCGTCAAGGTGACGCAAGCCGGAGTTGGCCGGCCGCGTACAAGCGAGGTTCGCGTGGTCAATCCAGTGTCATACAACGTTCACGGGGTCAATCCAGTGGAACGTGCCTGGGGACGTTGTGGCACCTGCGACGGGGCGATTGACGCTGCTACAGTATGCAGTCCCATTGGCCCAGATTAATACCGTCAGTTTTCTCTAAGCATGAGCGTATGAGTTCGGGACTGCGCATCTGCTCCTGGCGGTGGCCATCAACCTTTCGATGCGTCCTGGCAAGGTGGAGCTGTAGACTGGCCAACTGCGCAGCACTTCGAGCACTACGCTGACTCAGAGATCACACAGATGATCGTCCGGCTCTCGCTAACAACTGCTCTGTTTGGTTGACAATCAGAATGGCCGCTGGAGATCGAGAGCGAGAGGAATTGCGTGCCAGCCTTTGTGCATGCGTGGTCAAAGCGATCAGCATCGGTCATCGGGCGCATCTCAGCGAGCCTCATACACATCCTGCACGCATGGACTAGAGTGCACGATCGAGATCCGCCCACCTTGGCCGTTGTGCATTGCCCGTGGTAGCATGGAGTGGCAGCGGTAAATGGTGACATACTGTCGGTTCAGAAGCTGGCCATGTCGCGAGAAAGCTGAATTGAATGACCCACGAATTCTGAATTAGATCGGGCTGAATTCTGGCCGCCTGCAATGAGGTGTGAGTAACCCCAGAGCGGGGTCCCAGGGTGGGGAATTGAATGTGGAAGGGTTCAGACCGTTCAGAACGCTTATGAGGCGCAAAGAGCCGTGCTCGTGGTTCTGGAAGGCGATCGGCAGTCGGATCTGCGGAATGTGGAGACAGTGAAGGGACGTGTTTAATCTTCGGCGTCTGTTTGCATCGGTCAATACCTTGGATCTTGCGATCTTGTAATCTTGGCGCCATTAATCTGCGGTTCTGAGCGATACTCCGTGTTAGATGACCGGTTCACTCATGCGCCATCATCGAGCCACAGAGTGATGTGGAGACACACTGAAGAACATTTCAGCCCTGCCCGAGATCTCGGTCAGCCATCGCAATGGATAGGCGGAAGCATCGGAGGACGGGAATCGTCGCTGGTTAATGACCTTCTGGATGGAAATAAACGCGCGATCGCCGGCGTCAGCCGCTGAGCACATTAACAGCTTTACACCCGGCATCAGTGTCAGCTGGTCTCAGATAATCTTTCCTGGGAGGTGCTGAGATGCTTATAAGCCCTAGCGGAGGACGCCTCTTGGATATCAGCTGCTCACAACGTCTGCACTTCACCGCCACACATCACTTCCACTCACCATGCGCCCTGCTCTTCTCCTTGCCATTTTCGGGGGCTTGGCACTTGCCGCTCCCCTCGCCGTCTCGCCAGACGGGTCTCATCTCGTCGCTCGTTCAGAGAACGCCGTGGCTGCTCGCGACGCCGAACCAGAGGTCACGGCCGTCGAGGACCGCCAGCTGTCTCCAGGAGGTGAGGTCAGCATTCAGCACGCACTCACACCAGGTCTCGGAAACATCGACTGGAACGGTCTCATCGACCAAGTCAAGACGACGCTTGATGACACCACCTCCCTCACCACCGCGCAGATCAAGACCATTGTCGGTATCATCACCGGCATTTCCCAGGGCAAGCCTCTGGACGGCAGCGTCATCGGAAAGCTCCTCACCATTCCCGCGTCCTTGCTAGTCAAGCTCCCGCAGATTCTGGCGCCCATCCTTGTGCCTGCCACCATGGGTCTTCCCGGCGTCAACCAAGCCGTGTACATGCTTCTCGTGCTCCTCCAGACCCTCGGAGGCGGCGTGGGACTCCTCGGTGGCCTGACAGGCGGTCTGGGCGGTCTCCTCGGGCGTGCAGTGCCGGGCGTCAACATCGACCAAGTGCTCGCCAAGGTATCCAGTGCCCTCAAGAACACGGGTCTAAGCGAGGGCCAGTCAGACATTGTAGGCGGTATTGTCCGCGGCCTTCTCGAGGGCACCCCTCTCGGCAGTGGCGCTTTCGGCCAGCTCCAGAGCATCCCAACACAGGCCCTGTCGAAAGTGATCGGTGCCCTCAACACCGTTATCTGGCAGATTCCTGCCATCGGTCCGCTTCTCGCCCCCCTCCTCGCCCTGCTCCAGCTTGTTATCCTTTCCGGCGGTAACGGAGGCCTTCTTGGGGGCCTCCTCGGTGTGGTCAACAACGCAAGCGGGGGCGTTCCGGGCGGAAAGAATGGCGCAATTGGTGGCCTCCTCGGAGGGATCCTGTGAGCGCTCAGCTCATCATCTGCACGGCGAATGTTCTTGAATTTCTACCCCTGTATAGGTGCTGCGACGGCTTGGGGGCTGTCTGGGTGGGAGTGACGAGCGATAGCTGGGCCTCGATCCAATAAGCGTTGTTTAAGTTGTTAGCAGTCAATGTACTCGAAGTACTAGCATCGGTAGTGGACGTACTTTGCGTCTTGTGAACTCACGTATGAGCCCAGATTCGGTATCGTTGGCTCTACCGCCGCGCGCCGGGGGAATGGTGAATCGGATGCACAATTGCACAAGCGAAAGCGATCAAACGAGAGATACATCTCCGACGACCCGACGAATCCGCCCTCCGGTGTCCGGCACCACGGCCGGCCACTGAATTCCGCAGCTTAAGCACCGTCGTACTGTCAAAGGAAGCCTAACACGTCAGAAGTTTCCCACACTGCTGCGCAATAAGCAGCTCGTGCTTTCACCGATCACCCATCCATCGGGGGTACTCCCAGCTCGCACCGGCGATCCACTCATGATCGGTGGGAGGAGGGCGCACGAGGGTGACAGGGGCAGGACTAGGCGATCCGCGGATCCGCTGATCGGTGCTTGGTGCCACCGGTGCTAAGTGCAGAGTGCTAGTTCCACGTACGCACAATACGCACGTTCATTCGATCATTCAGAGATCTGAGAGTCAATGTTCTGAAAGCACACAAGGGTTGTTGACGTGTATAGCCGCCGTCAATTGAAGTACTGTAACTTCGGTGGTGGCGCTGCCACACACGGCCCACGTCCAATAACTGAGTGTGGCCATTGTCCAACGAGCCAACGAATCAAAAATCCAATGGCCAATGATCCAGTAGCCACTCCCAGATCCCAGAGCATGCAAAGCAATAGTATATAATTATAGCTCTCGCTCTTCACCTGTGGCTCCCTGTGGCTTGGCAGCTGCGGATCGGCGCTCTCGCACCGTGCTTGGCGTGCAGTGGGACTGCCTGCGGCTGATTCGGGCATGACGCCAGCAATCCCCGAGTGATGCGCGTCTGGATCGGGCACATCTCACGCGTCGCGTCTTGCATTTTGCACCTCACACCACTCCATGCACTCCAGAAATCAGGTCCTGGTCCATGGTCCATGGTCCACATGCATGCTCTCCACGTCTCCGCCTTCCTTCAAACCCCGTTATAATCACCGCTTGTCAACGTCTGCATTCTCTTCTTCACCCACTCTCTCACTCCATCGCTCTCCACCCCCTCACCCTCTTCTTCTTCCTGTGTCCAGCCGTCTCCCACACTCCTTAACATCCTCACCATGCGTTCTTACCTCGTCATCGCAGCTCTCGCCATCATCTCCCCCTTCGTGGCCGCCGCTCCAATCGAGGTCGTCGCTGGCGTCGGCCTCGACCTTTCGGCCAACACCATCCCTCTTGTTCCCCGCAACATCGCCTCGCCGCCTCCCGCCAAGGCTTGGACTCGCCGCCTCTACGGTCTGTGAGTACCTTCCTTCCCTCAACCTCTGCCCACCCCGTCACTTACCCGACCCTCATCCTTCGTCGTCTCTGTGCGTCGTTCTCGCTTAACTCAGCCTCAACCTCAGCAATCTCGACTGGGATGGCCTTACTGCCGAGCTGAACCGCATCCTTACCGAAACCACCGACCTCACCACTGACCAGGCCGCCACCGTCCTCAACGCTCTGGTGGCCATCCTCAAGGGCGAGAACCTCAACGAGGCCACCGCGAAGCTTCTCTCTATCCCCGGCCATGTACTTGCTCGCCTTCCCAATCTTCTTGGCCCTGCGCTCAAGTCTGCCACGATGGGTCTTCCAGGTGTCAACAACCTCATTTTGATCGCTCTCGATATAATTGCCCAGCTTGTAAGCCCGCCTCTTTCCGTTCCCCATTCTTTGACAATACATCGCCTTCCAACCCTCTTCACCTCTGTTTCGCGTTTCGTCAATGTCTGCTCACTCCAGGGCCGCGACACCAATCTCGCGAAACGCCAGCTGCTCAACGTTGGCTTGAACGAGCTCCTCCCTATCACGGGCCTCGCGCTTCCCAGCCAGGTCCTCGAGCTGGTTCTTCGCATCGTCGGCTCGCTTCTCGCTGGTCAGTTTTCTTGTGATGTTTGACACCGTTTTCTGACATTCTAGGGCGTACTGTCGACCCCGAGGATGCTCAGGCCTTCAACGACCTCGACTCGTCTGTGCTGGACAAGATTCTTGACGCTCTTCCCTCCACGCTCAGCAACGCCCTCGGAACGAGCGTTCTGGGCGGCTCTTACGGCCCCATTCACGGCTGAGCGCAATTTCTGGCCCCATTCACGTTGCTTAGTTTCGGCTTACCACCCCCCCCCTTCCTCAGCTTGGCTGCTGCAACCTTGTTCTCCCTCTAGCTCTTGGTTACACATGCGGTGATGTTATCGCTGTCCTTTAGCATTAGCACTCTGTCGCGTCGAAAGTCAGAGAGCCGCTCTGTCCAGGTCATGCTTACAATTACAACAGGTCGCCTAACGACGTGCAACTGCCTGGTTCTATGGATCTATGGATGGATGGACGCTTGTGAGGGCATCGTCATGCGCGGCGCATGTTTGCGTGGATTGTCCTTGGATTGCATCGGTACCGACCCCTGGCAGTCAGCCACCAATTCGACGCTGAGCGCATGTAAGCTCAGCTGGTAGTCTGGCCACACTGCTCGAGGTGCACACAAACAAGCGGCCACTCATGCAACTCACCCGTCTTCTTGACGTTGGAAACAGCCCCATGAACTCATCCGCGTCCTCCACAACCGCCTCCGCCGCGGCCATCATGTCGCGCGCAAGCTCGTTGAGCGGTTGGCCGAACGGAATGTCCGGCTTTTCGCCTCTACCATCAGTTGTCAGCCCCCTCAAGACCTCACGTCTTCACCGCTGCAACGAGTTCAATAATCTCAGCGCGCACCTGCGCCATCCTAGGGATCTGGTGTTCCTCCATCGCGCGCACGTAGATGTGCTTGCCCGCAGCGTCCGCAACGCTGCCCACAGCCGGGAGGTACTGCTCCAGCAGACCCTCGACAATAGATGTCTTGCCCGCAGCCAGCGCGACGAGGAGTTGCTGTGATCAGCCCTGATCCGAGCCTCGCACGGCCGGCAAGCTGCTCAACGCTGACATAGAGCGGCCGCCGTCAAACTCACCTCGCGCCGCATATCGAGACTCAAGTCGAACAGCGCGTCGCCATCCGCGACCGCGAGACGGTGAAGCGTCGCCATGCCCGCGGGGTCCACGTCGAGGTCGGACAGCGCGCTCTCGAGCATGGCCGCCTCGGCCGTGATGCGCTGCCGCACGAGAGAGAGGTGCACCGCCAGCTGGAGGACGGAGGGGAGGCGCTTGGTGAGGAGCGCAGGCTCTAGATGTTCGCGGAGCGCCTCGAGGACGCGTGCGGGTGTTGGGGCCGCCATGGTGCGGTGGGTGATGTCAACCATCGGTGTCAACAATCGCGGATGTCGGCCTCCACTTCCACCTCCACCGCGTCCTACCTGCCCCACTTCCCATCATCTACCAAATGTCACCCTCGACCGACGCCGCGACATGGCAAAACGATACAGTGCATATGCTACGATTACTTGTCCTTGGGCTCGTCCTTGACCACATTCGCGAAGATCTGCGACGCCGTCTCGGGGTTGATGTCCACACCGGCCTCCTTGAGCTGCACCATGAGCTGGGGTTAGCTGTGTCGTTGAGTGTGGGGAGCGCACGTTCTGGCCAGCCTCGCGGATATCGGGGTCCATCCCAAGCTTCATCACCTGCATCGTGGAGGGGGGCTTGGAGAGGTCCACACCTGGTGTCAGCTGGGCAGCGGGCGGCTGGTAGGTCAGGCTACCGGCGACACTCCGTCCAGAGCAGAGGAGGGGAACTGAGATGCCGAAGGGGTCTTGTGTTGCAAAGTCATGCAAAGCAGTTCCGTAGCCCGGTTCCGCTAATCATGGAGTTGCGAGGCGCTCACAAGAGAGATGGGCATGGAAGCCATGTGATTGCTCTCACGCTGGCAACACTGGGATCGGAAGGTCTGCGAGCGGCGGCGAGCATGCCTAGAGAGAGTGATCGTGCACTCAACTCTAGGCAGCATGCACGCGCATGCAGAGCCATCTGCAACGCTGCTATCCAGAGTAAACCCTCGCCGCATCGAGTCTAGGACAGCCGAGGGTCGACTCCACCACCACCAACACTGCACCTCCGCTTCCTCGCGCACCCAGCGTCCTAACTCACCCTTGTCCTGCATGAGCTGCCCGAGCCGCATGATGGCCTGCTTGGCGCCCTCGTGCGCCTCAATCTTGCTGCGGAGTTCGACGATGCGGGGGTCCTGCGCGAACGGGTCCTGGGACGCGAGGCGGCGCGCGCTCACGTGCAGCCTGCGCGCGGCGGGCACGGCGACGCGGGGCACAATGGGGACAGCACGGGCGAGGCGGGCGACACGGAAGATGGAGGCCATTTTGATGAGTGCGAAGGAGAGGCGCGGAGTGAAAGTACGAGTGGAAGTGGAGGGTGGAGCGAATCGGAGAAATGCTTCCGGGGGTGGAGGTCGTCCAGTGTCGCATGACATGACGCAGCGGTGGAGGGGTGAGATGCGCGAGAAAGGTAGTGCGGTGGGCACCGGCGGTGCAATAGTTGGACAGAGATGTTGGGCGCTGAATACCACTTGGGTGTTGCGCATTGGTCTCGCTGCATCAGTTCATCGCGAATGGCGCTCCTAGTTTAGCGTCGGAAGTATGGGGCGCGATGTCAAGTAATACAGTCGCTGAGAGTCGCTCAGAGGCATACAACGGAGGATACAGCAATACAACTGACTACCTGAACTTTTTTCCTCCCTACTGCTGCCTGTGCCCGCGCAGTGACCCCGGCAGGCTCGGCTGGTTCAGAAGAGGGGAGAGGCCAGCTTCGCCAAGAACTTTGCGCGTGAGGTCGCTCTGCCGAAAGTCCGAATACCATACCCATCGCGACCGTTCAACGTGCAATGCCAGAACGCCAAGCATTCCGTTCGCTCTCCAGCCTATAACCGCGTGCATCGACTTGTGGGCGTACGACTCGTCCAAGGGGAGCGTAGAGTCTCCATGCCACGCTACCGAGGACGGAGGGGAGCCCTGCGGAGCGAGGTCTGGCGAGACTGGGAGCGAGACGGGGGGCGTGGACGTTGCGTGCCGGAAAACTGGTACTCTATCCAATACAGGCGCGTACCCCTTCGGCAAGCGGGTGTCGGCGAGCGCACGCAGTCGCAGGAGCCACCACCATTCGAGGGCTTCGAGTACGTACGCCTGCACATCTTCGCGCGACGGAGGAAGATGGCGGAGCCCGTAGCCGTAGCCTATTCCGAATGCGGGGCCGGCGGGCGTCGAGCCTGAAGGCTCAAACACTGTCAAGATGAGGGTGTCGTATGCCAGACGAGCGCAGCGGGACATTTCGGCCCGCGCTTGATCCCACCGTGGGGTGCTGCCGGCTTTTGCCTTCATCCTGGAGTCAGAGAGTTCCCATAAGGATAGAGTCAGTCAGTAGGGGTGTGAGGGCAAGGAAAGAGAAGTGTGGCTGCAAGGACACTCACTCCAGCCAGGCATTGTACAGCGCCGCAAGGGTGAAGCAGACGGCATCAACGTCCATCCATGAATCGCCTTCGCCGCAGCGTTCCCGATTCATGCGATTTGCAGTAGTGAACTTCCGCGCGGCGATGAGCCCGAACTGCTCGAGGTTGGGATCGCGGGGGTCAGGAAGCTCGTGGGGAAAGGGAGTGCCAGACATGATACGCAGATGGAATTGAAGAAAACGGGCGACTGGAGAACAGTCGCGCTGTATTTGACGCTGACATCGTCGTCACTGAGCTGGGCGGCGTAGGCGGGGCTGCTGGGTGAGCGGACGTAGGCGGGCTGCGGACGGCGACAAGACCGTTGAAGGCTGGATGGGCCACAGGTAATAATATTGCTCCACTTCGGCCACTTTGGGCAACAGTCATTTCTGACGTCACCATCCAACTTCGCCATACCTCCAGCCACGCGAGGCCCTCCCACGTGACATGAGAGCCACGCGAGATCAACGTGAACAGACCCTGCTGAGGTGGCCTCCACCGCCTTCCACCGCCACCCAACTCAAGACGAGTGCGTCGTTGTTGACGCGTTTCATCTTCCCTCATCTTCCAGACTTTCGTTTTCACCATGGCAGACGACAAGCCCGCCGATAAGTCGTGCACCATCACCCTCGAGGACGGCACATTTTACGACCTCAACCAGCTCAGCACGGCCAAGGCCGACTACGAGGCCGACGCCGGAGATGGACAGGGCGAGCTGGTGTACAAGCTCAACGTCTGCCGAGGCGTCGTGAGCGAGCCGTGGAACGTCGAGGATGCACCCAACGTTGGCGGGTTTATCAACGGGCGCGGGCACGGCGACTTCTCGCTCGGGTGAGTCAGATTGAGTGCTGCGCGCGTGGAGGCGCCAGAGAAGGCGGATCTGCGGAAATCTACCGCAGTCAAGCTGCGGCCTGCGGGTCGATAATAGAGTCTGCGGCGCTCGCGCATAAGCGAGCCCTTCGGACAGTGCTGCCTGCTTTCTTCTCTCGCTGCGCGACATGGCGCTGACCGCAGCGAGTTTACCACCAACCTCACGGTCTCTCCGACTACACATGAGCCGATGCTCATCTACGAGAACGGCTCAAAGTGCCCAGGCAACGAAAACGAGCGCGCGTCTACGGTTATCCGCGTAGGTTTCGTGTGTGAGCGTCTTTGACAGTAGTTTGTGTGCAGCCAGACAGACTTCGAGGCGGGCAGGCCGCGGCTCGTGGCAGCTGTGCCTGCTGGCGATAAGGCATGCCATTTCTTCTTTGACTGGAACACGCATGTCGCGTGCCCCACGAACCGCAAAGCCGACCTTGAGAGTGCGCATGTCTGGGCATTTGTCGGATTGTGAGTGCAAGGTGTAGACAGTTCATCTCGTCGCACCTTGCTGACATCAGTGTTGTTGTTGCCATTCTGACCTGGTTTGGCGGACACACACTATACAACCGCTTCTACCTCAAGCGCCGTGGAATGGACGTGTTCCCCATACCGAAGTGCCACCGCCCGCCCGGCGTCCATCTGCCGCAGCCCATCTCGTCATCTGACGGCTCGGCGCAGCCACGACGCTCGTGGTCCGCGCCATGGAAGCGCCGCTCGCAGCGCGCCGGGTACAACCACCTGAGGCAGGACCCGAACGAGGAGGACCACCTCGCTGCGCGTTTCTCGATTGATGACGATGAGGACGAGGACGACGCACATGTCCTGGGCGGCGAGATGCAGGCATGGCGGCAGGGTGGGGATGTGGAGGTGTCGCGGACGTCGACATCCAACGAGGAGACGGTGGGCGTGCACCAGGGCCTGGTGCGTCTGTAGAGAGGCTACATGCGGGGCTTGGACTGTGTATGTATCTGCAAGTTAGAGAGATAGAGCGCTGTAGAGCATGGCATGGAGAGTGAAAGCGATGCGAGGTGGAGGTCTCGGTGCCACTGGGTGAAAACGCCGAGATTCCGTTATGGGCTGTGGATTGGAGCCACCCTGGTTGGCGCAGGAGGAAGGCGCAGGAGGAGATTGCCTCCGACGACGAGCACTCAGTCACAAGCCGACAGCCGTACAGTGGACGTCGACCTCATCGCACCGCTCATCGCGCACACCACTCGCCATGTTCCGCGCCCTCCGGCCCATCCTCGCAAAGGCCCCCGCCGCGAGGCCACTCCGCCCCCTCGGCGTGAGCGCGCGCAACTACGCCGCCCAGGCCGACGGGGAGCGCCGCTTCACCCCCGTCCAGACCACTTCGGTCGAGGAGTGCGTCCGCTGCGCCGCCTCCGAGCGCCCGCTAACCTCAGCTTGCACGAGATGAGCGCCCAGGAGATTCTCTCTGAGGAGATTGGCCCCAAGACGACCGCAGGCGGCATGCGCCACTTCACCGGTGCGTTGCGCGTTGCGCGCCCGCCGACACCGCCTCGGCGGCAGCCCACAAGCTGACCCCAGTCAACTTCGGCCCCCAGCACCCCGCCGCCCACGGTGTGCTGCGTCTTATTCTCGAGCTTAACGGAGAGGAGATTCTCCGTGCCGACCCCCACATCGGTCTCCTCCACCGTGGTACTGAGAAGCTCATCGAGTACAAGAATTACACCCAGGCTCTTCCGTACTTCGACCGCCTCGACTACGTCTCTATGAGTGCGTACGCGCGCTAGCGCAAGCGAAGGGGAGCTGTGGGGCTGTCCCGAAAGCAGCGCCGAGGAATGAACGCGTCGCGCGCGTCATGTGCTCCTTCATTCGCGGCACGCGCCGATGTTCGCTGCCCCCGGCTCCCCTCGCTCCCGCTTCTCGTCCACCGCTGACCCCAGTGACCAACGAGCTGTCGTACACCCTTGCTGTCGAGAAGCTGCTCAACATCGAGGTCCCCGAGCGTGCCAAGTGGATTCGCACGCTCATGGGCGAGATCACGCGTATTCTCAACCACTTGATGGCCGTCCTTACGCACGCGATGGACGTCGGTGCGCTGACGCCCTTCCTGTGGGGTTTCGAGGAGCGTGAGAAGCTCATGGAGTTCTACGAGCGTGTCTCGGGAGCGCGCATGCACGCGGCGTACGTGCGCCCCGGCGGTGTCGCGTTCGACCTGCCCCACGGCCTGCTGGACGACATCTTCAAGTGGGCGACCCAGTTCTCCACGCGTGTCGACGAGATCGAGGAGGTCGTCACTGGCAACCGTATCTGGAAGGCGCGTACGATCGGCATTGGCAAGGTGACGGCGCAGGAGGCGCTCGACTACTCGTTCACCGGCGTCATGCTCCGTGGCTCGGGTATCCCTTGGGACATCCGCAAGGTTGCGCCGTACGACGCGTACGACCAGGTAGAGTTTGATGTGCCCGTCGGCAAGAACGGCGACTGCTACGACCGCTACCTGTGTCGTGTGCAGGAGTTCCGCGAGTCGCTGCGCATCATTAACCAGTGCCTCAACAAGATGCCCGCCGGCGCATACAAGATTGACGACCACAAGATTGTGCCCCCGCCCCGCGCGTCCATGAAGGAGAGCATGGAGGCTCTCATCCACCACTTTAAGCTCTTCTCCGAGGGCTACTCGGTGCCCCCCGGCGAGACGTACACGGCCATCGAGGCGCCCAAGGGCGAGATGGGTGTCTACCTCGTCTCGGACGGCTCCAACCGCCCTTACCGCTGCAAGATTCGCGCACCAGGCTTTGCCCACCTTGCCGGCGCAGACTTTATGATGCGCCACGCCTTCCTGCCCGACGCCGTCGCCATCATCGGTACCATGGACCTGGTGTTCGGTGAGGTTGACCGGTAGAGTGTAGGATAGACAATGCATAGTGCTAAAGAGGATGTGTGGGGGAGGGTGGGGTGGAGGAGGTGCTTGACGCCGCCTATGCGCGCCATACGTTGAGGTCGTGGTCGTAGAATGAGCATGTTGCGACGAGGCTGCCTCCATCGGACGGCGGGAGGCGGCACCAGTCGGCGCCGTACCCCAGCGTGCCGGGAAACGTAGTGGTGATCTCGCCCTGCTCTCCACCCTCGGCAATCCGTGCCACCGCAAACCCGCCATGCATGCAGGCGTTGAGGATATCCCCCCGCCGCTCGGCGGCGTGATGCCAGCGCGTGCGCCATATCCCGCCGGGCATCTCGAGTTCGAGGAGGGGCCGCGCGGGCGCGCGGCAGTCGAATAGGCGGAGATGTGCATCGTATCTGTCTCAGCTCGGGCACCAGCAACACTCACGATCCAACAGCGAGGAGGTGCTCGTCGTGCGGGCTGTGCGCGATGGTCGTCACGCCCCCGTCGAAGCCTTTGCGCTTGACGAACGTGGGCGCTTGCGCGCGCACATCCCAGCGCTTGAGTGCGAGGTCGTCGCCGCCCGACCACAGCGTCTGCGGGCCCTGCCACGCCGTAATCCACGGCTCGAAGTCGTGCGCGTGCCACCGCGTCACACTACCGCTGGCGAGGTCGACGAGCGCGAGCTCGCCGCTCGACAGCGACGCGGCGATCTCCTCGTGTCCCGGCCGGTGGTCGAGGCTCAGCACGAGCGTCGTGTCGTCCGCGATAACCAAGCGCTCCCCAGCCCCCAGGTCTGACGCGAGCGTGTAGCGCGTCACGCCGCCCTCCGCGTCCGCGACGGCCAGCTCGGGCCGCGACGCCGCCCACTTCGCGTCCAGGATCGCGGCGGTGTCCAGCCGCTGCACTTCTACCGGCGTTGTGCCGGCTAGCGCGTACAGCAGGAGACGGCCGACGCGGGGCGCCGGCGCGTCGCTCCCCTCCCCCGCGGAGGGCGAGGGCGCGGGCGCGCTGCCTGGCGCCGGCGCCAGCTCGCCCGTCACCGGGTCCAGAAGCTGGTACGTCCCGCAGGTGAAGTAGCGCTCGTACCCCGCCGCAGGGCAGAACTCGATCGAGTCGGCCGAGTACACCGTGTCGACTTGGGCTAGCGACGAGGCTGGGTGAGCTCGGCGGCGAGCGGGGCTCACCTTGCATGTTTTAAAGCGAGGTGGGATCAACAAAATGTCCATGTGCCTTGAAGTGGAGGTCAGTGTTGACGACATGAGATTTCGCTTCCTCGCCGACGTTTATTCCGCTGACGCGCGGCCGACCGGGAGGACATGGCTGACACGCCGATATCGAGACATAAAAATACAGCGAGCTACAGCACATCGTCGCCCACCTCGTCTGCCTCCTCCTCACCTCCTTCTGCCCCATTTTCAGCCGCAGCCACACCCCCAGCCGGCGCCATCTGCCGCCTGAACATCTCGGCGAACTCCTCGGCGCTCGTCGCGTCCTCGACGCCCTTATCCTCCCGTATCCGAATGAAGCGGGGAAAGCGGAGGCTGAGCCCGCGCTCGCCACCAATGTAGCTCGCAGCAGCAGGATACACGGGGGACAGGGTGATGTCGGCGCCGCGGATCTCCCACACCTCGCGCGGCAGGAACCAGCGTTCCGGCACGAGCCCGCCTGTCTCGACGTATCCCAGGGGCTGCGTCGAGCAGACGGTCGGATCCGAGTCGGGCGGGTAGCGCGCCAAGAGGTCCTTGTAGAACGCGTCTGTGAAGCCCGACATGCCTGGGTTAGCGGCGCCAAGCCGGCCACTCACATTTACACACGGCTTCGAGCGCGCCGCTTTCGGGGTTGCGGGCCGCGAGCAGGATCGGGCTCCACCACCCCGCTTTGCGCCCGTTTCCCCACCACGCGCCGACGGGCACCAGGTCGAGGCTGTCGCCCAGGCCCTCGAGGTAGTCCTTCTTGACTTTGAGCCAGCCCATCGAGCGCTGGTCCGGCTCATATGTGGCGGGGAGGGGTTTCTTGCGGCTCTTGCCGCCGTCGTCCTTTTCGTCGTCGTCGACGTCAACGTCGATGACCTCGGCTTCCGCTTCGACTTCGGCCTCAGCCTCAGCCTCAGCCTCGGCGGCGGCGGGCGCGCGCCCGCTTTCAAGCAACTTCACCATCAAGCCCTCGGCCTTGCGCTCGACGACCTTGTCAAAGAACGCGCGCAGGTCCGCGGGCGACTTGAGGTCGGTGGAGTCGATAGCTTCGATGTGTGTCCAGCGCGCGAGCAGTGGATCAGCCGGTGTAGGGCGGGGCGGGAGGAGCTCGCGCATGAGATGCCGCCGGAGGCTGAATGGCGAGGAGAGGAGTGGCTGCTTTCAGTACCGTTCTCTGCATGATCTTACCACATCGTTCACGAGCATGAGGTCGAACGCGTTGACCTCGACGACGACCTTGATGTCCTCGACGCGCACGTCCTTGCGGGCGCGGTTCGTTAGCTCCTGGAATGTGCGGTGGGCGCCGCTGTCTTTGTCGATAGCGACGATCTCCGCGTCGACAATGAGCGATGAGATGCTCTCCGCCTCCAGGAGGGCGGCGACTTCTACGCTTGGAGCCGAAGCCCAAGACGGAAACGGCTTGCGTTCCCCCTTCACAGAGGAGAGGAGGTCGAGGCCGCGCGCACAGATGTCGGGGTACTTGTCCGTCATGTCCTCGAGGTGCCGGCTGAAGAGGCGCACCCAAGCGCGCCCATTCTCGCCCTCGACCCACCGCCCGCCGCCGTCGTCCTCGCCCTGCGGCCCGTCTCGCCGGACGTGCATCTGCAAGCGCTGGCCGTCGAGTTTAGTCTCGGCCGTGAAGGGCAGGCTCCCGAGGCGGGCATAGACCTCGTCAATGGAGCGGGTTATGCTTCCCAGCATGGGAGAGATGGGGATGCCGACGGACAGAGGGACGCGCTCCTCCAGTCCATCCAGCCCTGCTTCAAGTCCACGCACAAGGTCCCCGTAGTTTGGATGCCGCACGTGCACGCGGCGTACTAGGCGCACTGCCGCAACACACTTCTCTTCAGCCGCCTCGCGAGCCGGGTCCATCGGCTTTTTCCCCTTTGCCGGAATGGGAAGAACGTCTAGCTCGCTGTCTGGAATCTCAAGCAGAGCCGCGGCCCGCGCAAGCGCGGTGAGGAGCGTAAGGCGCACCGCGCCGATCTGGCATCAGCGCACTCGACGCGCACCTCACCCTCAAGTTCCCAATGAGCGTGCGCACGAGGAAGCGCACCTCCTCCCCGCGCGCCTGGACCATGAGCTTGCGCACGGCGTCGCTCTTGAGCTTTCCGCTCTGCGACCCGCGGATATCCGCGAGCTTCAAAACACGCTTGTACACGTCGTGCACGACGAGCGGGACGGGCTCGACCAGCGTGCGCATCTGCACCTTTGCTTCGTACGCCACGTCGCCCGGGTCGCCGTGGACGCTCCACAGGCGCTTGAGGTCGCGCGCTTGCAACCCCGACACCTCTTTGATGACGCGGTTGATGATCATGCTCCCGATGCCGAGCTCGCAGGGGATGTAGGCGGGCCGGAGATGGTTGGAGAGGAGGTAGAGCGCGGGGGGGATGTCGAGGGGTGCGCGGGCGAGGAGGAGGTGGATGAAGCTGGTGTCAGATCAAGCGAGCGCAGGCGTACTTTGTGAGGACGCGGACTATGGCCAGGCGCGAACGTGTGCCTGCGACCTGGACGTAGACGCCCACGAGGACGGAGTAGGGCAGGCGGCCGCCTGGCCAGCGCGAGATGTCCACCGCGGCGGGGCGGAAGAGGAGCGCGTCGACGTCAAAGTCGATCGGGTCGACGGGTTGCGCGCGCGCGGCGGTGAGGGTGGGCTTGCGCTCCTCCTTGGACTTGGGCGTTGTGGTGACCGCCGAGACCGGCTTGACCTCCTGCGGCTGCGAAGGCCCAGCATCCTGCGTGCGTGCAAACATGGGATGCAGTTTCTTGGTCGGGCTCACGGGCTCGAGCTTCTTCTCGCTGCCATGTACGTCCTCGGCCTCCCATTCTGCTGCCAGGCGGTGCGCAAGCGCCTCGTCCGATTCCTTCTCCTCCGTCTCGACCTTCTCGACTGTCAGCAGGGTATCACCCGCTCCAGCTACGATCATCCCCTTGTCCACCCCATTCTCCAGCCTCGGCTTCTTCTCCACGACGACGACCTCGTCGTCCGAGTCCGACACCTCGATGACCTCTGCCGCGCGCTTCCCCGGGGAGAAGAAGGACGCGATAGTCCGCTGCTTTCCAGGCGATTTGGGGAGTTTCGGGGGCATCTTGACGTGCGTTCGCAAGACGGCAAGACCAAGTTGACAGTTGAGAGTTGTAACTCACCTCCGCTCGTTGGAGCACCTCCACTCATCCACGGTCACCTGCGTCATATCACGTGACACCCACCTCTCTTCGACGCGTCGTATCTCGCAACCGTCCATCACCCATCCCATGACAATCTACTCGCTCTACATCTTCGACCGGTGCGTGTGCCCAGGCGCCAGTGCTAGCTGATGGCAGACACTGCGACTGCGTGTATTACCAGGACTGGCAGCGGACGCGGGCGGTGCGCACGCCCGCGGACGACCGGGCGGGCGTGCACCGTCTCCCGGCGCCTGTGGCGCCTGGGGCGCGCGAAAGCATTTTCTCGGCCTCCGGCGCGGGAGGAGCAGGAGCAGGCGCGGGTGCAGGGACGGGGGTGGGGGCGGGAACGGGGGCGGCGCCGAAGCGCCAGGCGGGGTTGCCGTTTGACGAGGAGGCCAAGCTCGTATACGGCGTGGTGTTGAGTTTGCGGAATATGGTCAAGAAGCTGTCGGGGAGGTGAGTGGGGTCAAGGACCTGGGAGGGAGGGGGAGGTGTGACGGCGGAAAACGGAGGGGAAAGAGCGGAGAAGAGGCAGAGAGAAGGCCGAGGACGAAGATGGCGACGGCAACGCGCAAGAGAAGGACCTCTGACCCCAGGGACGAGCAGTTCACGTCGTTCAAGACCGCACAGTACCGGCTGCACCTGTACGAAACGCTCACGGGCTACAAGTTCGTGCTGCTGAGCGACCCGAGCGCGGACAGCCTCCGTTTCGTGCTGCGCCAGATCTACACGGGGCCCTTCATCGACTTTGTGGCGCGCAACCCGCTCGTCGAGATGGACTCGCGGACGCAGGGCATCGACAACGACCACGTGCGTCCCGTCCTCGCGCATGCTGACGCCAGTTCCGCGCCGCCGTCGACCGGCATATGCGCAGCCTGTCTATATTCAACTAGCCATTCTAGATCCATGACTATCGCTAATGCCTATGCTACAACGCTGGTTGGCCTACAACCGGCGGCTGGTTGGACAGCCCGCGCGGACGTCGTTCTCTACCCTCTCATCACTCAGTTAACGAGCGTTCGCACCCGCCTCCGCGTGCGCCGCCTGCGCAGCGCGGATCGACGCCTCAAACCACGCGCGCAGCGTCCCCGGGTCCTCCTGCCCAACGCTGATGCGCACGAGGTCGCGCTCGACGCCGAACCGCGCCGCCCACTCGAGCTCGGTGTAGTGCGCGAGGATGGCGTACGGCGACGCGAGCGTAAAGCTCGTGCCGAGGCTAGGGCCCTTGGCGCACGGCAGGGTGTCGTAGAACGCGCGGGCAGCGGCCGTGCTCACGAAAGTGAGGGAGAAGAGGCCGCCGTACCCGCCCGCGCCGTGCGGCGGCGAGCGCGCACACGCCGCGTACAGCTCCGGCGTCTCGTATCGGGGGTAGTAGATGCGCTTGACGATGCGCTCGCCCTCGTCCTCGCCCTCGCCGGCTGCGGGCGCCATGAGGCTCACGGAGTGCAGATACTCCGTAATTGCGAACGCGTTGTCGTTCACGCGCCGGATACGGCCGCGATAGTCGCGGCTGTTGCGCTCCATGTACACGGCGTCTTCGGGGTAGTAGTTGTCCTCGTAGTCGGCGGTGAGGGCGGCTTTCAGGGGCGCGTATGACGCGCCTTGCGGGTTCAAGATGAGCGAGCCGCCCATGACGTTGCTGTCGCCGCTGAAGATTTTGGTCAGCGACGACGCCGCCATGTCCGCATACGGGAGGACGTCGACGTTGAGGAAGTTGCCGATGGTCTCGTCGACGACGATGAGGAAGCCGTAGCGGTCCGCGAGGGCGCGGAGGCGCGCGAGGTCCGGCGAGCGGATGAGGGGGTTGGAGGGGAACTCGCAGAAGAGGGCAAGGATCGGCGCTTCGCCGGCCTTCTCGTTTGACTCCAACAGGTCTTGGAGCTCTTTTACGGCGTTCGTGTCGCCGTGTCCTAGGAAATGGCATCCGCGCCCCCACTTTTCCAGGATTTTGAGCGTGTCCGTGTATGGGAAGCCGAAGCATACCGACTTGCCTTCAGGCGTGCCGCTTGCCTGACGCGCAAGGCGCGCCACGCGGTGCGCGTGCCAGATGGCACTCATGCCGCCGGGATACAGGTATACGTCGTCGGGGGTGACGCCGCGCACGACTTCGGCGCCCGCCTGCCCGAACTCCTCGTCAGACGGGAGCAGCCCGCCAGCAATGCGCCGCTTGAGCGCCTGCTTCGCGAGCGGCGCGCTGAAGAGCGGGAGGTTCCGCCCGTACCGCTCTTCGAGGTACGTGCCGAGGTCGGCGACTTCGTCGTCTGGCCCCGCAACGCCGGTCGGCGCGGCGGGCGGGGTGTTGACGCCTTTCGTGACGCGCGCGTAGTGCCGGTTGCGCGAATACCCGCCGCGCACGGGCGCCGGCGCGGCCGTCGGCGTCGGGGGCGTCTGCGTGCCGGGCGCCTCGCCGAGGAAGGCGAGCGCGCGCTCCGCCATGCGCGACGAGATGCCGTCGCCTGTGTGCTGCCAGAACTGCTTGGCCGCGGGCCAGTCGCCCTTAGCGAACAGCAGGATTTGGAGCTCGAGGCAGTCGATGGCAGTCACGGACTCCTTTGCGGACGGAAGGGCGTTGGCGCCGGGACACACGACGAACTCGACGGCGCGCGAGGCGACGGGCGGGGTGCGCGAGGCGAGGAAGTCGCGCGCCTCGGCCGCGACCTTGGGCGAGGGGAAGAGCATGCAGAGCTCATCGTCGGGGTTGCCGAATTTTGCGAGGCAGAGGGCTGCAAGCTGGTGTGAGTGGTTGTGCGGGGTGAAGCAGAGAGCGCGAGGTGCAGGAGAGGGGCTGACGGCCTTGATGGCCATTACGCGCACTCGTCCCACCCCATCTCCCATCTCCATCTCCCATGGTGCATCACACCACCCACCTTTTGGATGGACCGATGAATAAAGAAGCGGGGATACCCCGTCTCCATGCGGTCCACGACGCGCTTATCGCCCTCCTCGTATCCAATGTTGTCGTCCCAGTAGGGCAGGGATACGGAGATGGCGTGCGGGGTGTGGGGCGGGACAGAGGAGCCGAGGGGGATCTGTGCGGCGCCGGGCGCGGCGGCGGCGGCGGCTGCGGCGACGGCGGCGGCGGGGGGCATGGCTGATGCAATGATGCGGAAATTGGACACGTCGAAAGATCGGAAGAGATATTTCGAGTCGATGGCATGACAGGCACGGGATTAGGTGATCGCCGGCCAATGGGGGCGGGGGGTGTGGGGTGGCAACAACATGTCGAGTACGCGACTGCGCGACTCGGTTCAGCATCCGACTGTATGAGCAAGAGCAAACATTATGGCGACCAAGCGTCTCCGCAACTATCACCAGATATTGAAAACGATCCAGTTCATTCCTACTACAAAATTCTTGATTCCCAATATACTTTTCAACATTCAAACGTCAGCCCCAACGCAAGCAGACTGAATCTCTCGCCCTCCTCCCCTTCCGCACTTGTGCCACTTTTGCCCAACACCTTGGGCTCTCGTATACGGTCTGCCGCTTTCCAGTCGTACGACGCGAAACCGCTCGCGACAGCGACCTCTGCACAGTCGAGCGTAACGAGCGGTGGGGTGCGGCACTCGTCGTCGTCCTCGTCCTCACAGTCCGCGAGGGGCGGGGGCGCGCATGTCGCGTCGCATACGAGCCCGAATCTGTCGCATTCGCACGCTGTGTCCGCGAGGCCTGCGTCGTTTTGGATGATTGGGCGATGATCGGTCGCGGGCGCGGGCGCGGCCATGGGCAGGTGCAGGGGCAGGGGCTCCACGTGCGGAAGCGGTTGCGGTTCCGGCTTCGGCATCGCGGCGGGAGGTGGGGCATGCGTGGATAGCACAGCGAGGATGGCGTCGGCCGAAATGGGCGAGGCGGGGGGCGTGAGGAGGTCGTCGTCGGACATGTCCGAGATGTTCGATGAGGAGACGACGCTGTCCCAGGCGTCCGGGGAGGTTGAGGACGAGATGTCCGAGACGTCCGAGACGTCCGAGACGTCCGAGACGTCCGAGACGTCCGAGATGTCCGATGAAGAGGTAAAGTCGACGTCGAGCGGCTCGTCCCTGACCTTGGAATTCGCGACAACCTCGAGCCCCTCGGCGAGAACCGCGAGGTCGGCGTCCTTGTGGACGGACGGGTCGAGCCAGTAGTCAACCATGTCGTCGTCCTCGTCCTCACTGTCACAAACAGCGACAACAGTGACGTCGGTGGACGAAGCACCGAGGGCGGCATTGTAAGAGATGGTGTACGACTCGGTGGCCTCAAACTCGTACTCGTCGTAAACGGGGGCGGAGACAGTGTAGTCTTCGATGAACTCTTCGTCGTCCGAGTCGTCGAGTCCGGCGAGCTGGGCCTCGAGCCAGCGCTCGTCGGCCTCGGCGTCGGTCTCGTCGTCGTCCTCCTCCTCATCCTCCTCTGTGAGCGAGTCAAGGGAGGGTGCGCGCCACGAGGTGAGTTCGTAGTGGGCGGCGGGGGTCTCGAGAGAGGCCCAAGCGGAGCGGATGGCCTGGCGGACGAGGAGGCCGCGGCGGAGGCCGTCGGTGGGGTCGCGGGCGCCGGGGGCGGCGTCGAGTGCGTAGAGCTTGGCGCGGGAGAGCGCGAGCAGACGCTGGCCGAGGGGCGTGAGCGTCGTGCGGGTGGTTGCGAACTGCATGGCGGGAGGGCCGGTGCGTCGGCTAGAGCTGCAGATAGAGCTAGAGCTAGGGTTTGTGGTGGCGGAGCTTAGTCGCCGTGGGGGTTGAGCTGGCGTCCGGGAACGTGAGCAAGCTGCTGGTGCTGGTAGCGTTGAGCTGAGAGTGATGGTACTGGTGGTGGTGGTGGTGGTGATAGATGATGATTGCGATGAGAGGTGAGTAGCATAATTGGTTGCGAGGGGGTTGGTGCCGGTGTGGGCGAAGAGAGGCAGTTTGTGTGTTGGGAGGAGTAAGAGGTATGTGCTGAGGGGGGGTGTTTGCCGGCGCGGTGCGTTGTGTGATGCCCGCTGTACTGTAGGTTTAACAACAAGAAGAGATGGGGAGAGGGGAGGAGGAGAGGAGTGGGTGGCTGTTGTTGTTGTTGTTGTGGAAGAGAAAGAGAAAGAGAGAGCGAGGAGGATGATGGTCTTTATGAGAGTAAAAAGAGTTGACGGCTTTCTTGGCACAGTCCTCACCGTGTACAGTAGCCGGAGATGAGCGCAGAGACGTCAGGGTCCAGGCAGTCGACTCAGCATGATTCAGGGATTCGTGTCCGGGTCATTCCCCGCACTTGACCGTGCACAAGCAGGGCCTTACAAAGCATGACGCCCCGTGTTGCCCCCGTGGGCCCTGACCAAACCCTGAGACAACTGCCCATGTTTCCAATCTCGCGGCATCCATCGCTTCCGCCCATCTCCGTACCTCCGTCTCCGCCGTCCTCCGCTCATCTCCCTCTCATCTTTCGTTGGACGGACCGCGTTGGATAGTTGGATAGCGTTAGATCGCGTTGGAATACTGTTGCACACTCTCGCCTCGGCTTGAGACCTCAACGACCCGCTGATCCGCTGACCCGCTGTTTTCCACCACCCCGCCGCCCGCCACTCTGCGGCGCCACAAGTCGCCATCTCTCAGTCACATGCTCCATCCCCCTCTCTTTTGCTGCATCAGCCGGCGTCATACCTGGTGTCATATTATACATCCTCCTCCTCCAAGTACAGTCAGCACGCGCCACCACTACGCTCAGCGCTCATGCTCAGTGCACCGCATGCCGCATCCACACCTTGCCACCTTGCCCGATGCGAGATCCACGGCTCCTCCTCGCATCCTGCATCTTTTTCCTGCGGCCACTCCGAAATCCCGCATGCTTGTGCCGGGTGGCCGGGTTCTTGCCATCGCAGACGACGGCCGAGAACGGATGATACACCGTTTCAGGTGGCTCGCCCGTCTATGTCCATCTCCGTCTCCATCTCCGTCTCCATCTCCGCGATATCCGCCACCCGCCATCCGCGTGCCGCGTGCCGCGTACCGCCGTACACCCAGTGGAAATGAGTTGCCAGTGGAAAATGCTCTCCGGATGCCGGAATTACAGCCGCTCACCTCATCCTCCGTCCACTCCCCTTGGCCCGGGCCCTGACTCCGCTTCCAGACTCGCAGGCACTGATCCGCGCCTGCACACAAGCCTCGGCCTGCGCCCTCGGGCCTCAGGCCTCAGGCCTCAGGCCTCGGGCCTCAGGGATTGCTCCCGCGACCCAAAACTCTGTCGTCTCTGCGACTCGAACGTCGGACCCGGGCAGGCACGAGGGAGACACGTGGCGCACGAGGTGTCTAAACTGGGCGTGTTGCGCGACGTGACTGGACTGAGCGATGCTCTCGCTCTCGCTCACGAACACAAACTCACGACCTCTCGACGACCTCACGGACTCACGAACTGATTGCAGCGGCTCACCGTATCGTCTTCGCTGCATCGCTGCTCTTGGCATCGACCCGACGTAAGCTCGGTCCTCCCGAACCCCGGCTCTTGAGCCATGCGCGGAGATACTGTCATCTCCGTCATCTCCGCATCTCCTCCAAGTTCTGGCGGATCCCGGGAAATCGGGTGATCCCGATATCCTCGCGTATCCCGATGTTTGTGGAAGCTCGGCAGCACCGACGAGAGAGTCTTGGAGAAAGGAGACAAAGACGAGCGTCAAGGGAGGATAGAGGGCAAGACCAGGGCAGAGAGGAGAGCAGCGAGGGGAGAGGGCAGCGCAGTGGAGCTCGCACGGGGCCTGGTGCGTCTCCTTGCATCGCAGCCCCTCACGCACCCACGCTTGGACGAAGTCGGAGCACTCTTGACAGATGACTTACTCCGCCGGCGCGAGATGTGCCTCCTAATTTCTCGACGGTGATGGACGAATACACGTGCTACTCGGCAAACTCTTTCTCTATCGAGCGCGTTCCCCGCTGTCGATTCGAGAGGGCAGTCCGTCACGAAAGTGGCCGCAAAGACGCGCAGTGTTGGTGCGCGACATCTTGGCTCCGCTGGTCGCCGTTGAGCCGTGAGATGAGCTCTTCTCCATGAGTCACTCTCGACAAGAGGCAGAAGGTGTGGTCACGTGACCATGACGTCGCCTGGTCCACCTCCACCTCCCACCTCCCTCACTATCATCCTCTCTCCTCTCTCTTACCCTCTCTCCCCAACACCACCATGCCCGCCGGCCCCATAGAATCCGGGTATGTAGCCCACCAGCTCCAAGCCGGCGTATACGACTCCATCCCCTCGCTGCAGCCGGGCGGCGACACAACGCCGCTGGAGGGCTGGATGTCTAGCGACGCGGGGCGGGCATGGGCGCGCGCCGCGTTGCGGCGTGGCGTCAGCCGCGCGGCGAGTGCCGGGAACGAAGGCGTGCTCGCAGGCCTCAAAAAGCACTCGTGGGAGGATGCGCATCTCGTACGTCTCTCACTCCGGGTCGGGTGGGCTGACTCACCCAGACACAACGTGCCGAGATCGGGCGCGTGCTTGCGCATCTCCCAGAACGCGCGGAGGCGCTTTTGCGGCTCCGAGAGGGGCCGTCCGAGTCTGTACTGTCCGGGCCGGATTCCGAGGTCGAGAAGGCGGGAGAGGACAAGAAGGACGAGAACGGAGACGAGGAAGACAAGGGAGAGGCGGATGACACAGAAGAACGCTTCTCCGGCCTCCCCCCCGACTTCGGGTACGATGACGCGCTCGTGCTCGCCGCCGCGCGCTGGTTCAAGCACGAGTATTTCCGCTGGGCGGATCCGATCGCGTGCGCGTGCGGCGGCGCGACGGCGTACGCGGGGCCGGGCGAGCCGTCCGCCGACGACCGGGCGGGCGGCGCGGCGCGCGTCGAGCTGCACCGCTGCGCGGCGTGTGGCGCGACCACGCGTTTCCCGCGCTACAACACGGTGCGGGCGCTGATGCGTGCGCGCGTGGGGCGGTGCGGTGAGTCGCAGCACGACGGGGCTGACGGCAGGCGAGTTCGCGCAGCTCTTCTACGTCTTTCTCCTCGCGCTCGGGCTCGAGGCCCGCTACGTCTGGAACTCGGAGGACCATATGTGGGCCGAGTATTGGAGCCCGGCGCTGCAGCATTGGGTGCATGTCGACGCGTGCGAGGCCGAGGTCAACAAGCCGCTGCTGTACGACCGGGGGTGGGGCAAGATGCAGGCGTATTGCCTCGCGTTTGGAGTCGCGGGCGCCGAAGACGTGACGCGCGCCTACGTTGACGACTGGGGGGCGTGTTTGCGCCGCCGCCAAGATAAGTGGCGGCAGGGGACGGGTTGGGGCGAGCGGCGGTTGGCGTGGGTAGGTCGGAGGACAGAGAAAGGCTAACAGCAGTTGCTGCTCACGCATACGGTGCAGTGCCGCGGGTTGTTGGAGGACGAGGAGCGGCTGCGGCTGCAGAGCATGGATGAGGCTCAGGCGCGGTGGGTTGCGGATGCGGCTGGACGGGAGCGAGAGGCGGCGGCGGGCGGACTGAAGGGGAGGGAGAGTGGAACGGAGGAGTGGAAGGAGGCGCGTGGCGAGACGGGGAAGTAGTGCATTGCCTGACATCCTGACTCTAGAAGGGAGAGTGTGCATAGAAGTCTAGATGGCAAGTGTGCGTAGAAGAAGTCTACAATCTGTCGCAGCCAAAAAAAGCTACACTGACGGGGATTCGAACCCCGGTCAAGTGCTAATCCATTGGAAGGCACTTATGCTAACCACTACACTATCAGTGTTGCCGAGGTTTTCTTCCGTAAGGTCGATATATCATGGCTGAGCTACACTGACTCTCTCACTCGGCACTCTTGCTGTTGTCACATTGCCACCTCGCCCTCGCGCACGGAAACTACATGAGAGCCATGCACCAAAGGAGGTAGGCAAGGACGACGCGTCCTCGCGATCGCGAAGCTAGTCGCCCCGATCGGACGAGACATCGCCCTCGCCGTCCTCGATGAGTGACGGCGACCCCTGTGGCCATACGGTGAATTTACACCGCAACGCGCACATCATCAATCTTCGGGCCGGTGGCTGGACACTGCCGTCCCTCATCATCGCAAAAGCTCAATCTTGGCGGCGAATCAGCGCTTCGTCGCCTCTTAACTGTTCGCGGCAGCGTCTGCTGGGTGGCCGGTATCGCGGACGATCCCATCCAGCATTCACATCAGCAACGCCGGGATCGGCCCCGGTTGCACTGACCATGGTGCCACGTCTAGCTTAGCTGCGGGCCCGTACCGCGTTGCACTCCCCGTGCCTCTGGAGGATATCTGGACACCTCCCCCACGCCACGATGGTGCGGTGGATGGAGGATGCCAACGCGGCCGCCCATGCTTTTCGCGGCGATTGAGGTACTTGCACAAGTGGCGCACGGGAGACAGATGCGCAGACCTCACGAGAAGCAGGTAGAGTTGAGAAAGGGGCGGCGTTGATGGGCTCAAAACTAGCAATTAGGTGACGAGCCGCCAGTGCGCGTTGCCATCTGTCGAGTGCCCAACCGGTATGTAAGGGGGGAACGCGGAATATCCGAGGGTCATGATTATGAAGGTTTCCTGTTCTTGTACTGCACAGGAAGCCAAGAGGTGGGCTCCAGTCTGATGGACATCAAGAGACGCAAGGTGATATGGCACCTCCAAAACTGGGCCACGTCTGGCGAGCCTGGACTTCCTGCTGGCGGTGGTAGCAAAGGACGGTCTGCAAGACCCAGCATCCAATCCGTAACATTGGAGTCCAGCGTCGAATGCCTTATTGTGGCGGCGACGAGTAAATGCAAGATGGGGAGTAGACTGGCGTCTCGATTTGTTGATACATGTCATTGGCATCACCCACACCCGAGCGGAGCCAAATGTCTCTTCTTGTGTTCTGCCGAGGATTTGCTTCCGCCACTGGGCTCTCCGAGGTGCGGATGAGATTTCGGCCTCCAATCTCGGCAAGAAGTTGCTCTTGCTCTCGACAACTCATCCCATCCCACCTCATATTCTGCCTCTCGCGTCGGCGCCGACGCCCGCCTCGACTTCCTCCGAAAAGGCTCAGCGCAGCCCTCCCCTCCCCCCCTCATGTCCGCCCTCCGCACCGCCCGCGCGATCGCGCGTGTCCACCGCCTCGCCACTCCGGCTAGGACATTTACGGCCGCGCGTGCGCTCCAGAAGCAGGCTGAGCCGGTCAACAACGAGCCCATCCCCTTCAAGGAGGCACCGCAGTTCCCGGCCCCCGTCGACCCGTTCAATCCCGGCACGGCCCAGCCAAAGCCTGCGGGCGAGTACTCGGAGACGACCAAGAACCTCGTGCGCGGCGTCGCCAAGCTGCTGGGTTACAACAGCAAGGCGTCGACGGCGATTCGCGAGACGGGACGCATGATGCGCGGCATTGTTACGGCAGTTGAGAAGGAACGGAGCTTCTGGTACGATGGTGAGTTGGCCTTGGCATAACGATGCGCAGCCGCACGTCACCGCCGGTCCCTGCTTCGGTCGCGGAAGCTCACGCCCAGAATGCCAGCTCCCAGCAACATACCAGACCTTCTTCCAGCTGCACCTCCTTTACGTGCTTGTGCTGGTGATCCGCCTGCGCGCGCTCCGCTCGTCGCGCCCCGACGCTTCTCCCATCCCCGAACCTCTTGAGCCCGGGACACCGACGCACGCCGCCTCCTCCCCCGCGGGCTTCACGCTCGGCAAGCCCGCGCACGAGGCATACCCCACCGAGTTCTTGAACCACTTTTTCGAGCTCGCCGAGAGCCAGATGCGCATCGTCCTCGGCAAGGGCGAGCGCGAGCGCGTCATCCGCAAGTACATGGACGAGATGGGCGAGCAGTGGAAGGGCGCCGGCCTCGGTCTCGACTTCATCCTCGGCTTGAGCATTAGCGAGGACCCGGCGGAGCGCGCGCTGAGCGACCCCGAGCTCGCGAGCTGGGTGTGGCGCAACCTGTTCCAGAGCAAGGGGATTACGCCGGGCGAGGGCGACGAGCTCGCGTTCGCACCCCAGCTGGAGAAGGTTGTGCTCTTTGTGCGCCGCGAGCTGGCCCGCCTCGACGCGATCAGCGACGCCGACGTGCTCGACGGCAACATTGGCGAGTGGGGGCCAGTGAACCAGGCGCCGTAGACCACGAATCACTCCATCCACCCGCCACATACGCCACTCAGACACAGCATCCGGGCGATTCTCGCCCAACGCACCTCTCCATAGACACCTGTACACCTAGAGTGCATACTTAAGCATGATTATGAGCGGCGGTGGGGCGGCGGCGGCGGCGGCGAGGGCGAGGGCGGACAACTTTGCGGTGGAGGCGTAAATTACGTAACATCAATATTCCGGCTTTTCTCCAACTGCAAGTAGGTTTCAGCTCGACAACGTCCACCCCGCCATGTCCGCCCTCGCCCTCGCCCCCGCCGCGCCATCACTGCTGGCGCGCATGTCCGCCCTCTTCCCCATTGCCCGCGCGGGCGCGCTGCCATGGCTTGCGGCGCCGCTCGGCGCGCTCGCGGGCCTCCGCTCCCTCCTGGAGCTGCTGCCGCCCATCGTCCTCGCCGTGCCGAAGAGCAAGATCTCGCACTCGCGCAAGAGCATGCGATCGGCGAACAAGGGGATCAAGCCCAAGATGAGTGAGTATGGAAAGGAGGGGCTGCCGCTTGGCTCCGGCGCGCGAGGTGGTCAGGACCGATATGGAAGGCACTGGCTGTCCTGCTCCGCGTCCGTCCGTACAGCACTCACCCCAGACTTCTCACACTGCGAGGCGTGCGGCACCGTCAAGCTCCAGCATCACATGTGCCCCAAGTGCTTCTCGGAGATCTCGCGCAAGTGGAAGGGGCAGAGCCGCGCGCCGCCGCGCGTGTGATACCGAGTTAGGTTTTGGCGCAGAGGACCCGCGCGCATGCGGGCTTGTAGAGTGATGGCATTGCATAACGTCTCGAATGAGATCGGTGGTATGTGGCTAATCTAATAACACCGGGCTGGGTGCTCCGCCCCCCGCCCGCCTACTTGCGGAAGTAGACGCCCTCGGCGCGGCTCTTGGAGTCGCGCACGACGGGGATGGGCACCGAGTGGAAGCGCTCCACCACCGCCTGCTCCCACTCGGCGAGCTCGCCGTATTCGCGCATCTCCTTCTGCTCCCGCAGCTTGTTTCTGATCTCGCTGAACGGCACCTCGCACGCCTTGAGCTCGTCGATCTCGTTCTGTTCCGCCGTTCGCCTCGCTTCGCGCTCCGCAATCGCCCGCTCGAACACCGCCCAGGGGATGCACGCCGTCGTTGGCCCGGGCTTGTGCGTCATCTTCTCCGCGGCCGCATACGATGGCGCAGACGCCGCGGCTGCGTTGAGCGCGTTCATCTCCTCCTCCTCGGCGTTCATCGCGGCCTCCTCGGGATCGATCTCCTCTTCCTTGATCTCTTCCTTGACCTCCACCGGCGCCTCCTGCTCGTCGACGCGCTTGACGTCGTCCTCGCTCAGCACAAACTCGCCCTGCCTCGTGCGAGTGAGCTTCACGACATGCGCACCACAACCAAGCGCCAGCCCGATGTCGTGGACGATACTACGCACGTACGTGCCCGAGCTGACGGTCATGCGGACGGTGAACGTGGCGGGGCGGAGGCCCGTCTGTGCGGACACTTCCGGGAAGTCGGGCGCGTTGAGGTCAATCTCAGGCTCGACGGCCTTCTCCTGAGCCGCCTCGTTGGCATCATGCACCATCTTCGTGAGACGGCGGAACGTCTCCTTCTGTGCGTCGTCCAGCCGCGCCTCAGGCCAGCGGTACGTGTGGCCGCCATCACCCTCAGTCACCTGCGCAGGCGTGAAATCGATCAGGTCGATCTCAACCTGACACTCGCGCACAGGAATGGGGCGAGGAAGTGGCTTGTTCTCGCGCGCATACTCATGCAACGGCTTGCCGTCCATCTTGAGCGCGGAAAAGCTATCATCAGCCGCAATGTTGCTGTAAGCTCACATAGGGGGCGTCTGCTTGATCTTGCCACGGAACTGCTCGAGCACCTTCTCAACGTCCTCACGGGTGATGTTGTCAAAGTTGCCGGTCGAGATGACCGGGTCTTGCGAGTCATATGACGTGGTTGCGGCGCCGAGGAGACCAATCGAGACGTATTCCTGCATGTTAGTGGGTTGTGACAGAAGAACTACTAGTCACACGCTAACGACTCACCTTTGAGCACTCGAGGAATCGGTTGAGGTGCTTGGTGCCCCGCCCCACGCCGATGACTTGCATCAGCCCCGCAGATCAGCATCAACTCACCAAGTACGCCATCTGCCAGCGGGTCCAGAGTACCACCCTGTCCAATCTTGAGCCCCATGTGCGTCTTGTTGCGCTTGCGCTTGTTACGCTCCTTCTCGCGCCCACCAGGCGGCAAGTTGGGGTCAGTGAACAAGCGGGACTCGAGGAGGAGCGGCGTCATGGCCTCGATGACGCGCATCCTGCTGTCAGTGCTGCCGGACCATCAGAGGAGCACTTACGAGCCGGGGCCCGAAGGCTTGGCGATGGGAAAGAGACCGTTGAGGGGGAGCGTCGGCGTCGGAGTCATCTGCTGTGAGGGGGATGGGTGAAGTCAAGTTTGTGGACCTCCACCTCCACCAGACATCTTGGGCGGAGGCAATCTCGCCAGGCACCTCAGACGCGTCTCGCACTCGTGATGCTCATCATCGACATTGTTTACAAGCACTCGCATTCTCTGTTTTGCTCGACATGGACGAGCTCGCCGACGTCAAGGCAAAGGTCAAGACGTGGGAGCGCGCATTTCGGCGCGACAAGGGACGGGCGCCGACCAAAGAGGACATCCGCCTGGGCGGGGAAATTGGTGAGCCGCGGTCGGTGAGACGCGCGGAGCTGATGACAGCGGAACAGTACGCGCTATGGCGCAAGTTGAGCAAGGAGGCGGAGAAGCTGAAGGCCAAGGGCAAGGAGAACGGCAAACGCAAGGCCGAGGAGAAAGAGCCCCGGCGCCGTGACGAGCTCACTACACCACCGCCGCGGCGACGCGCCGCTCGCCTTCCAACCCCACCCCCGCCTCTGCGCTTTTCTGAAGCAGGACCCAGCTCTCGTCCAGCAGTCACGCCTTCTATGTCGACGCCCAAACGGCGCAGGCTCGACGACAACCCTTTCAGTGTGCCCCGCGCGCCACGCGAGCCCGAGGAGCCGTCACCCTCCGTCCTCGGTGTGCATGGGACGCCGAAGCGCGAGCGCTTCGACTACGTGCACGCCAGCACGCCGAAGCAGCTCAAAGCGCTGTTGGAGAGCGCACGCAAAAGCGTCAAGAAGGACACGCCGCGGACGCACGCGCGCCGCTGGCTCGCCGGCGAAGTCGATTCGCCAGTGCACCGCAAGCGTGAGTTCCGCGGGAGAGCACAGGAGGAGGACGAGGAGGAGCTGGGCGAGACGCCGGTGAAGGGCGAGGCGTTCGCCATCCTCGACGACGAGCCGAAGGGGCGCGACCTGTTCCCTATTTTCCGGCGGGCCGCGAGCGAGGCAAGTCATGGCGCCGACAAGGAGAGGGGCGGGAAGCGTAAAGGCAGGGAGACGGAGGATGCGAATGTGCCGAGGGGCAAGGACAGGGCCACACCGACGAACGGCAAGCGCCGGATGGTCGAAGCAGACGCGCCGAGCAAGAAGCCACGGCCATCACTGGACGAGGCGTTGCGAAACCCCGAGGCAATGAGCGTGGAAGAGGATGTGGGCGGCGAAGCGGTTGCCGCCCCACCACCAACAACACCACCTCGACCAGCACGGGCACGCGCCACGAGCGAGCGCGTGCTGGAGCTCACGGACGACGAGTTGGATCCCGAGGCGAGCCCTGTGGTCCTGACCATCACGGGCACACGGCGGACGTTCGACCCGGTGGACGACGACGACATCTTTGACATGCCGGACGCCGCCGTGGACGAGGACGGGGATGAGGAGGAAGCGGAGGAGGTGGAGGTGCAGGGAGCGGAGGGGGAAGACCCCCGCGCCATGCTCTCGCTCCTGAGCCTGCGCTCGCCAATTGCGCGCGCGGGGGAGCGCATGGCGGATCTGCGGGTACGCGCGCTCCTGGATCCGACGTCGGCGGCGGCTGTCGCGCTCCGCGCCAAGCGGCGGGGACAAGATGTGTTTGCGTGTGGCGAGACGGGCTTCGAGGAGGAATACCTCGAGATCGGGGAGGAGGTCGAGATCGAGGGCGACGACGACTGGGAGAGCGATCCCGAAGGGTGGAAGGGGGAGGTGGACGACGAGGAGTGGTGATGCAGAATGCATGGGATGTCAGTGATGCACGACGCAGACAGAAGCCTCGCCCTCCCCCAGCCTTCCCAAGCCCAGCAATATAGTGATCCATGCAGTCTACGCCTACGCTACCCCGCAATGAGCCTGTCCACAATACCCACGTCCACTTCGATGCCATGCTTGGTGAGATACTCGTCGCTCCAGAACTTGGACTGGTGCCGGGCGCCCGAGTCGCACAGGATCGTGACGATGCGCGAGCCCTTCGGCAGGCGCTTAGCGAGGCGCACGCACGCGACGAGGTTGCACGCAGACGATGATCCGAGGAATAGCCCGTCGTGCTGCACGAGGTAGCGCGACATGGCGACGGCCTCGGCGTCAGATATCCTGGGGTGAGCGCTCTCCTCCTGTCCTCCGCCCCGTCCAGTTCATCCTTCGCTGCAAGCTTCTGCGCAGCACGCTCGCCCGACTCACCTATACGCGTCGTCGATGATCCGCTCGCCCGCCTCAAAATTCCTCGTTACGCGATTGATCCCGATGCCCTCCACGATGGTGTCGACCTGGTGGCGGCGCTTGGTGCCCTCGCTCTCCTGCGGCGCAAACATGACGCCGTACTTGACGCGGTTGAACAGCCCGCTCCCTTCCGGATCGGCGAGGACGACGCGACACTCGGGATTCGCCTCCTTGAGCGCGCGGCCCGTGCCCGAGATCGTGCCACCGGTGCCGGCGCCCGACACGAACGCGTCGTAATGTCCGCCGGTCTGGCGCACGATTTCGGGCCCCGTGCCCTCGTAGTGCGCGAGGAAATTCGACTCGTTCTCGAACTGGTCGGCGAAGAAGCCGCGGGGCTTGGCGTCGAGGCTCGCGCGCGCGGCGCTCGCGTTCCCGTGCGCCTCGGATTCCGTCGCTTGTGTCGAGACGAGCTCGGCGCGGTCGGAGAGGAGGTCGACGTTGCCGAACTCGTGTGCGCGCCGGCGCGCGGCGTTCACGAACTGGTTTTCGTCAATGATGCTTGCGGGGCGCACGCGCTCGACCGTCGCCCCGAGGCGCTCGAGCACGAGCACCTTGTCCACCGCCACGTCGTCCGGCATGATGATGTGTGCCTCGTATCCCCTGGTGTCAGCGCTCCGCGCCTCGAGCTCGGGGTACGCACTTGGCCTTGCCGACCGTCGCGAGGCTAATTCCCGTGCTCCCAACCGTACCCTCGAACAACACGCTGCCCGTATGTGGGCGGAGATATCCGTGCGCTTCGGCGTCTTCGATGACGCGCAGCGCCACGCGGTCCTTCACGCTGCCGCCCGGATTGAGGAACTCGCATTTGCCCAACACGTCGACGCCGAGCGCGTCGCTCAGGCTCGCGATGCGCAGCAGCGGCGTGTTCCCGATCAAGCCGACGGTGCTGGGCACGATCTCGTCGCTGCGCACTTCGATCGGCCGCTTGGGGAGCGTCACGAGCGCGCGGCGCCGCCGGTACGCTTGCCAGAAGGAGGCGAGGCGCGTCGAAGACAGCGAGAGGGTGATGCCGAGCGCGAGGCCGAGGAGGAGGCCGCGCGTGCGCTGCGTAAGGCGCAGGCGGTCAAAGGCCGCCAGCGCCGCGGCGGGGCTGGGCAGGCTGGACAGGCTCGGGAGCCACATGGTGGCGATGGGTATATGAGCAGTACGCGGTGCGGAGTGGAGGAACGCAAAACAGAACGGAGCGGAGAGCGGAGATGGCAATGTGCTGACGTAAAAGCACGTTGATGACGTCATCATCGTATCGGCGCCGAGCTTGACGAGCATCCAAGGTCATCTGCAGCTGCTCCTTCGCTTGTGCCATCGCCGTCTTCGCCCTCGCTTGCGATCCGCCGGAGATGGATATGGGCTCGCTTCCGGCCTGCACACTCGGCTTGATCTCGGCACAGCCAGATCTGTTCGGAACCATCATCGGGGAACCCGGCCAATCCACCGCCTCCATATCATCCCTTCGTGACGATTGTAGAGGAGGGAGAAGGAGGTAGAGCGGTCACTGGACGCCGCTGCCGCCGGGAGTGGGGAGGAATGCGATGCGCGGGCCGCACGGCACAAGGTACAGCGGCGGCGAGGCTCCACCGCCAAGAGATCTCGAGTCTGATCGAGCTGCGGGTGATAAGTGCGGGAGATGCCAGCTTGGAGCAGCCAGCAGGCTCATCTCCGCCGAGTATCCGGGATATGGGATCCAGTTGACGGCAACGTACGCACGCCATTGCAGCCCAGTGTCACGTACAGAGGAAAGACACAAATACACAAAACACCAAGACACATGCATAGGGCATTGCTTTACTTTACAACATGCTGCACTCCCCTCTCGCTTGCCACTACGTACTCGCTTCAACCGGCGTGGAGCGACCAGCGTGGAGCCTCTGATGAATTGCACTAGCTCGGTCGTTGCTGCATCGCCGACGTGAGTCGCGATCCTGCAACCGCCCAGCCCAGGCGAGACTAAGACGACGCCTCGTCCGTGAACCGTCGTTTCCGGCCGTCCATTATTTCATCAGAGCTCTCGCGTGAGCCGCTCGAGGCCGAACCACGAGACTCCGGGCTCTTGGGCAGGTTGCCGTGGAATGGGTTCATGCGCCCCGGTCCTGGGCCTGGCGCAACGCCGTCTGGCCCAAAGTCGAGCTTGGTGGTGCCGGTCGACGTCGCGAGCGACTTGGGAAAGTGGCTCGGATAGTACATGTCGCCTGACCGCACAAGACCCAAAGGGCCCTCATAGCCGGACTTTGACTCGGGCGTGTATGTGTCGCGCCATCGCCCGATGAGGTACCCTCCGGTGTGGATGTAGCCGCGCCAGATCCACTGGCCGAGTGGGTGAGGGGTCTGAAACTGTCAGCATTCCTCCTTTGTGACCAAGCGACAACGAGATACGTACAGACTTGCCGATTGAGATCTGCACCAACCCGTCCCATGAGCGTACACGTCCTCGAACGCGCGACCAACCCCAACTGCTACGCGCCTGACGTCAATACGCTGCCTCGTCACATTTACCTGGCCACTCACCCCTCCTGACAGGAGAATCTCCTTCGTGTATCCGGGAGGGTCAGGCTTCCTGAGCTCATCTCCTGTGAGGACCTTGTTGCCATAGCCACTGCGAATGCGTTCCTGCTCCTCTTCGGTCTCCTCGTCGTCAAACCCGGCGTTCATCAGTGACCCGGTCCCGCCGACATCGTCTTCCAAGACCTGGATGACTGTCTCGCGAATCTCGAGCTCGACTGCATGCGTTGCAAAGGTGCCTGTGTACACCGCCGGCTTGTTGCCTGCCAGCATTTGACGATACGCGTCAAAGTCGAAGAAGAGCAGACGTCCGCGCCAAAAGCCTTCCAGGCGCCCGTGGAAGGTCAGAGGAGGCAGGCCTGGGGAAGAATGGGGGTCCTGGCAGACCGTGTTGCGCTGCCACTCGTGGTCGTGGTAGATCGAGGGCATCAACTGGTTCACCGAAAAGAGACCAGTACCGGCCTCATCGAGGAAGCTCGTGCTACTGGTGGCCTTGATACCAATACGCCCGGGCTGCCGCTCCAATAACCGCATGTAGCACAAGTACGCGCCGAGGACAAAGTGAGGTGGAGCCCGGCGGTGGGAGTGGCCGAACCGGTTGTACTGGGCGGTGTACGACGAGACAGGTGGGTGGGCCGTGCAACCGGGTTTGCAGAGAGGCAGCTTGCGGTGATGCCAGTCTGCATATGTCATCTCATACCTGAAGCATGCGAAGACGTAGGGCCGCAAGAGGAAGATCTTCTCGTCGACCTCGGCCGGAGTACGCTCGGCGTATAGATCAGAACCCGAGATCATGGCCAGCCAGATCCCAAGCGCCTTGACAGGTGTGTCACGCGGGTAGCCGCTCTTGAGCGAGTCGGACAGCATGTCATCCTTGTAATTGACGAGAATCCATCGGTAGAACAAGCATTCTTCGCGCAGGAACTCAATGTTCTTCCTATCTGGAAAAGTGTCAGTCAGGCATCTTTTGAATGTGTGTCTGGTAGATCTCTAGATCCCATGTGAAAACAGATCTCAAGCCAGAGGGCGCTGCGCCAACGCAGCGGCGTCCGGATCGCGGTACTCACCATTCTCAGTCCACAGGAACCACAACGCCCACAAGTCAGTGTCAATATGTTCGAGGTTGAGCTTGTCGCGGCGCACGCAGTCACGCATGCGGTTGCGCAACCGCCATCGGTCCCTGTACTCGATGGCCCACGAGCGGGGATTGGCGAAGAGCTCGGTCTTCTTGCTTGTGCCCGGGACGTCGGTGTTGACGTCAAACATCCACTGTGTGCGGCGTATCAAGGCGCCTAGGTCGAATGTTGCCCGGAAGAGCCTGTTGTAGAGCACGGGGTTGTTGTCAAACTGGAGTTTGTTGTAGATGCTCTTGCAAGAGTACAGCAGGGGGGTCATTCGAGACGGGTGCCGGCCGTCGCCATGCTCGTCGACGACGAGGTAGACAGCAATTGCCGCCAGGATTTCTTTGGGGAGCCCGTCGAGAGTTGGCCTTGGCGTGCACTTGAACTTGACGGTACCATTGGTTGTTGTGGCCTTGCCCTTATCCTTTAAAGTTGTGGCGGTGCCGTTGGCATGTGTGGTGTGAGAGTTGTTGTGGGTGGTGGGGGCAGAGAGGGGGCGATGAGATGACGTGGGTGAGGAGACGTTTGGGACGTCTGGAGCGTCTCGTGCGAGTTCTGTTGGGGAGAGGATGTAGTGGAGAGAGTGTTTGCGTGTTGGAGGGTTTGAGGGAGGTGGAGTGAATGTTGACATGGTGGGGTGGGTGTGTACGGGGAAAGGTGATGATGATGCGTTGGAGATGGACGAGGTAGACGGGAGTTGCGAGATGGGAGAGTGAGTTGTGGGATGTGGTGTCAACGACAGAGTCGATGCGACGAGTTGATGATGATTGATGGTTGATGGCTGATGCAAGGTCGTGACAGAGGAAAGATTGGGTGGAATGGAACAAGTAGTGTCGGGGGGGGTTGAGATGACCGGGGGGGGGGGGGAGTCTGGTCCGTGAGCAGTGGGAGGGAGTCAGAGTGCTCGGACGGGTGGGGGTTGCTGGGCGGCGCGTGATTAGTGAGCGTGGACGTTGGACGTTGATCAACAAGAGGAGGAGATGAGGAGGGTGGTATTGACGATGGCGACGGCGACGGCGATGTCGAGTGAGGAAGTGGGGATCCAAGAAGAAAGTGGGGATTGGGAGGAGGGTGATGATGAGATGATGTGATGTTGCTCGACGTCGAGATGTAAATGGAGCAGGCGGCCAGGCGGAGAGAGATGAGAGAGATGAAAGAGATGAAAGAGATGAAAGAGATCTGGGAGATGGAGAGAGATGAGGCCGCGAGTTGGCAGACGCCGATCACCTCGGCTTCCCTTGTCTCATCCCTCTCCCACACCGCCACTCTCTCATCCTCTCTCTCATCTCATCTCATCTCTTTCCCATCTCCCTCTCCCCCACCTTGAACATCCTCGACATCGCCCCGTCCACAACAAGAACTCGTCGAGATGCATGCCTCCCCCATCCCCGCGTCCCCGGGTGGCAGAGATTACTCGGTGTGATCACTGATTTACGCACGCCTCCTCGCTCTCCGTTGTTGGCGCTGTTCGGCCTTGGGCATAATGCATGCCATCCAAGCTATGCCTATGCAGGGGATGAGGGCGGCGGGCGGCGGGCGGAGGGCGGCGGGCGGCGGGCGGCAGTGGGCGGCGGGGCCGAGAGTGCAGGTGGACAAGCCCTAGATCTCGTGCAAGATCTGGCTGGCCCATGGCGGGTCTACCGCCTCTGCTTCAAATGCCTGCGCGCTCAACTCTCTTGCTCTCACATCGTGTCTTGCCCGCCGTCGACCGTCGAGCAGATCTCGTACGTCCCTGGCCACAAACTCACCACGCACAGTGCCGCTTATTCGACTCCCGCGACTTCATCTCGCCGTAACTCTCACGGCCATAGCGGCGGACATGGTCTATCCTCGGCATCGCCCACACTCACCACGACGCACCACGCACCACGCACCACGCACCACGCACCACGCACGGCGCACGCAGCGTGCTCACACACACGCATGCACCACATCTATTTACATGCGCATGGTAATACCTGCACACGTAATACCCCTGTACCCATCAGCGCTAGATCTAGGCACTCAGCATTCGGTTTCAGACCCTCGCCGCCGCAGCCAGATCTGCGTATAATTACATGCAAACCCCGCGCCACAAACGCGCATGCATGCTGCCGGTCGAGCCGGCCCTGGCGCTGGCGCAGGTCGGTGGTGGCGGCGAGCGATGATGTGTGGCGGCAAGCAGTGGCGCTGCCCGAACAGGCGACAGAGCAAAGACCTTCGGATATTTCTCGGCGCCAGATCTCGGGCGCCGGGAGCTCGGGCCGGCGGGCCGCGTGGGATAGCGACTGCCGCGGAGGATGTCGGTGGGCACGGCGTACGGCGTAGCGCGAGCGTGAGCGCTGTGTTGAGAGGTTGGCTTGACGTAAAGTCTGCTTCGGCGGAGTCTATACGACGATCCGACGCAGGCTGATGTCACGCATCTGCTTGCGCGAGCGCGACGTGCGACGTGCGAGCCGGCGACCTGCGACCTGCGACCTGCGCCTGCGACCTGCGCCTGCGACTGACGCGAGTGGCTGACGCGGTGCCAAGCAAGCAAAGTCCAGACTCCGACAGCCAGACCGCCAGACCGCCAGACCGCCAGACCACCAGACCGTCAGGCATACATGGCATACCAGCCTGCCAGCCAGCCATGGCGTCCCGACATTCCTCCGACCGGCCAGATCTTGGCGCTGCTACTCCAGAGCGAGCCAGAGCCAGAGCGAGCCAGACGGAGCCGTGAGCCAGAGCCGTGAGCCAGAGCCGTGAGCCAGAGCCACAACCAGAGCCAGAGCCACAGCTACAGCCACAGCCAGCCGACCGGGCATGGCTGGCCCAGTCCCGACCATGGGATCCGACCATGGGATCCGCGGATCCTGCAATCGCAATCCTGCATTCCTGCATTCCTGCAATCCTGCAATCCTGCATGTCCGAGATCTCTTCGCCACGATAATCCGAAACATCGCCGAGCGGCGCGCGCCGCTGAGTGGGGTGGTGGCGGTACCGGACTGCCCGCTGGGTGTCGAACTACTGTCGTCGCAGATTATTCGGGCCACCTGTCACGCTGTCACAGAGGGGGTGGCCCCGCCTGCCACGCCCTTTCAGCAGTTCGCCATGTGCATGGTCACAGAACTTCGGTCACAACCCAGTCATGCGGTGACGGGGACTTGCCGGTTATCTGGACAAGGTGGCGATGAAACGCCCATGAAGAGCATGAGTCGCGAGGCGCGCGGACGTCGAGCCTAGTATAATGCGGTGGTAGACTGCGCCTCGTTTGGCCCGACGGCGAGGGGTAGACGCGTGGTTGACGCGCGGTGTCAGGCCGCGTTGTGAGGGCGGTAGACTAGGCATCCTGTATGAGGCGCGGTGAGTGGCCTGACTGCCCCACCGCTCAGATTCGTATCGGCTGAAGCTATGGGTGAGGAGGGGCGTACTTGGCGGATGGGCGGAGTGCTCTATTCCAGCGACTGGAGCCGCGTGCTTTGACTTGGAATCGCGAGGACCAGGCGCAGCCACAAGCAGCCGAATGCACGTCGACCCCTGGGTCATCAGGCCGCTATGCTTGTCATGACTGTGCTCGTCCGTGGAGAATCGACGATCATGGTTCTTCACGATCTGCAGATCCGCAGTATCATTCGATCATTCGCCTGCCATGGCCGTGCGCCAAGGCTCAAGATCCCATACGCCGATCACGAAGCCCACGACGATCAGTTGGAGAATACAGTTTGTGGCGATCACCTCAGCGTCCGTCGGTGGCAGCCAGGAAGCGGGACAGCAATCAGAAGCGACTGAAGCAGCACGATGTAGCGCCGCGTGATGGACGTGTCTGGCGCACCCCAGAGCTGACTGGTGCGCGCTGTCTGCCGCAGGAGCTGCAGGAGCATGATAAACTTGGAAATTGCACGCGAGGGCAGGCTATCAGCTCGATCAGCTCCAAACTCGCTGTCTTATCATCAAGACTTGCCACGATATATACGGTATGCATTTGATTCCGCACCATGTTCAGCAGGATTCTTCCGCTCCACGCCCCCCCCCCATCAGTCCCGGGTGGCTCCGCGTCGTTGGCGTCTTGGCCGCTACTACGAATCAACAGCCAAGCACAGGGAGGATGTGGGGAGATCAATCGAGCTACGAGCTACTACAGATCCTCCAGATCCTTCAGATCCTTCAGATCCTCAAGACGCGTCGCCGCACGCCGCACAGACCAACCGAGCCGTATCTCCCAGGCACAGATAACTCTTTATATGTATGCCAGGCCGTGGACGCATAGACAGCTACAGCCGACAAAGTGGGCAGCGGCGTGCGGAGTGGGGAGTTGGCTGGTGCAGCAGCGGATGTTGGACACGGCGTGATAACAAGTATTGGAACGCGCGCGGTCAACTGGCCCCATCTTTGGCCTTTGGCGGCCTGGCGGGCATGGCGGGCGTGGCGCATGTGCATGTCGTGCTGGTTAAATTCCAAGAATGCTCGAGTGGGCTGCACCAAGTATCCAATGGCGGGCTAGTCCGAGGCGAGCCGAGGCTTGTTGTTGGAAACGGTGGGCAGACAGGTATAGCAATCCTTGGAAAACAGGCTCGTGTAATTTCCAAGAAACCCCTCGGCGTCACCGTCCATGACCTCTGCAGCCTCTGCCGCACTCGAGATGGCCTCCACTTGGCCCTCGACTTGTTGGAAACTATCCACGGTAGCCACAGCGCCGCCGTCCATGTCCCGTGCGCCTCTTAAGACAATCCCCCCACCCTCAGCACACTCTCTCTCTCCCCTTTCTCATCACTACTCATACTCGTCTCGTCGTCGTCGCTCACTCACCTCTCCTCCATTGTATCTGAGAGAGTAGCGCTACCCCGCTTTCCTCGGCCTCTCCATCGCCGTACATCCGAAAGAGGCACCAAGTGAGCCCAGCTCCCACACTACTACTCGTGCCCTCCTCCGTTCTCCGCATCCCCCCCCCCCGCGCACCGCGCATGTACGCGCCTCTGCGCGCTCGTGCCCTCGCCACTTCCGCTCCCCGCTTCAACCCCCGTGCCACCGAGCCCGCACGCTCCACCACGGCCACCCAGCCCCACCCCCTGCCCCCTTCCAAGTCGTTCCGCGCCGCCTCGACCTCGGTCTTCACGCCTCTCGACACTTTCCTCCCCCGCCACGTCGGCCCCACCGAGAACGACACCCAGGAGATGCTCAAGACGCTCGGGTACAAGACAATGGACGAGTTTATCAAGGCCACCGTCCCCGATGACGTCCGTATCAACGAGTTCAACAGCCAGGACATTGCCCCCTACTCGGAGCTCGAGCTCCTTCGCCGCGTCGAGGAGATTGGCGCCATGAACAAGAGCATGAAGTCGTACATCGGCATGGGCTACCACAACGCCGTCGTGCCCCCCGTCATTCAGCGCAACGTGTTCGAGAACCCCGGCTGGTACACTGCCTACACCCCGTACTCGCCTGAGCAATCGCAGGGCCGTCTCGAGTCGCTTATCAACTACCAGACCGTCACTATCCAGCTCACTGGTCTCCCCATTGCCAACGCCTCGCTCCTCGACGAGGCCACCGCCGCCGCCGAGGCCATGGCCATGTGCGCCGCCGCCATCCCCAAGAACAAGTTCTCCAAGGGCAAGAACGTGTTCCTTGTCTCCCCCACCATTGCTCCCCAGACCGTCGACGTCCTCCGCACCCGCTGCACCGGCTTTGGCATCGACCTCCAGATCGCCGAGTCCAACGAGGGCCTCAAGGCCGAGGTCGACAAGCTTGGCGACAAGCTGATCGGCGCTCTCCTCCCTTACCCCGACGTCAACGGTGAGGTTTACGACTGGACCTCGGTCGCCTCGGACATCAAGGGCCACGGCGCCAAGGTTGTCGTCGCCTCCGACCTCCTCGCCCTCACCATGCTCAAGCCCCCCGGAGAGTGGGGTGCTGACATTGTCCTCGGCAACTCGCAGCGCTTCGGTGTCCCCGTCGGCTACGGTGGCCCCCACGCCGCCTTCTTCGCCGTCACCGACGACCTGAAGCGCAAGATCCCCGGCCGTATCGTCGGTCTTTCGCACGACGCCTCGGGCGCCCCCGCCTACCGCCTCGCGCTCCAGACCCGTGAGCAGCACATTCGCCGTGAGAAGGCCACCTCGAACGTGTGCACTGCTCAGGCCCTCCTCGCCAACATGGCCGCCATGTACGCCGTCTACCACGGCCCCGAGGGGCTGCGCAAGATTGCTGGCAAGACCCACCAGCTTACCAAGGTCCTTGCTGAGGCCCTCACCGGCCTCGAGTTCAAGGTCACCAACAAGCAGTTCTTCGACACCCTCACCATCGACGTGTCGGCTGCTGGTGTCACTGCAGAGCAGGTCCACAAGACCTCGGTCGCCGCTGGCATCAACTTCCGCCGCATCGACGACAAGCACGTCGGTATCACCCTCGACGAGTCGGTCGGCCCTCTCGACCTCACCGACATCACCAACGTCTTCTACCGCGTCAAGGGCCTCAAGGAGATTCAGCCCAACACTCTCGACGACATCTCCAAGAAGCTCAACTTCTCCGCAGAGTCGGCCCTCACCAAGGGCATCGACGGCCCCATGGCCCGCACCACCCCCTTCCTCGTCCAGCAGGTCTTCAACCGCCACCACTCCGAGACCGACATGCTCCGCTACATGATGCACCTCCAGCAGAAGGACTACTCGCTCGTCCACGGCATGATCCCCCTCGGCTCGTGCACCATGAAGCTCAACTCGACCTCGTCGATGCAGCCTCTGTCCTGGAAAGAGTTTGGCGGTGTCCACCCCTTCGCGCCCGTCGACCAGGCCGAAGGCTACAAGACCATGCTCAACGAGCTCGAGCGTGACCTCTCGCTTGTCACCGGCTACGACGCGACCTCGGTCCAGCCCAACTCGGGTGCCTCGGGCGAGTTCGCCGGTCTCAAGGTCATCGACGCCTACCACAAGTCGCGCGGCGAGGGCCACCGTGACGTGTGCCTCATCCCCCTCTCGGCTCACGGCACCAACCCCGCCTCGGCTGCCATGATGGGCTGGAAGGTCGTCCCCATCAAGGCCCTCGCCGACGGCTCGCTCGACCTCAAGGACCTCGAGGACAAGGCTACCAAGCACAAGGACAATCTCGCCGCGTTCATGGTCACCTACCCCTCGACCTTCGGCACCTTCGACGAGGGTATCGAGAAGGCGTGCCAGCTTGTGCACGACAACGGCGGCCAAGTCTACGTTGACGGCGCCAACGCCAACGCGCTCGTCGGCCTCACCTCGCTCGGCCGTGTCGGCGGCGACGTCTCGCACACCAACCTCCACAAGACCTTCTCGATCCCCCACGGCGGTGGCGGCCCCGGTGTCGGCCCCATCTCGGTCAAGAAGCACCTCGCGCCCTTCCTCCCCGGCCACTCGCTCGTCAAGACCGGCGGCGAGCATGCCATCACCGCCGTCTCGGCGGCGCCCTACGGCTCGGCCTCGATCAACCTCATCTCGTGGGCCTACATCAAGATGCTGGGCGGCAAGGGCTTGACCGAGTCGTCCAAGATGGCGCTCCTCAACGCCAACTACATCGCCGAGCGCCTGCGCCCGTACTACAACATCCGCTTCACGAACAAGAACGGGCACTGCGCGCACGAGTGCCTGATCGATCTCGCCGAGTTCGAGGACAAGGCGGGTCTGCGCGTCCCCGACTTCTCGAAGCGTCTGCAGGATTACTCGTTCCACCCGCCCACGGCCCAGTGGCCCATCGGCACGTGCTGGCTCATCGAGCCCACCGAGTCCGAGCCCAAGCACGAGCTCGACCGCCTCGTCGACGCGCTCATCAGCATCCGCAAGGAGGTCGACGAGGTCCTCGAGGGCAAGCAGGACAAGGACAACAACGTGTTCAAGAACGCGCCCCACCCGCTCTCTGCCATCACCGCCGACGGCTGGGACCGCCCCTACTCGCGCGAGAAGGCTGCGTACCCCGTCCCAGGGCTCAAGAAGTCCAAGTTCTGGCCCACTGTCGGCCGTCTCGACGACGCCGCGGGCGACCTCAACCTCATTTGCGAGGTAAGTTTCTTAGTGGCCGCAAGAGCATCGCTGACCTTAGTGTGGCTCCGTGGAAGACTTTGCGTAGACGAATCGAGTGTTATATTGCATGCGTGTGTAGTTCCGGGATCAATGTACAGATATGGCATCGTGAAGTTGCAGGTCAGTGCCACGACGAGCTACGGGGGTTAGCAAAGAGCTTAGCTGGCGCAGCAACAAGCTGCAAGCGCGACGAGCAGCGAGCAAATGAGGCGCAGTGGAAGCCAAGTTGTGCACGCGGCAAATTCAGCAGTGAGGTCGCACTTCTAACGTTCTCTGTTTCGCCGTCTGGGTCGGGTTGCCGCCAAAGACGCACCCTCCCCAAGTGCTCCTTGGCGGAATTTGAGCGCATCACGGAGCTCCGTCGGCGCAGTCACGATCGCCCGACTTCTCGCCAGAGAGCCCCCTCCTAAGCCAGACTGGGCAGTCCTCCTGCAGCGCCCTAAGGCATGAAAGAGACCCACGAAGCCGCGTGCCGTCCACGATCCAAATCGCGCGACGGATAGTGACCGACGGTGACCAACGTTTCTGAGGGAGTGTAGCCATCAGAGCGGCATCACCACTCGATGCCAGTCGGCGGACTGTGTGTCTAACAGATCTCTGACCAGTGACCAGCCCTGCGAACTCTATGATGCATCGACTAGAGCATGGTGAGGAACTTCTTGACGTCCGCCTCGCTCCGGAACCCGACTGTTGTCAGCCTGCTGCGCGGTCGACTTACGGAACTTGTTCTTGACTTTACCGTCCTTGAACGCGACGACGGTCGGGAGCGCCGTCACCTGGCGTCAGGCCATCTCGCTGCTTGCCCACTCCGTGAGGCATCGCTCCCTCCAACCCCACCCCCTCCCCCTACCCCCTCTCCCCCTTTTTCCTTCCTCCCGCCCACAAAGCTCGCTGCTCCACCCACCTTGAACTCGCCCGCCAATTCGGGGTGCTTGTCCACATCGACCGTCATGAGGTCGTACTGCGTCTCGGGGCCCGTGAGCTTCTTGAGCACCGGCGAGAGCACACGGCACGGCTGGCACCAGCTGCGCGTCAGCGCGGCCGCCACAAGGCTTACTCGGCGTAGAAGTCGACGAGGACGGGCTTGGTGCCGCCCTCAAGCGCGCGCTTCTTGAACGCCTGGAGTTAGTGGCGAAGGACTGGTGCGCACAGATGGGTCGACGTCGAGGAAGTGGTCGCGGCGCACGGCCGAGGCCGACAGTCCACGCGCAAGCGGCGCGAGCGGGCGGGCGGCACGGACAGACGAGCGGAACAGCATGGTGAGTAAGTGTATGATGCTGAGAAAGCCGTGGGCAAGGTGAGATAAGTGGAGGCGCGGACATTGGGGATGTCCGGTGTCGAGATTTGGGTGGCCAAAATTCTGATCTGGAACGTTTACACATCACTCTTCACAGCATGCCCAAAGCAAGTATGTCCGAGAGAGGAGGGAGACAGGCGAGGAAGCGGATGGCATTGCTGATGCCAGGAAACGGCTCCAAGCCCAAGAGCAAGGTGTATGCGCTGCCGAGCGCCGCGCGCCGCCAGAAGGACGGCGGCGTGCCCAAGCTCACGGCGCTCAAGAGCAAAGCGCAGACGGGGCGGTTCGCCAAGGCGAGAGTAAGCATTTGATCCTAACGGTGCTGACAGTAGCCTGAAAGAGTCGCGGGTCCCTCGTCGATGCACGCGCTGGCGAGCACGTCGCGGCACGCGGGCGACAACTTTATCGAGGCGATCCTGGAGGACGCGGCGCCCGTAGACGCCTCGTTGACGGTCCGCGACTCGTCGGCAAAGGCGTTCATGCGCGAGCTGCGCAAGGTTATTGAGCGCGCGGACGTCATCATCCAGGTGTTGGATGCGCGCGATCCGGAGGGCACGCGCAGCAAGTGGGTCGAGGAGGAGGTGCGCAAGCGCGACGCGCAGGGCAAGAAACTCATTTTCGTCGTCAACAAGATCGACCTCGTGCCCATCGACAACCTCCAAGCCTGGTTGAAGCACCTGAAGCACACGGCTGCTACGTGGCCGTTCAAGAGCTCGACGCAGAGCCAGAGGGGTCACTTGAGCCAGGCGACGGTGCCGCTCACGGCGCAGAGCGTGGCAGGGCAGAAGACGACGCTGCGCGAGCTCCCCCAGACCTCGTCGTCGATGGGCGCGACCGAGCTGCTCGGCGCGCTTAAGCAGTACGCGCTGAGCACACCGCACTCGGCTCTCACCGTCGGCGTCGTCGGGTACCCGAACGTCGGCAAGTCGAGTCTCATCAACTCGCTCAAGCGCAGCCGCGCGTGCGGTGTCGCCGCTATGCCGGGCAAGACGCGTGTGGTGCAGGAGGTGGTGTTGGACAAGGGTGTCAAGATCCTCGACTGCCCTGGCGTCGTCCTCGAGGATATCCGCGATCTTGCGAGCGGCGACTCGAAGCGCAAACAGGCCGAGATGATGCTCCGCAACGCTGTCAAGGCCGAGCTCGTGGAAGATCCCATTGCGCCAATGGATGTCGTGCTCGAGCGCGCGGACCCCCAGCTGCTTATGAATCTCTACAACCTCCCACCGTGGGACGACACCAAGGACTTCCTCATCAAGCTGGCGCTGACGCGCGGCCGGCTGGGGCGCGGGGGCGTCCCCGACCTTGAGGCAGCAGCTGTCCAGGTGCTCCGGGACTGGAACTCGGGCAAGATCCCCTACTACACTCGCCCTCCCGCGGTGCATGTGTCGAACAAGCCCCAGGAAGTGGAGGCTGGTGCGGAGGAGGATGTGGCGATGGACGGCGCACGTGTTGGCGACGCCAAGATTCTCAACACCCTCAGCGAGGCATTCACGCTCGATGGTCTCTTCGACGATATTGGCGGCGAGTTGGATGACGAGGACGATGGGGGCTTTGTGCCTGACGAGATGGACGACATGGAGGAGGACGCCGCCGTCCCTCCTCCTCCAGCAGCCACTGCTCCCGCAGCGCCGGGCATGTCGGCGTGGTCCGGCGCCTTCTCCCCTACCTCCTCAGCTGCATCGTCTCCACGCGGCCGCGGTCGCTCCCTCTCCGCCTCCCCACCCCCCTTCCCAACTTCCACCTTCAACCCGTCCCTCAAGTTCAACCCGCATGTCGCGTTCAATCCACCTGCCGCGCGTGCCGTCGCGGACCCCACGCGCCTCTTCACGGCCGAGGAACGTGCAGGCCTGCCAGCGCTCGCGACGGACAAGCGCAAGGCGAAGAAGGAGGCCAAGAAGGCCAAGAAGCGGCGTGCGGCCGCCGAGCAGACCGAGGGCGAGCTCCTCCTCGGCTTCATGGGCATGGACGTCGACGAGGGGCAGGCGTACGATGCCGAGCCGAGACAGGTCAGAAGCGCCAAGCAGCGGCGCGTGGAGAAGAAAACGGTCGTCAAGCCGAAGAAGCCAGTCGACATCGAGGCGGCCAAGGAGCGCGACTTTGCGTCGTTCCTCGCGGCCATGGGCGAGGACGAGGAGGAGCTGTAGACATCCAGAGGATGACCTGTGCCATATGTATAATTCAGCCAATGCATACTCCCAGCCTTCAGGCGAGCGAGAGCAAGTCGCTGCAGCGAGCGCCACTAGTCGTCATTAGAATTTGTAGAGGATACCCCGCATTTCGCACGTGCCTCCACTTTGAAAGTTGGACGGATTTGTTGACACCCACTCCCGGCTCTTGCTGTCCTGCAACCTCTTGTCTTTCCGTCTGCTTCACTCGTTCTTTCAGCACCATGGCACCCATTACCCTCCCAGGCTACGGCGACATCGAGCCTCTTTCTCCCGCCGCCGAGGCCCTCGTCAAGTCCGAGGACCCGGAGCATGTGAGTCACCGGGTTGTCTGCTCTTGCGGAGTGGCACGGCCATTAGTTTCGCCTCGCCTCTCGCTGTGCCCGTGCTGACACTGTTTGGCCATGCTCGCTCACATCGCCCCGGCGTTACCTGGCTTTCCCCCTCTCCTTCTGCCCCTACGACCGACAGCCCGCCAACCTCATCCCCGAGCTCTGCCGCGAGTTCTACAAGCTCGGCTGGGTCACCGGTACCGGTGGCGGCATCAGCATGCGGCAGGGGTGAGCTTTGCGGCGTCTGAGTCTGACCACAGGCCCCTCGTCTACCTCGCGCCGTCCGGTGTGCAGAAGGAGCGCATCCTGCCCGAACACATGTTCGTGCTGCCCTTCGCGCAGAGCTCCGTCCCCAAGCCGGGAAGCAAGCGCGACTTCGTGCGCGTGCCTTCGAAGAAGGTGCGGCCATGCCGAGCGAGCTGATGACAGGGTCTTTCCGAGTCGCAGTGCACGCCGCTGTTCTGGAACGCGTTCACGCAGCGCGACGCACAGAGCTGCATCCACACGCACTCGCAGCATGCTGGTGCGTAGCTGTGTGATGCCGACTCACACCAGTCATGCTCACCCTGCTCCTCGGCAAGGGCGCCAAGTCGTTCCGCATCTCGCACCAGGAGATGATCAAGGGCGTGCGCCTCGGTGGCGTTGGAAAGACGCTCGCGTACTTCAACACCCTCGAGGTGCCCATCATTGAGAATACGGCGCGCGAAGAGGACCTTACTGAGTCAATGGCTGAGGCCATGACGACCTACCCCGACGCCGCGGCCATCCTTGTGCGCCGGCACGGCGTGTATGTGTGGGGTAAGTGCTGTGCTCTTAAGAGCTCGTTGTCAGTCGCCGCTCACACCAGGGCCTACTTGGGAGTCGGCCAAGACTCAGGCCGAGTGCCTCGACTACCTCTTCGAGATTGCCGTCAAGATGCTCCTCGCAGGCATGCCGCTCGAGGGTGACAACTAGACTGTACATTTCTGCATGGATCATTACACTTTGCCTGCACTGCGCCTACATGCTCCAAAGCTATCTCTATGCTCATCCTCTCTAGACTCTATGTCAATATCACGTCGACATAATCCGCGAATGAATCATACACGCCATTAGGAGGATGTGCCCCCTCTTCCGCCCCAGGACGGTACTTGCCCGTCCGCACTGGCGTCAGGTCGTCCCAACAAAACCTCACCAAGGATGCGCTGCAGCCCGAGCTCTCTCGCGCCCCCGCCCAAGTCGTTGTCGACATCATCCCCGACGATCGCGACGTCCGCGTCCTCCCCGTCCCACCCTCCGCTCCGCAACCGCGCGAGCGCGAGCTCGAAGAACGCGCGCGTCGGCTTGCCCACCACCTCGGCCTTGACGCCGCTCGCATACTCGAGCGCAGCGACATACGGCCCGATGCCGAGCGACAGGCCGGCGGGGAACGCGGCGGTCGCGTTCGCCTGCGAGTACGCCGCCTTGTGCGGGGCGATGAGGACCGGTTTCCTCCCCTTTGGGGAGGGGGAGGGGGAGGGGGAGGGGCGTCTCGACACGGCGGCGCTCGACGCCGCCGTACGTCCTTCCGCCGGGTCCACCGGGCCCACCGGCTCCTGCTTCAAAATCCGGAACGCCGTGTTCAAGTTCTCATACCCGAACCCGGGGGGGTGTAGGCCGATGACGACGGCATCGCACTCGGCCGGCGGGTGCGCGGGGAGCGCCTTGAACTCGTCGAGCGCGTCGGGCGCCAAGAGGAGGAATGGTCTGGCGTGAGCGGCTAGCGGAGTAGACTCACGTCAACCCTCGTTTCTCGACCAGCGCCCGGCATGCGCCGAGAGAGGTCATGAGCTCGTGCGGGGCTGCGCGCAGGCCCATGCCGCCCAGCGTTGAGAGGAGGCGCGTCTCGGACTCGCGGGTGTTGTTCGAGCTGGGTGTTATGCGCTTGCAGGAAGGAGGGCGGGAGCTCGGACTCACCACAGGACGAAGGGGACGCGCGCGGCGCGCAGGCGCTCCAGCGCCGCGACAGCGCGAGGCGTCGGCGTGCTCCCGACGTGCAGGGTGCCGTTGAGGTCTATGAGGAGAGCTTGGACACTGGTATCAGCGGCGACAGGCCAATCGAGCAGGAGGCGCACACTTTGGGCATGGGATAGATGCGGAGTGTGGGAGGGATAGATACAGATCGATATCTTCGACGTTGATATCTCACGCGATCACGTCGGTGGAGGTCGGAATGTCGTCGGATATCCGCTGCCTTGTCTCACGCGGTCCCGAGATGACGACAGGTACTGACACTAGCTCATGCCCGTTGTTGAGATGCATTGAAGAATGTACAGATGCTCTACTTCTACACGGCCCTTGTCGAGGGGATCCACGCAACCGCGTTGTTGGGCTGGACGTGGGCGGGCTCGACCAGTGCTGGTGCAATGTGCTTGTCGCCAGCGGACGTCGAGAGTGCGGCATCAGCCTCGGGGTTTGATGGCATCTCAGCCGCCTCCTCGTCAGGCAGGACGGGGCGCACAGCCTTGTCCTCGAGACGGATGACGTCGCCGTACTCGCCGATGACCTTGTATCGGACTATCGTCAGCTGAGCGACCGGCAATGCCACGGGCTCAACTCACCAATCCGCCAAGGGGCGCCCTGCGACGGCCGGATCGACGTAAAGTACACCGTCCCCTCCTGCTTGTCGCCGCGCATGCGGAACTTGACGTCGATGCGGCCCTGCATCAGGTTGATGCCGCCGGCGATCCATGGCTCGCCGAAGCCCCAGTAGTTACGCGAAAAGCGGACGTGGTCGCCGAGCAGCTGGGCTACCTCCGGGCTGTTGCGCAGCTGGAACGACACCTGGCGCACCACAGACGAGCTGTAGCGCTCGTTGTTCGTTGCGTAGAGAATGAAGAGACCCCATGCGCCGAGGCCTACAAGGCCCAGCGTGATCCACAACCCTATCCGTCGCTGTGCGTCAGTGGTGCTGGAACAGTGTAGATCGCATTCCGCTGGCTCCACCGGCCCCTGTGCTCGCCGATGGCGTGGGAGTGGGAGTGGGAGCGGTACGCGCACGTTCGAGCGGCTCGACGCACAGAGCGCCGCCAGCGACGCCGATGCCTCTGATTATGCTTCGACGATTATGATTGCTCGGCGAGGCACCTCGGAACGGCGGAGTTACCGATCCCGGTCCGAGCTCGCTGTAGCTTTTCCCCGTACCATCCCTTCCGCATCCTCCCTTCATGACCGCCCTCATCCCAGACTCACGTTGACCATGGGCAGATCCCGCGTGGGGCGCTGGTAGACGGCCCGCGGCGCGGCGCTCTCGTTGAACAAGTGCTCGTCAAGCTTGGGCTTGGGCACAGGCCTCGGCCCAGCGCGGTTGCTCCGTGGACGGGTGTGCTGCCGCTCCAGCTCCCATGGGCTCATGGTCCCCGGCATGCCGCGAAGGACAGCCCGTTCGCGCGGCGCCGCCTTGCCGTCGAATGTCGTGGGCTCAAGGGGCGCCTGTGGCGGGGGCGGGGGGCGTTTCTTGGGCTTCTCCGAGGCGTCTGGCTGGTCGGCGTAGCGGCGGATGAGGAGGTGCGCGCGCAGGGGAGGCGGGCGGAGGCCGACCGGGCGCAGAAGAGGGAGCCGCAGCGACATGAGGGGCTTGGGTGGGAGAAGAGATGGCCGAGATGGAGAGCGTCGGGTGGATTTTGAAGTGGGGCGAAGAGAGAGTTGAGGAGGAGCATGTGACCGCCCGGACCGTAGAAGCCGACGCCGAACTGCTTTAGCCTAAAGTGGGGGGACCATATTGGGGCCCCAGCGCCGGGTCAACTTTGCGCCAAGCCGACAGCCCCGACAATATGAGTGTACGACGCCGTGCCTCCGGGGATGTTGCCGCTGCCAGGCTCTGCAATGCGGCGTGCTTCAGCGGTCTCGGAGCGACGAGGACAAACAGATACAGTGGTACACTCAAGCCGCGAGGGTTGATCGTTACAATCCAGCCATAGGCTATTAGTGTGGATTGTAATCCGTCATATCTGATAAATAAACCTCGTGGAGCTCGCGTGTGATAACCATCAATTAATGACGTGTGACCCTTGCCACCCAGGGACCCTCACAATATTTCGGACGCTCCCATGTCCACCACCGTTGACCTCGAACTGCAGCTAATAACACTCACTTCACTCGTCCATCTCTTTCTCGACAATGGGAAAGCGCAGAAGAAAGAACAGGACCCATCTCAAGGGTGCCCAGCCCTCTGAGGCTGAGACCAATGCCCCCAAGTCGTTCGTCATCAAGGTGCGTTCACTGCACAATCTCGCAGCCATCACGTCTGACGACAGTCCGGCCATGTCACAAAATCAGTAGAGGCTCTCGTGCGCGATGTTCGCCAGGTCATGGAGCCCAACACAGCCACTCGTCTGCGCGAGCGGCCCGGCGCTCGCCTTCGCGATTACCTCACTATCGCGCCAACTCTCGGCGTCACTCACCTCATGGCGTTTACGCTCACCGACGCCGCGAACGTGCATCTCCGCGTCGCACGTCTCCCGCAGGGCCCAACACTCACCTTCCGTGTGCTCCGCTACTCGCTCATGAAGTGAGCTGCTTCTCTTCTGAGATTCCCTAAGCATCATCCGCTGACGTACAGGGACATTACGAACGCGCGTGGCACGCTGCGCAACATCGCCAAGTCGCCCGGCGGCGAGTACCGCAACCCCCCTCTCCTTGTGCTCAACGGTTTCCAGCAGCCCACCGAGGGTCCGGCGCTTCCACAGCTCCGCCTCGTGTCGACCATGTTCCAGGGTCTCTTCCCTCCCATTCAGGTGGAGAAGAGCGCCCTCCCTACCTTCCGCCGCGTCCTTCTCGTCTCGTACAACCACGGCACGGGGCTGGTCAGCATCCGCCACTTCACGATCAGTGTGCGCCCGCAGGGCGTCTCGCGCCGCGTGCGCAAGCTGCTGAACCCGTCCAAGGCCCCGGACCTCACGCGCGCCGACGACATCGCTGATTATCTCCTACGCCGGCGAGGGAGCAGTCCCGGCTCGGAGGGGTACGACAGCATGAGCGAGAGCGAGGCGAGCGAGGCAGAAAGCGACTCGAACGCCGTCGAGCTTCCGGAGGACTATGTCGGCCGCGGCAACCGCAAGGGCGAGCGCAAGGCCGTTCGTCTCTTGGAGACGGGGCCCAGGCTCGAGCTGCAGCTCGTCAAGATTGTCGAGGGATTGGTGGGGAGCAAGCGTGGCGAGGGACAGACCGTGTTCCACCACTTCGAGGCACGGAGCAAGAGCCAGAGCGCGGCCCAGCAGCGCGCCCACGACGAGCGGAGGCGACTGCGCGACGCCCGCCGCGCAGAGCAGGCCGCGAATGTCGCGCGCAAGAAGGCCGAGAAGGCCAAGGCCAAGGGCGAGGATGTCGAGGAGGAGGCTGAGAGCGACGTCGATGTCGACGGTCTGTCCGATGTCGACCCAGAGGAGGCGCTGGAGCGGCGCCGCGCCGCCATGGCGAACGAGGACGAAGATGAAGACGACGACGAGTTCGACTATGAGGATCACGGGGCGGACCCGGATGACGACGAGGGCTGGGATGCCGACGCGGCGGCTGGCGACGTGAGTGACGAAGAGGAGGAGGAGAGTTCGGATGAGGAGGATGCGCCCCCTCCCAAGCGCCCCACTAGGCGCAAGCACTAGATTATATGCATGCCCGCAGCCCATACCCCATACCCAGAAGACTACTTCATCAGCCACGGGAGGCCAGACCCGACCTTCTTGGCATACGCGGTGTAAGCCTCGCCGAAGAAATTGCGCAGCCACACCTCCTCATCCTTGATGCGGGAGCCGAAGAACTGACCCAACACGACAACAAAGGCGAGCGTGCTGAAGACGTTGGAGAGCAAGAGCTGCGTTCCGACCGCCCAGTAGAAGAAGCCGACGTAGCTAGGATGCCGGACGTACGCGTACACACCGTGTGTGATGAGAACGTGGTCGTTCAGCTTGACGCGCTTGACGACATGCGAGAAACTGTGGCCGGCCTGGACCATGGCGAGGGCGCGGAACGTCTGGCCAAGAAGCATGACGCCGGCGACTGCTGTCAGCTAAGCAGGCAGTAAGTAGCTCACAAATGCAAAGGAGGGGAAGCGAGGCAAAATATGACCGGAACTTGCCTGGCCAGAAGTACGAGGAGAGCATGTATTCGATCAGGCCCGTAGCGTGGGCGAAGTGGTAGTGGGCGCCATTGTTCAGGAGGAAAGCTGAAGTCAGCCCGTGCTGTGAGGGGAGCAACCCGAGATTACGCACCGTCAACAGAGAGTTTGTGATAGTTCCATCCAGCTGTAGTCCAGAACTCGAGGAGGTGAAAGAGTCCCATGGCGGCGAGGTAGACGCCGAGCTGGGGGCGGGCCCAGCCCGCCTCACTAAGGCCGGTGAGGCGCCAGACGGGGGCAGCTGCGGCGAACAGCCCGGCACCAAGGAGAGCGCCTAGGGCGGCGCTGATAACACTCGCGCTGAGGGGAGTGTTCGGGATGTTCCCCTTGGCCTTGTATACCATGCCGACGCCTGGCCCGGCGAGGTCGTCATCCGAGTCATCGCGGAGAGGGCGGGTGCCGTTGACCTTGAAGGCGTCGGGCTTGCGCTCGCGCAGCTCGGAGATAAACTCGCCTGACAGGGGGCCTGATATGACGGGCGTCGACATTATGTACTTCTGTAGGCAGTGGCAAAAGACAAGAATGACCAGGTGCGGGATACAGAACAAAAGACAAAGGTTACTCATGTCTATATCTCGACGCGTCGCGGGGACCCCGGATATATTAGGCCCGCCGCCACGTGCCCCTCACCTCCACGCCTAACCGATTGTCCGTCTTTGCACTTTCAACACGACCTCTTCCACCGCCGTGGCCGCTCCGCACCCATCTCCGAGCATCCGCCGCCCAGCATCCCCTACTACGCCGCAACGGCGCGCCAGCATCCCCCCCCCACCCCCTCGTGAAACATCCGCCGCTCGACACCCAATACTTCGCCCGCCCCATGGACGTCCCTGTGCGTCTCCACATGTTTGTTTACTGACCCCAGCCATGGCAGCTCGCGGGCGCCGTCCACGATGTTCTCGACTCCAAAAATGTCCTCGCGAGGTGCGTCACCACGCCGTAGCAGGACACAACTAACCGTAGCGAGTACAAGGAGCAGCATGGCGTTGCGCTGCGCGGCCTATACAGACTGTTGAAGCGTAAGCGCGCCGGCGAGTACATGGATGTGAGCATGGGTGTTGAGGAGCTCGAGCCTCCCGACGACTACGAGGCGTGGAAGACCGAGCACGCTATCGACGCTGCGGGTGTCGCGGGTGTAGTGATACCACCGATCCCCCCTCCTTCTCCCCCGCGTGGCACGATCGACTTCCCCGACGCGCCATCAGTCCCCGCATCCATCCCCCCTGCCCCGGAGCTGCGGCGCAGCTCAAGACCGTCGTCTCGCGCAGCAAGCCGACACGGAACCCCGGCTGCTCCGCGACCGGTCGAGCCGCGCGCGACAATCGCATTGGATGAGATCCTTCCCCGCCGCGCCGTTAGTTTAGGCGCATTCGGCAGCGAGATTGAGGTTCCCCCATGGGAGCCGCAGGACAACTACAATCCTGCTATTGAGCCAGGACCGAGCGAGGCGCACAAAGTTCTTATGCCACTAGAGAACGACTACTCGGCGCACCTTTCCAAACTCCCACCTGTTCCACACTCCCGCCGCCGCGGGAGCAAGAATGAGGGACGACCCGACACGTACAAGCTTAGTGTCATGTTCGGACTCAATCCTCTGTCTGGCGGATTGTCACGCTCGCACAAGGTCGTATTGACGGCTGACTGGCGCGTCGCTCAGGCTGAGATGCGCCACATGCGAGTCATGGAGCGGATCGAGGCCAAGAAGGCGGCTGGGCGCTGGAGTCTGCGCCAACCCAAGAAGCACCGCGGACCACCAGTACCGAAGGGTCACTGGGACTTTCTTCTCGACGAGATGGTGAGTTGGCGAGTGTGCTCGCTACGCATTCGGGATCAACTGACGACAGGAATGGATGCAGGTCGACTTCAGCGAGGAGCGGCGATGGAAGCGCGTCGTGGCGCGCGAGTTCGCATACCAGGCCGTCGAGTGGCACCTCAGCTCCCCAGCAGAAAAAGCTGAGCTCATGGTCGGCGGCCGCGGGTGGGGATCGAGTAAGGACGTTGCAGTGCCCGGGCGAACGGAGGCCGATAAGAGCGCTGAGGACGACGTCGAGCTCTTAGTTGGCGCAGAAGCAGAGGACGCCGAGATGGCCGAAGCGGAGGCTGAGGAAAGCGCACATGCACGAGGCGATCCGACTGGGACTGAGGTGCTCGATGAGATTCTGGACCGGCCAGAAGACAAACCGCCGGAAGACGTCAAGGTGGAGGATGTTGACGCAGCGGCTGCGGACGCCGACGGGGAAGATGCGGATGGGGAAGACGCCGATGGTGAGGATGCGGACGGAGAAGCAGACGCCGATGGCGAGGAGGAGGATGATGCCGACGCCGGCCTTGGCCTCGAGGACATTGAGAAGGCCGAGAAGGAGGGCGAGGCCAAGCCCGAGGAGAAGAAGGAGCCCAGCCCCGAGGCCATCGTGCTCCCTAACGGTCTCCTGTTGTCCAAGCGCTTCAAGGATGTCGAGGAGCTCGCACGCGTGCGGCAACCCTTGCTTTACATGCCCGCCGAGGCGCCCACAGCAGACCTTTCTTCGCTTCCGATTCCCTCCAAAGAGAATAAACACACAGACGACAAGGATAAGGACCCTTCGCCACCGTCGGATGATCCCCCACCATCCCTTCTGGAGCTCTTCCCGGACCTGGGCGTCTTTGCCGGCCCAACACCTCCCGACGGCATCAAGGTGCACAGACGAATGGACGAGGGCCAGACTAGCGGCAGTCGCCTGGCGCATACCTCGCGCATACTCGATATCCGTCCCGTGTTTGTCTCTCACCTCCAGCCCGCCCGATCGCATTTTGACGCCGACGACGTCTGGGATATCCGCGATGGGCCATGGTACGAGGACCCCAAGGGCAGTACGGACATTGCGCCCGAGGTCGCTGCGTGCAACGCGACGTTCTTCGCCGGCCGCAACATGCGTCCTTTCCTGCACCACAACCCGCAGGCCAAGCCCGACGGCACTCGGCCTGATCCCATATGGTCGCCGGAGGAGGACAAGATCCTGCAGAAGCTCGTATCACAATACGCTTTCAACTGGCAGCTGGTGGCGGACGCGTTCAACACCGAGAAGGACACGATCCCGTCCGACAAACGCACCGCATACGACTGCTACGAGCATTGGAATCAGACTTGGGGCCCAGGCAAGAACAAGAGCAACGCAGAGACGCCAGCTGCAAACACGCCGACGCCTGCGCCTACCAAAGCTGCTGGCACGCCAGGTACGCCTGTTGCGAATGGCGCGCCCGCCCAGCCAGGCCAGCCGATGGAGCCGCCACCCCCGCCCGGCCTGTCTAAGCGTGAGGCGCGTGCAGCCAAGGCAGCACGCTATGAGGGCACAACCAAGAAGGCAGTGCGGCATCAGGCGCTGTACGACGCAATGCGTCGGCTTTCTCGTCGGCGCGACAACAAGATTAAGGAGTCGGTTAAGGACCAGGAGCCGCGCGAGATCAACGTCCACGAGTCGCACGGCATGGTGCCGTATCCCAACGGGCAGCCGCCGACGCCATTTGAGCTTGTCGAGGCCAAATTCCAGCGCGACTTGCGCATGCAGGAGGCGCAGCAGCAGCGCCGCCTTCTCCAGGAGCAGCAGCGACAGCAACATGCCGCGCAGATGCGGGCACAACAACAGCAGATGATGGCCGGTGCGAACGCACAGCAGGCGCGCCCGCCGCCCGTCCGCCCTCCAGTCCCTCCCAATGGGAACATGGCGCAGGCGCAGCTGCTCAATGCCGTTGCAGCGGCCTCGGCCGTCAACGGGAGACAGCAACAGCTGGTGAACGGGCAGCCTGCGGCGCAAGCCAGTCCTGTGCCGAATGGGGCCAGACCACCACAGGTGCAGATGACACAGGCGCAACTGCAGATGCTGCAACAGCAACGCGCAGCGCAGCAAGCCCAGGCGCAAGCTCAGGCTGCAGCGCAAGCCCAGGCAGCCCAGCAGGTGCGGCAGCAAGCGGCCCACATGGGTACACCGCAGAGCCAGCCCGGCGCTCTCGCTTCGCCATATGCCAGTGCAGGCGAGGTTCCGAACGGCGACACGCATACATCTCCGCCCATGCATCCGGCAGTGCAAGCCAGTCCGCAACAGCAAGTCGCGCAGGCGGCGACCCAGGCTCAGGCGCAGGCTGCTGCTCAGGCGCAGGCGCAAGCCCAGGCTGCCGCGCAGGTGCAAGCGGCTGCTCAAGCGCAAGCGCAAGCTGCCGCGCAAGCACAAGCGCAGGCGCAGCACGCGCAAGCACAAGCCCATGCACAAGCCGTCGCGCAAGCGCAAGCGCAAGCAGCTCAGGCGCAAGCGATGCAGGCGCAGCAGATGGGCCGCATCCCCTCTGTGCCGATGCACTTCGCCGCGCGCCCGCCGCTCACGCCGCAGCAGCAGGCAAACCTGCAGGCGATAGTGAACACGTTGCAGGCGAACGGGACGAATGTCACGCCCGAAACGGTGCGCACGCTGCAGATCCAGATGCTCCGGCAGCAGCAAGCGCAGGCGCAGCAGCAGGCGGTCGCGCAAGCGCAGGCCCAGCAACAGGCCGTCGCGCAGGCACAGGCGCAGGCGGCCGCCCAGGCCCAGCTGGGGCTCGGCGTGCCCGGCACGCCGGGGATGCAGACGCCGGGCCTCGCGACGCCGCAGATGGGCCTGCAGAACCTGCAGGCGCAGTTCGTGCGCTCGCCCAGCGTACACTCGCAGGGTGTGCGGAGCAGCCCCAAGCCGCCCAGCCAGTCGTAGAAGCGAGTTATATCATAGTCATGTCCGTATTGTTAGTGTATGTATGTCTGCTGTGGAGGGCCGAGCCGGATGCAATCGTGCAGGCCGATGGAGACAAACGCGTACACGGACGTTGAGGGCTTACGTATCCGTGACGCTCTCGTGCTTGATATTGCCAGCGTCTGAGGCTGTAGCTGTGGTCCACCTCTAATCTGTGCCGGCCCGGTGCTACGCCCCATGAGTGGGTACGAGTCAGTTTGAGGCGGCGATAATTGTCGAGATGGTCCCTCCCCCATTCTGAGTGGCTTAGATCATTCCTGCCGCGCCTGCCGGCAGTGGGTCCTGCAGTCAGTCAGGGGCCATCCGTATCCTCCGTCAGCCGTGCGTCTTCCCATAAGTGAGCACAGCCAACTCTGCATCAGCACGACGCCGCTCCGCGAACAACAATGCATAGCAGGCACGCAGACTCGTCACTCGCTCGGGAGGGCTTGACGCGGGGCGTCGGGACGATGTCGCGGCGGCGGTGCGGGGTGCGGACAGGCGCGATGATCCGTCAAGGATACTAGCGCGGCGGGCGTTGGAGGAGCACGACGCGGGGCTTGGGCGCGGGCGCGGGCGGCGGGTCGTCGTTGGACGCATATGCGCGGCGCCAGCCAAACTCGCCGCCTTCGCGCGGCCCGCCTCCGCCTCCGCCTCCATTTCCACCTCCACCTACACCACTGCCTCCGCCTCCAGCTCCTCCGCCTCCGCCGACAACGCCGCCGCCGCCACCACGGCGCTCACGAGCATGTCGCCGCTCGGGCTTGTCCTTCTCCTCAGCGGCGTGGACGTGGTGCGCGAGCGGCGGGCCAGGGCGCTGCAGCAGCGTGAACCCGCCTCCGCGGTCGCGGCCGCGACTGCCTCGCCCACGTCCGCGCCCGCGCCCGCGCCCCTCGAAGTGGTGAGAGTGGTGCGGCGGATGTGGTGCGTGCGGAGGCGGGCCAGGTCCGGGCGGTGGGGGAACAGGCGGCGGCGGCGGGGCCAGGGGGACGTCGGGCTCTTCAGGCTCGGGGCGGCGCAAGAGGATGCGGACTTGCTCGGGCTCGGGGCCGCCGCCGCGCCCGCGCGTTCTCGTACGCCGCCGCTCGCGGCGCCGGCGCGGCGGCTCGTGCTCGCCCTCTTCGTCGCGCAGGACTTCGAGGCCCAGCTCGAACCGCCCGGCCTCGAGCGAGAGCGTGTACCCCTCCGCCCGGTCGGCGTAGTTTGTCGTCGTTTCCGGCGCTGTGCGGCGCTCGTCGACAGGCGGCGGGCCCACTTCGGCGCTTAGAGGCGGGTGCGCGATCAGGACGGCTGGAGCCATCTCGTCGGCGCCTTCGGCGCGGTTGATGCGGCGGAAGAACGCCGCGCAGCCGAGCACGCGCGCCACCCATTGCGGCGGAGCTTCAACCCCAGGCGGCGGGAGGAGCTCTTCGCCCTCACGTTGAAGACGGAGGCCCCGACCGCGCTTGTAGTTCGTCCAGGCTTGGACGGCGAGCGAGGGATCCGCAGAAACAGGGCGGTGGTTACGCGACGCATGCTCGACGAAGCGGGCGGCGGCGCGGGCCGCCACCGCCGCGGCGGAGGATCCCTTCTTGAGCATGTCGAGAGTGCGTATTGCGTCGAGGGGGATGACGACCTCGCCACCACGTTGCAGCAGAGAGCGGACGGCGCGAGGCGCCCACATCAGCGCGGAGACGTCGACCACAGAGACGCGCCACACATCCTCGTCCTCGTCCGAATCGTCGATACGCGCAGAGTGAGAGTCGACGAGGTCACGCGTGCCGGCGGACGAGGGCGGGCGGGGCTGGGCAGCTGCGTGGGGAGTCGCGCATGCAACTGGAGGGGGCCCGGTGGGTGAACCTGGAGGAGGGGGTGGGCCGGAACGACCACCAACCGCCGGCGATGTGCGATGTTGGACTCCTGCTCCTGCCAGGCCGGGCGAGCGCGGGTCCTGCCCGCCACTCGGCAGCGGAGGGAAAGCGTGCGCCGTCTGCGCCGGGCGCTTGGCGTGCCCTGGACTGCGTGGCCAGGCGGACGTCACGGGCGTGCACGCATCGCCGTTGATGCCGACGGCGTTGACCTTGGACTCGAGGTCGGCGATCTGGTGCTCGAGATAGGCGGCCGAGAGGGCCTTGGAGAGCGCGGCTTTCTTAGCGGCCTGGTGTGAGCGGAGGCGACGCGGTGTAGATGCCGCTAGGTTGATGCAGCGCAGCGATAGTCCAGACAAGGCATCATCGTCCTTCGCAAACACGATGGAAATGCAAATTGATGTCAAGGGCAGCAAGGGCTGTGGGTGGCGACACGCCCCAGGATTGACTCACGAGGTCGCCGTCGCTCATGTCGTGTCTAGTACATGGACCCGGGAATGGCAGGATGGACGAGGGAGTGTAACACGATGCAGTCGATGGCTTGAGAGTGGATGAGATGAGCTCGACTGCATTGGATTGTTGGTGCGACTCTGTCTCGGCCCGGTGAGCCAAGCACGTGGGAAAATTACACGTCAATGGTTATCACTCCCCGTTTCCTCCGAGCAAAGAAGTTGGAACTTGAACATCACAGCAGCGACCACGACTCCGACACCGTCACCAACCATGGCCCGCCCCCTCGCACGATTCGGCGACCTTGTCCGCACCGCAGGGCCCAGCCGCGGGTTCGCGTCGAGCGCGCGCGCGTTGGCTTGTGAGTAGCACGAGGGTTATGCTGCACCTGCAAAGTCTGTCCGCGCCTCGTGAACGCGCGCAGCGAGGCTTCGACGTGCATCGTCCGAGGTCAGCATTTATACGCGCGCGCAGTTTTCCTAGCAGCATCTCATTCTTCTCGGGTGCTCATGGCACTTCCCGCACACCTCCCACATCCTAACCTAACAACAGACCCATTCTCCGCCAACGTGACCTTCCCCGAGCCCAAGGCGCCCGCGCCGGTTCCGCAGAACCTCCTGACGCCCAAAAACGGGTGGCATGTCGTGGAGCACGTCAACGCTGGCCTGCGGCAGGAGGTGGACCCCCAAGGCCTGCTCAAGACGCTGTTTGCGCGGCGCTCGCGCGAGCGCCTGCGCACCGGCTCGGTCGTGTCCGTCATCTCGTACCTCAAGTCGGACCGGACGGGGGGCGTGCAGCCATTCTCGGGCGTGCTGATGAAGGTGCGCCGCCGCGGGGTCGACACGAGCTTTACGCTGCGCAACATCGTCGCCAAGACGGGTATCGAGATGAACTTTAAGGTGTGCAGCCCGATGATCAAGGAGATCAAGATTGTGCGGCGCGCAGAGGGGCGGACGGGACCGATCAAGGACCTGCGCCGCGCACGCGTTAATTACCTTCGCGAGAGGCCTGATATGATGGCTACGATTGCGAGCGCGCTCAAGCAGGACCAGGCGCAGCGCGTCGCTGCCAAGCGCGAGAGCGCGGGCAAGAAGAAGTAGAGCGTGAGTCTGTAGAGCGGAGAGAGCGAGTTACGGACACGCATGCATAGTGTACATCTCAGCCGGCAGGACAGGATCAACCCTATGCCCGGCCATGCCCGCTCTTCTTCCAGAAATCTAAGCGTGGGGAGAAGGGTGGAAGGGGTATCAATGTTTAAAGGTAGAGGGCGACGTGACATGTGATGTTTAGTGTAGACGCCGGCAGGTGCGGTCTTTTGCAGAGTCGATGAGGGGCGAATGACCAAGCGAGCGCCGCCCCACGGATACACGAGTGAGAAAGAGAGATTCAGAATGCCAAGAGAAGACGGCCGCGGACGACAGAGGGTAGTTATTGTGTCTTTGCGGCAGCGCCCTCGTTATCGAGGCTGCGGTGGGCCTGTGGGTGTCAGCTTGTGCTTTCAGCCACACAGCTAGCTAGCTAACGGGCTAGCACGTTTAGATGAGCAAAACTCACCTCAAGATCCCGCATCACCGCAGGGTCGATAGGCAGCACCGACTTCCTCCTCATGTGTGGGGGCGTCTGCTGCTGGCTGGCCGGAGTGGCCGCCGCGTTCAAGACGGGCGAATCAGGCTGCCCGTCAGCATTGAAGTCGGCGAAGCACTCACGCTCCGCTGCTCAATGCCCGGGTCAGCCACGGGCACAATGTCGTCGGCAATCGACCGGTCGAGCGTAAAGCTCTCGCTGACATCGAAGCCATTGGCCGTAAGATCGACCGACCCATCCCCGTCGTCAACGAACGGCTCAGGACGCGGCGGTGGCGATCGCGAGAGGAGCTCTGGAAGCGGCTGCGTCGAGCCGCTCGCCTTGTAGTTTGCGATGGCCTGCTCGCGAACCGCAAGCCACTCGTCATAGCGGGCGACCGCTCGGTCGTACTCCTCTTTGCGCTCGCGCTTGTAGTTGTGCTGCACTTCGTCAAAGAGCTCAGGGTTGATCTCCATGAAGAGCTTGAGAGCGTTGTAGACCATGGAATGGATCGTCCGGTTCCAGTGCTGCTTCGAGTTCTGATAAAGGGCGGGGAAGACGATTGGGAGGATGACGGCAATGTGCTCGCCCATGAGGTTGACAATGTACTCGTTGTTCCAGTAGTAAAGCGCGCGCTCGGCGACCTGGAAGTGCTGCGAGTTGATGCAGCGCGCAAGCTGCGAGAAGAGCGGCTGCATGATCTTGGCAAACTCGGTGCCCTCGATGACGTCGAGAATCTCTTCGACCTCGTTTAGGTACATGACCTCCTTGGGCGAGTTGACCTTTGGCCAGTACCGCAAAAGGCCCAGGATGACCTCCTCAGTGAGCATCGGGTCCTTTTCCAAGAACTGGACGACGCAGTACGCGAGCTGGGGGTGGTATAACGCGAGCGACTTTGCCTTGTGAAGCGGGAGAAGGACGCGGGTTAGGAAGATCTTGTGCTCTTCCTTGAGAGGGAGGGCAAAACCGTTAATGATCGAGCCAAGAATCTCGAGCAGCTCTGCGATGCCGTTGTGTCTCTCGGTCTCGTAGACAAACTGGAAAAAGACATGGTTGATCGAACGGCGGATGAATGCTCGGAGATTCAGGAATTTGCCGTAGATGCGGTGCAGTGTCGTCTTGAGGAAGTCGCGCTCTCGAGGGTCCTCCGAGTCGAAGAGCTCGAGGAGCTGAAGGACAAAGGCCTGGTCAATGTAGCGCTTGCCGACATTCGTGTTGAAGTCAGGGCTCTCGACAAAGCGCAGGAAGAACTCGTATACTATCTGAAGGTGGGGCCATGCGAGCTCGAGCACGGGCTCATCTTCCTCGGGGTCGAACGCGTCACCCGTTGGGTTGACCTGGGGTGGGATGGAGCGGAACAGGTTGGCCGAGAACTGTTGTTGTCAGCCAACTGATGCGATAAAAGAAACAAGGCAATCAAAAAAAAGCGAAGAAGCGCGCTTACCATGCCAACGACCTCTGGATAAATGTTCTCGGTTATCACGCCGCGCTGCTGAGTAATGTACTCGAGCATCTCATGGAGGGTCTGAGCCTTGATCTGCTTGCCTGTGAGTTCCGAGCTGGCGTCGTTAAAGTCAAAAACGACTCTACATTGCTGGAGCTTGCGGATGAACAAGGCATTGCGCTCCTCTGGGCGGACCTCTGTAAAGTGGGGGAGCTTTTCAATCTCGACGCGCTCGGTGACGTAAAAGCGCGAGCTGCGCTGCTTGCGGGGCGTCTTGCCGACGATGGGGATCGTGTCCTTGGGTTGACGGAGGCGGTTAAGGGGGTTGTTTGCCTTTGGCGGGGTGGGTTGACCGTCGGGACCACGGTCTGGTGAGCCAAACTGGCGGCCGTGGGGTGAGTGTGGGATGGGGTCGGCGGGCATTTCAGAGTACTGTGGTGGCTGGGGTGCGCCCGAGATGATCACGAGGGGAGGTGCTGGCTGGGTCTTGTCAGAGACGGGGGAACGGCGGGGGGTCAACGGCGCTCCTGCATGAGCAGTGAGTGACGAGGACCCAGCTGCAGCATTCACATTGCCAGAAGAAGGCGAGTCCTGGGGCCCGCTGCCAGCAGTTGGGGCCGAGGCAGTTGCGGGGTTGTTGTTGTTGTTGTTGTTGGGACCGCTTGCAGGGCCAGGAGAGGATGGGCCTGGGGATGGCGAGTTGGACTGCTTCGAGTTGGAGGGCTTGATCTTGCTGTCTGAAGCCTTGGACGTCCGTGACAGCTGTATAAAGGTGTAAGCAACGGCGCGCGCGAGTCTGACGTGGACAATGGGAAGGGGGTCAAACGACCGTGCCTTGACCAGTGTGGTGGTGGTTTGTCGATGAGACAAGCGGCGGGCAAGTGAGGGAGAGTGGGGAGGGGAGATTGAACGCGACTTACCACGGCCTTCTTCAGCCCCTTCATTGATGGTTAAGCTCGAGGGGAGATGAAGAGATGCTTGCTCTGATGGGAGCAGCTAAAGAGTTTGGTGTGCAGGCGCGCGCGTGCGTGTTTGAGGGTGGGAGATTCCAAGACGCGACTGCGGCACGGGGGCTGTTGCTGGGTTTGGGGTCGCGTTCGGCGGCGGCGGTGAGAGGAGCGAGGAGAGGGGAGGAGGAGAGGAGGAGACGTGTGTAAGTGTGTGAGAGAGGGGGAGATCAAAGAGAGAAAGAGAGCAAGAGGCGAGCGTTGAGGGCAAGTTGACGCCTTGACCACTTGGGTGTGTGACGCGGCGGAGGGGGATTTAGCGCAGGCAGCGTGGGAGGCTAGTGCGGAAGGTTGTGAGAGGGTTATGAGAGGGGGGGTAGGGTGATGATGACGGGGAGGATGTTGGCGATGATGTGGAGAGAGGGGGGAGGGGGGGGGAGGTAGTTGTTGTTGTTGAGAGAGTAGTAGTAGAATGGAAAGAGAGAGGAGGACGAGGTGATGGTGTTGCGTGTTGCGTGGTGCGTGGCGGGGGGGAGGGGGAGGGAGGAGGAGACGACTTGGATGGGATCGATGGACGGGAGCCCTGGGCCCCCCACCTCATCCACCCTGGCCCCTTCGCCACCACCCGGAATCAATTCGCCACGCGACGCGACTCTCACTCCCTCCACCTCCCCTCTCATCCCACTCTGCCCCCCCTCCTCATATGTCCGCTAGTTCCGAGCGAGTGGCGGCTCAGAGCCATCAGCCAATCCAGCCTGCACCATTTCGGGCCATCTCGTCCACACCGCTGCCACTCCCGACCTCGACGTCCCAACTCGCTTCCTCACCACCACCACTTTCCCCTCCTCTTCTCTCCTCCAAAACAACCCCGCCACCATGTCCTTCGTGCGTTACCTCCCCCCTCCCCCTCCCATTGACCCCAATGCTTGCCCCCCGTGCTGACACTTGCCCTCATCGCTTACCCGCGCCCCCACCCCCACCCCGATCCTGTCCGACACATCCACTTCCATCCCGCATCGCGTCCACTCCGCGCGCGCGCGTCAACCTCCAACCGAACGCCCTCTCCACTCCACCTCGCCCCCCCCTCTCCACCTTCCTCCGTCCTGCCTCCTCACTCC